TGGCTTGCAGCACACACCAAAAGACTACCTGTGTGAAAAACACTTCGCTGACAGAGTGATAGAAACTAGAAGGTACCACGCAGAGCTAGGTGGTGAAGTGCTCCTTGACCAGCCTAAGAGGCCTGTTCTAGCGCCGGATGCTGTGCCGTCTACCGGGATGTTAGCTTTACCTGTCGTTGACAGCGAAAAGAAGAAAACTGCTGCAAAATAGACACTGTGCACATGCAAGTGTTGTCAAGCGAAGGAAGACAGAGCTGCAGGACAAATGAAATGAAGGGACCATTTTATAGGAACAGCTTCAAACGTGGTGACTGAAGACCCGTTGACTGATCACACGGAGCCCGGGATCGCCGCGAGCACCGCTCAAGACGATGAAGCAAATAGCTGGAGAGCCTTCTACCGACACGGTACACGAGGACGACTCCATCAATGACATCCCAGCCAAGGTTTCAGCAAGGTCAAGTGAAGATAGTGTGCCCTTCCTCAGCGTGTTGGCCAAGAAGAACCCAATTTTAATGCCAAGTAAGTCATAGGCGTGTCACGAGGTCGACATGGAAGGCTTTCAGAGTCTCTGCTGAGTTTAGATGAAGAGCATGTCAGCAATTGAACCGCCATTTACCAGCAAGATTCTCACTCTGGAGCAGTGCCAAAAGCTTCTAACTTTCACCAGTATGTCCATGACCACGAAGTGAGCTGTGTGCTTCTTCAGGCAGAGTGCCCATTGCAAACCGTGCATGATATCACCGAAATTGTACATGTGTTTGACCCAAAGCCCGTCTGCACCGGATGTCCAGCATACAAGATGTTTCCTGGTATACACCCAGAGTGTGCATCCACTGAAAAAATGGAAATGTGGAGACACAACCAATGTCCTCTACATCTGAATAAAACAGCTGCGGTGCACTTTCTGTGCAAGCCTCAGTAACACATTCCGTATTCACAAGGCACGCTTGGACAAAAGAGAGAAAGAATGAATGGTGAGAATGTCCCTGTCTCCCTCAAAAAAGAATGATATCTTGAGAAGGCAATGCATTGCATGCCACAGGTCTAAAGTCAGGTTGATAAAGAGAAAGAGAAAGCTTTGAATTATCTATGTGCAAAAAAGGTCTGGAACAGCTGAGCAGCAAGAAGTTAAATGATGTTTTGAAGAGGTCTGCACTGCCTGAACCTCAACAAATGCTGCTGCGCAAGTGCATATCAGCGGCTAAATGCAATTCAAGTAAAGGGAGGCGCTACACAAATGATTGGCTACTTCTGTGCCTACTCCTGCACATTTGCAGCCCGGCCAGTTACAGACTGCTTAGGGAGAATGATGTGCTGCACTTGCAGTGCGTGAAAGCCATCCGCCGATACATTGCCATTGTCAAGATCAAGTGCAGATTCTATGTGAACTTCTTCACAGCACTCAAAAGAAAGCTTCAAGGTAAATCCAAATTCCAAAGACATAGCATGCTGCTACTTGATGAAATTCAGGTCGGGGAAAGAAAAGCTGATAACTCAAAGACATTGAGTTACACCGGACTCGTCGACCACAGAGACACCGACCAGCAAAGCTCCGAGCAAGCGAATCATGGGCTAGTCTTTATATTTCGCCCCTTCGGTGAGAGCTATGCACAACCTGTTGCTGTGTCTGCTTCAAGACCTGCAACAATCACCCTGTTGGAAGGCGCAGGCTCTTATTGACAGCATAGTTTGCAATTGAACGAGCCCTAACTGGACAATGTGGACAGCTGGGTGTCAGTGGGAAAATAAACGCCAAATATTTTTTCGTGCATCCAATGGACGAGGTAGGAATGTGTACGAGACGTCCCACACGTTTTCAAATGTATAAAGAATCCGCTCCTCAGGAAACGCCTCCTCTAAGTAAACGTTGGAAGGCGCAGGCTCTTATTGACAGCATAGTTTGCGATTGAACGAGCCCTAACTGGACAATGTGGACAGCTGGGTGTCAGTGGGAAAATAAACAACCCCAAATATTTTTTCGTGCATCCAATGGACGAGGTAAGAATGTGTACAAGACGTCCCACACATTTTCAAATGTATAAGGAATCAGCTCCTCAGGAAACGCCTCCTCAAAGTAAACGGTCAGTTGGTCAACTGGTCGGACTATGTGGCAGTATACAAAGACTGCAGAAATGCTGGTGAGCTGAAAGTGTTCCCGAAGATAACACACCATCACATTTACCCCTCAAACACGGACCTCATGAGGGCAAAAATTTCTACCCAAGTCTTCAGCAGGGCGATGAAGTCTGGAATAAGTACTGCAGTGACCGAAAAGTCCCAAATTGATGGAACTACACTGGTACAATGGTGTTCACACTTCAGTGTAATGATCTGTTTGACATTGTGAACAGGCAACATCCAGATGTCGGCATTTGAAAGGGAGGTAAGGACCTGATTGTCATCAAAGAAGTCATGGAGTAGTTTGATAAATGGGAGCATGAGGCACACTCTGGGAAGATCTCTAAGGACATGTTTCTGATGCAAATGATGGCTGAAGGCCTCAGAGTGACAATGAGGTCAACGATTTGTCTAACGGAACACCTTCTCAACACCTGTGGCTATGATTACATTCTCACAACCAAATCAATCAAAATCCCTTGGAGAGGTTTTTCGGGAAAATCATCCCTACATGCCTACCTTTTTTCAATTGTATTAAAATGGTAATGGTGTACAGCCTCCTCAAGCCTCCAAAGTTTGAGAATTGTCAAGCACTGACCGGAGAGGCACCACAGCTAGACTTCTCCATTTTCAAAAGTACATTAAAGAACCAGGGGATCGCGTGTCGAGCCTGGTAAGGCTAAAGGAAAAAGTTGAAAGTTTGATCACAACCAAAGCGTTGTGATGAGGTTGTGACCAGTGATGAGAGTCAACCTGAAGTTGTTGATTGCATTGTGTACTGTGTAACTGGTTTCCTGTGCAGAAAACCAGGCAAGATTTTTTCATGAGAAACTTTCAAAGAGTTGTCTGTCTTAGGCAACACAGAAGGAAGCATCCCTCACCACCTGCAAGACATGTGGAGGGCTCATTCACCCGAATGTGTACCTCTACAGCGGTGGTTCCCAAATAGGGGTCCGCGGACCGCAAGACCCTCAACAAAAAAAATTTTTTTTTTTAGTTGGCACGTTTTTTGTAGTTTGAAGCACGAGTATGCCACGTATTGATGAACTGACCAGAATGAAGTGATGTGGCACCTTTGTTTTATGTTTTTCTGCTACGTAGCAATAAAAGGCACCTGTTTCATGCTCCAGGTGTGTTAACTTACCAACGTTTAATAAAGTTTTCCCACGACCGTTGCATTCAGGAGTAAGTGTTTCAGCTCACAAAGAAACTCACGCTAGTGCCAGAGCACCCGCACATGCTCGCGTCTATCGTTGAAAAAGTTTTAAAAAGACGCGAGACGACGAGAGCGACGAGAGCATGAGAGCGCGTAATGAGAGATGGCAGGAAAAACCATGCAAGACCATATAAACTATCGATGCAGGGTACTTTGTGTCGGGCGGCCACTTGCGCCACCTAGCTCATGTGTGCTCATTAGGTACTCAGTTTAGTTTCGGTTTTGAAAGGCGACCAAAATCGGTCCTCTGGTACAGGCTTGGCGCAGATTACCTATATTTTGGCAAAATGTAGCAGGGTTAATCCCTTGGCGCAGTTTGGCGCAGCAATCACATCACTGTAACTCTTCTTACACAGTGCCCCAAACTACTGCAATCTCTCACAGTTGTAGCTGAAGCACACGAAAAAAGGCTAGCACAATGCAAAAAACGTCACCTCTCCAAGGCGGCTCACAGAGGGCCATGCGTGAAACAGAATGATGGCCATACATATTGTTGCATGTTAGCTAAAGGCCCGTGGCATAAAGCTTCCACATTTATGTGTCCTTCTATAGAAAAATTAGGCTCCTATATACATTTTACAGACCATTCCAATAAGGGGATTTGGCAGGTGCCGTTTTCTGTGCCATCCAAAGCCACAAACATGCGCATGACGGGCAGTGGATTTGTAAATGCTCGAATCGCCAAAACAAGAAGCCTATTAGTAGTGAGTGATCAACCAGTTGCTGTTTAGATTAGAAACAATTCTAGATCCTCAAATATAAGCCACAATGTTCAAATCTAGATAACTTGTGCTCCTGATTACTTTATGGTCAACCGCTGGCAGACAATAAAACAACTCTACCCCTGTTTTGAGTAGTTTGCCATCTTACCACAGAGGCGGCAAGACTGAATGAAAAAGGTGTCTCACGCGTGTTCTTTTTCTTTCTTTTCTTTTTAACTTTGTGACAAAGAAACGTTAACTGACACGAGACTTCGAATGCCATACACATTGTATCAACGACACAGCGTAGAATGCTCTAACAATGAATCAGAGATGGAGACCCAAGATACCAAGGATGGATGAGTGTGAAAGCCGCTCGTCGCACTGCTCGCTCACGAACATATACGTTACACCTAACAAAATGTCTGTGAAGAAAAAAAAAAGTGGTAGAGGGTGCGTTACAAAGCAAAGAATTGCTGTAAGAAATCCTCTATTCTAGGTTTTACAGCAGCACTGTCCTACACCGAACTCTCGCTAAACAAGCAGGATAGAACTGCATTAGAGATTAGGAGATGTTACTATTACAGCTAGCAAGAAACGACTGCTCGCGCGACGCCTTAATTAACTCATCAATCGTGGGCACCTCAGCAACACCTCAATGCGGGTTTTGTTGAACCGCTCTTCGAAGACCGTGCACTTATCGGGCACTACGTTAATCAGAAAAAACTACACGCATGCGAATTGCATAACAAGCCTTATTATGAACCGTCCGGCGGCAATTTCGGACGGAACGCGAAGAACACAGAAATTGTCGCACTCCGAACACGGTCTAAGCCTACGCACGACACGACCCATGTTTTGCTCGTACTTAGACGAAAAAGAGCGACTGGCTGCGACTTTAGGTATCGGTGCACGGCCAGTGCAGTTAAGAATCTGGGAAGACAGCGAGAAAATGCACCAACCTCGCGCTGTTCTTGTTTTTCCTCTTCGTGTCTCCACTCATGATTCTCCACTGGGATGGAACGACTCGGTGCACTTTGTCGGCTCGCACGGCTGTACAAGCTGGCCCGCAAACAGTCCCGCCCTGAGCTTACCTTCTATATATCTTCTTCCTTATATTTATACTATATTACAACTATTGCAGCTTCGTAGCGTGGCACGAAGGGGATTGATAAGTGGATCACTTGAGCCACTAAGCCTAAACGGCCGATCTTTGAGAAGTCCGATGCACAGCAGTCCAGCAATATCACAGTTAGAAGTATAAAAACAAGGCATCTGATGCTTTCAATGAGGAATGGTTATTTACAGAGTTTGGTATGTTACACGTTACCTTGAAGTAACTGAATGCCCGCGTATCGGCAAAACTCTTTCGGGCCAAAGTCAGGCCCTAGTACTAAGCCTAAACAGGGGAAACGCGAGTTCCCGAATACATGCTTGCCGTGCTGTGCACATTTCTGCAGCCCCTCTGCCCTCGCTGCCCTCGCCCCGACGGACTACTTTATTTACTAAAACAAAGTCCTCGCCGTCCTCGCCTCGACGTACAACTTATGTCGTTCTTTAAAATCGCCGAATTAAAAATGTCTTCTCAATATCGGTACACATTTATTTTGAGCGCTTACGAATGCATTTTGTCTCGCGTTAACAACACCCGAACGTAAAGCGTTCCACGGTGGTTCGGACACCGAGCCCTCGGTTAGGCGCCTCGAGTTTAATCACCTCTGGACCTCTGCGCAGCGCTGCGAAACGGCGTTGACGGCGTGCTCGGAGTCGATCAGCAATGCTTTGGGCGTTTTCGACTCGCGTTTTGTTCCCGCACCTGCCATTATTTAGCACTGCGAAATGCGCACGACGGTCACGAGCAAAGCCACGAATCCGCGAGAACCACGTGCCAAAAGGCCAAGAACTGTCAACTGTCAAAGTAAAGTCTACCGACTGTAAAAGGATAAAAGCACGGTACGCAAAACGGACCAGACAGTTCTGGGCTTACCTGCGCATTGAAAATAACCTTGACGATCTCCGTGACCACTGTAAACGGCGAGAATAAAAAACAAGCAAAACGCTAAACGTCGACTATGCCTCTCGACGAACAGACGAAGCTGCGTCAGCTGCGCAGGACGCGCACGTGTCTCTTTCTTTACTCTTGGACGCCCTCGCATTTGCACGAGGGTTTTCGGCCCCGTCGGTAAACAAGTATTTCACAAGGACCACCGGCCGTTGACGCAATTTCGCGTGCCTTCTCATTTGCTTTCGATGTCGGTTGTGCCATTCGTGCTGTTTCGGTTAAAATCGCGAGTTTCAGCAGCAGTTGGTTTTGTTAACCTTTGACAAATTAGAGTATGTCCGAAAATTTGTTCAGCTTGGGTAATTATTCGCTCCGAATTCGTAAATAAACGAGATTAAAAAGACAAAGTAATCAAACACGTATTTTCCCAAAATTCAAATTTAGACATAGAAAACAAGCGTACCTCACGTCAATGTCTGATTGCTTCGGCGCCCTTTTTTCGATGGGGGAGAACGGCTCCAACGAAATACAACAAACACGCGAGATACTGATGCGCAAGTTTATTCACATGAAATGAAAATGAAGTGGGCTGATGCCAAGAAGGTACAGTTTACGGGACGGGACAAGGGTCGGGAAACTTGACCAAGGTGATTGGAGGCAAGGCGCCGTCGTCTTTGGGGGTAGCGCTGTCTGCGTTACTTCCGTCTCTGGAAAAGGGCTCTGGCACGACCTCGCCCTCTGGCCGCTGGAAAGAGGCCACAAGAAGGTTCTTACACACCACACAGAGCACACTGCTACACCAGAACACAACAATATTTCATCGCAGAACTCGGAGTAAAATAACCACAATTAAAACCTGCCACAGAGGAACCTTGGCTTGCCAGAACGTTGAAACTCCACAGAATCCCATCACTGCAGGTGCAACTGTGGCCTAACCACTATTCAGTAAATTAATAGAACAAGAACAGGCTTCAACACCCACTTCTCAAACTTTCCTCAGATGCAGTTCCTACATCTTGTATATCGATTATTTTCATTAGGGATGAAGGGGGAACTTTTTTTTTTTTTTTTTTTTGCTTGTGTTTGGTGACGTAGTCAAAGCATGAAAACATGTACCCTTAACTTGAAGTCTCCAGCTCTGTCGATTTTCTTCTCACTGAGGAGTCTGGCAAACTGATGTTATCTCAATGTCTTAAATGGCAATCTTATTGCTCAATGGTTTCTTCGAAGTTTTCAAGAGCTCAATCAAACCATCAGCACACCCAAACAAGTTCTGCCCTAAAATTACAACATGCCATGCCACATAGTGTCAGGTCAAAAAAAAAAATAAAAATGGTGTGATCAGATTTTCATTTTTGATGCTCGTAGAGAAATAAGCAAATCAGAAAGTAAGGACTAATTTATACAATTTTATCATATGCTTGAGATGAGAGGATACTGAGCACAAGCATGGACATAGGAGGCTGCTCCAATATTATTACAGTTACAAATACAACAAATGTTAAGTGTCTCTGGTTAGTCACCATGAAGGCATTGTAGACATGCAAATCACAACTGATATTGAGCGCTTGAGCTGCGCTGGTTCCAAGGGTGAGTTGATTTCAATGCATTCTGACAGTATCTGAATTAGGTGATGTCAATTAGTATGTCATCAAACTGATTTAAAGCTCCGTTTTGCTAATCATCTGTGTACTTTTGGCACTCAACCCATAACGAGGTCTCGCGGAATTCTGCGCCAGTGTATGTAAGGTAGCAAAAAAAAAAAAAATAGGAATTCCAACTGAGACTATTCTGACCATCAAAATAAAAAGCAACTCTAAAAGTTGCGCCAACTTGTCACACAATTTTTTGTTAAGATTTACGCTTTAGTGAATATGGAAGGCAATGTGCGACTAAATAGAGTTTCCCCAATCGCTCCTGTTTCCAGGAGCAATTGGGAGCTATTTCTTTTAAAAGGAAATAACAAAGAGTGAGTTAAGCTCAAAATTGATTGCTATACATGAGGAGAACTCAACAGAGTCAAAGCTTGCATGTACGTTTTGTTCTTGTCTGAATTTCCACGAAATGCTGCCCTCGAGCATAGAGCATGTGATCATATCAGCAAGAATAAAGTTTTACTATATACTGTATTCACCAAATAAAAAAAAAAAAAAGCAGTGTTCACTTCCATTGGCATGGGTTGTTTGTTGAACAATAAAAAAGTGCACATTTCAAGATAAAAAAAAAATGCTTCAACAACAAAATGGTAAAAGAATGCTTGTGTTCTGTAAGTGAACTTCGTTCAAAAGTCGGTGTTTTCTTGTGGAGGATATGCGACCCTCTTTACAAGAAAACAATTATGTAGCAAACAAGCTTAGTGCCATGCTGCCATCTTTAAAATCTCTCCACAACCTCCCATTTCTCTCTTTATTTTAATATTTCTCCTTATTTAAACTATTTTCTCTCCCTTTCTGTGCATGCATACTGACAACACTGGGTCTATATATTTGTGTAAAACCTTATCACACAACATATTTGCATTAGAAAAAAAAAATTCATGCAGAGGCATGGAACCTTGCTGCAAGAAGAAGGATGAGTACTGTTGGAAGCAGTCAGAGAAGTTCAGAAAGAGGTTAACAAAAAGGATAAATGTGATAATGTTCCAGAAATATTAGCTAGTTCGAATGCCACAGTAAAATTTGAAAATTCTGTGTCACGCATAATATTAAAAAAAAAAGACATTCAGAAAGAGCTGGAGAGTGCACCATGTCCTCCATTTGTAAAAGGAAGCTCTAGCAGTAATGAAGACTGACACAGCGCCAGTAAGACGGCATCATTACTGATCAGCAAAAACCTGAAGCTAACCATGACCAAAAATGTGTTCTGGTAGATTCAGAGTCTTCAGCAAGGTTCTTTTATGTCTCTGTGTTCAGCAAGTTTGGCCGGCATTGTCCAGAAACAGTTCCCAGCAATATGGAAGACCCGCTCGGAGCATGTGGTAGAGACGGCGGCTAGCGGGGAAGCTCCTTGCACCTTGGGCAATTCCATACCATCCCGAAAGAGAATGCGCTTAATCAGTGAATGCAGACCTAATTTGGTTGCATTATCTTTTTCACTCTTCAGAACCATGCAGAGGTACTGCCGACAATATGCACTGCACCTTTGTCAGCACAGCCTAGACCACATGCATTGGGCTGGTCTTTCCTTTTGCTTCAAAATGTATAGTGACGCAGAAACACCGGGTCTATGCGAACATGCATGTTTTTCCGAAGGAACTCCCTCAAATTATCCGCAAGTCCTGGTTTGGTCCATTCACAGTCGATGGAGTCCTTTTTTTTTTTTTTATTGTCCAATACACTGTGGGTGTCAAGCGCTCGATGTGATAAAAGATTGTCACCACTCTTTTTCTGAATTCTTTTGACATTAAAGCCTAAAAGAAACAGACAGCTTTTTACCACCAACACCAATTGTTAACTTCTTTGATTTTATAATGCTATAGCTGTTATCTTCTGCTTACCCTTCACGGGCCTCAGCTTCTGAGTTGCGGATGAACCAAACCATAATGTATAGACAATTGAAACGAGTGCCGGTAAGTCGGCACCCCGCAGAAAAAGAAAATGCATGGTTGCGTGGAACTATTAACTTTGTGCACGACTGTACCATCACTATCAATATGAGCGTGAGCACTGCACCACATGGCCTGCGGTACTATCAGTGTTCCTTGTTGAATGCTCCGTAAAGCTCAGATGCAAGGGAGTCGAGACAAGTAGATTCCTGCGCGTGTTGCAAAACCCTTCACTTCTGGGTCGTCTGGATGAACCGACCATGCCCTTTACAATTTGTTGTATGCACACACGCCATTTTATGCGCGAGTGATGGGGCAAACATTTGTAATATTCAATCAAGCTGCAGAGTGGTTCATTGGTTATTGTATAACTCGGAGCGAAGCCGAACTCGCTGTGGGAAAATTTGCGATTGATTTATGTTGGGTCATGTTGCTTTTACGGCTGCAGCGGGCAAAAGATTGTCCACAATTGCACCGCGCTAACTTCTTGCGAATGCAGGTTTGCGGTCCTTCGCTTTCGCAAAACTCGCGCAAAGAAAATATTACACAGTTTTAGTAGAATTTTATGCATGCACAAAGGCATTGGCAGAGTGTCCAGTATTGTTATTAGAATCATAACAATCCCAAAATTTTCAAATAAAAAAGTTACCCTACAAAAAAAAAAATGCTAGTTTTGCCAGCGCACATTTTTAACGAAAAATTCTCTAGTTCACTAGCAGTTTCGTGGTTCCGCCGACTGATCTTCGCTAGCAGACGATCCGGAAGTGCAGGGTGGTGTAACAATCACTGGAGATGTTATGTCTCATCCACAAAGCGCCTTTATACTTTATGTAACAATCGACAGGGGGCACTGATTGTACCAGGGCTATGCAGAGCGGTGTTCACACTCACTGATTGTGCTGGTACCTCTCGGGCACCACTGACATGTTCACCATTTTAACCCAAGGCAATTCTACTATGAAAGCTGCTTTATCTTATGTTCTCATATGGTGTGTGTGCCACTCTTGTGTGTGTCACTCTTCTACTTCCCGTGTGCCAGGCTTTGATTATGATTGAGCATCACCAGCTTGTTTGTACACTTTCTCTTGATTTCTCTTTGAGTGACATCCCATACCACTGCCACCCCAAGAATGGAACAAAGATATGTTGCAGAGAAAAGGACATGACACTAGATGCAAGACATCATCTCTTTACCTGCTCACACATTCACTCAGTAGATTCATTGACAGTAGAGCGCTATGGCATGCAGCATCCAGGTTCATGCTAGCTACCAAGTTGAACCAGGCTGACAGGCATGAAAGAAGTAACTCCTTGGTCTAAAGGGAGTATTTAGCTATTCCTATTTCCACCTTGCCTCATATGGCTTCACTGACGTAAAATCACTTCTACTCTTAGTGGCAACATTACACGAGAGAGTAAATTTCTTCGGTAGTACTGCACAACATTGGAGCATGCGCTCAGCGAGTACAAGCGCCTGCTAGAAAGAAGATTGCAGGGCTTATGCAAAAAAACACGTATCGGGAACTTCCATCATCCTCACCCCTACCTCTCCTTAGGTAGAGGTCAAAGCAACCAATCGTCGACCTCGCATTCTCACTCGACCTGTTTACACATGAATGCTAAGGGAACTCCTGTATGCAAAATTGCCATTAAAGGGATTGTCCGGTCAAATTTTGTATTCGAGAAAGCAATCGGATATCATTGTTATTGCCTAGAGGCTCATCGTACGCGCAATATCTGAATTTTATATGCCCCTCTGCGTGAGAAATTGAATTTATACTGCTCCAATCGCATTCTGACGTAAACGCTGCTTTCATTGGCAACATTGAAGCTCTGACCTCAGAAAACACAAAGCGGGCATTTGTCTCGTCGTTTGCCTGCGAGTGAACGCCTCAGCATGCTTTGTTTTTGTTGTTGCGCTCGACTTGTTTCGTGCTTGGGCGAGATTTTTGTTGTGCGGTTACGTGCCACAACCACTGGGCAGCGCATGCGAGCCAAGACATGACGTTCCACACTTTTCCGCGAGACGTGCAGTGACGAGCGAAGTGGATTGTTGCCGTGCGTAGGGACTGGGTTCCCATCAAGATTGAGATCCCGCTTTTGCAGCAATCAACTCACAGAAGAGAGCTACGTGCTGAGCTCTAAGCGGACAGAAGGCTCGTAAGCTGAGGTGTGATACTGTGCCAACGATATTAAACTGCGTCCATCCACTCCTCGCCCAAATCGGATCAATCAATTTGATTATGCAGCGAAACCGAAACCAACAGCTAGGTTATCTGGAAACAATACCAGAAGTTGTGTTTAGCATGCGTGCAGCCCGATTCTGTTTGACCCGCGTGTGAAAATGGAGCGTGACTATGATTCACCAAGCTCGTCCAAGTCAAGTGACGACATGCATTTGAACGATTCGCCGTTTGCCTTCGACCCGCGCGGACATCGCCTCCGAGGGAACGGCCCGCAGCCTCATCACCGATCCAGTGGATCCGCCGACATGTGTACCCAGATACCCCTTAGTGTACCTAGGTGCCGCTTCAGAGGCGAAATCTGCATCCTTTGCTTTGCAAGCGCCCCTAGTTCGATTGTTGGCCGTCGCCGTTGTGTTTGCGCGAAACGGCATACGTTTGCTCGAAGCCTGTGGCTATCTGCGAGTAATTTCCTGCTAAAAGACGTGACTTTGTTTGCCCATGCTTGGAAACTGCATTAAAAGAACCGTATTTCAGTAGGGTACAGCCTAAGAGACTACATAATTTGAAACAAAATACAAGACATTAATTGACCAACGCTTGTTATCCCGACCATCCGGCAAACCTTTGCGTTTTGTGACGTCACGCAGCACCTACGGATGTCAGCCATTGACACTGGCGAAATTCGGGATGCAGTTTCCTACATACGCTCATGAAAGGATTAATCAATAACGGGAGATCATATATCAAAATAAAAATGACGCTTGTCTACATGAAGGCTCCTTCGACGTAACGAGCGCAAGACTCAAGTACCTCCGGTTTCGACCGGACAATCCCTGTAAATGGGGTAAACTCGGTGGAGACAAATATTTCCTTTTTCTACAAGCCTTTCGTTGACACCCAACGTCCAAACAGCGAAGACGCCAGTAGGCTCCGGAGCGAAACCTCATAGATATAGAAATTAGCGGAAAATGCCGCTTGCACTAGGCAGAGTGATGACATCAGTGATTACATAAACCAGTAGCCCCCATTCGTACCTCCCTCGCAAGCAAGCAGCTCAAACACAAATCTTACCTTGGGCGCGTAATATTGCCGACTTCCCTCTGCCGGCCGACGCGGTCGCCGTTTTCGTGCCGGCCTTTTTGAACATAGGAGCGTTTTTGAGCATGTCCGGTAATATCAGGAAGCGAATTTTGCTTCCCCGGATGTACACATTTTCGAGCTGGGCGACTCTGCCGTCTCTGTAGGTGACTGTGATGTTCGCCATTTGACAATTCATGTTGTCCTCCGCTTCAACCAATTTGCCTCGGTACACCTCGCCGGTGTTAGTTTCACAGGTGACGATGTGTCCTTCGGCTTCGTGGAGAACTTTTATAGGCACTCCTATCGACATTTTGTCGTTTCTCGTAGCAAAGAACACTCGATTAAATCGGATTTAAATAGACAACCTGATTCAAAATTACGAACGTACCCGGTACGTTTCTTGGCGCTGTAAACACCAATCCCGCAGTTACTTACATTAAAAACAATTTTAAATAAAAAATATAGTGCATATTTATTTCTATTATTTTTATATATTGTTATAAGTGTATATTATGTTTTAAAAATTTTATTAAATTATAAATCGTAAGTCCGAAGCTGCAATAAATCATGGCAGCACAGAGGAAGACTCCCTAGCAGTGAAAATGTGCGTAAATCCACAATCACGCTAGTACAGGTCTACAGCATAGAGTTATTGTCTACAGTGTCTACAGTATATTTTAAAATAAAACGTTGAAACTCAAGCAAAACCAATACAATCAAAATTCACTTAATAAATAAATAAGCATTATTTGACAATATACTAAATGTTACGATATTTGCTTTTTTTATGACTTCATACTAGAGGTAGCATTTTAGTTGAGTTTCCGCAAAGCAGTGACCCCCCCACTATGTCAGGTCAACCCAGTTACGTTCAATAACAAAAGCTCTAAAACAGCAGGCGTGCACATATAAAATAAAACAAACGTCACTGAGTGTTATAAAATAAAAACAAAAATCTAAAAACTGAAGAGGTAAATTTAAATAAAAACGAAAGAATAAACATAGAGAACAACAGAATAGCACCTTTCGGTGCTGCTGTCATGTTCTGTTGGTCCCTGTGTTTATTCTTTCTGTTTTATTTAGCTTCACCAACGCGCTTACGTCAAAATAAGTTTAATTTATTTCAATTTTTTTTTTTTAACGAGTTGTTTGCAGCTGTCTCGAGCCCTTCAGCTGTCCAGTGGAATCCAATTGTTGGCTGTTGGAAACAAGGTTGGAAAGAATCAAGATCAGCTGACTAGCGTGGCGCGTGACAGAACAACTGTACGAGCGGAAATACATGATTTCTATTCTTTCTTTTTTTTTCTTTATCAACCCAATACGCTCAGCAGGCCAGCGGGAGGAGACACACGAAACGTCACAAAACTGTCCGCCGACACAAGCTGTCGCGAAGCAGACGCGCTTTAAAGTTCAAGGCGACGGGCAGGCGTTATATCTCGAAGAAATCCAGAAAGTGGTCGTCTGCGTTGCGCAAGGCGAACTCAACCCGAATACCGAGTCGTCACTTTTGCTGCTCGTCGCTGCCCTCAGGTCAAACTGGTTTTTTGCGCGTCTGAGAAGTAGGCCACGGCGTCGCATCTTCACGACTTCGTAACCGGCGCAGCAACATATCGCAGGTCCGGCCCGCGCTGACGAGACATTCAGTTCGTGTCCGAGATTCTCCACGAAGATGGCTGGTCAGGAAGAGTTCGAAAGCGTGGAGAAGATTCTCAAGGAGCACCTTCCTGCCGAGGAGCACGAGAAAGTGCGCGCTGTTCTCTACGGAAGAGACTGCAGGTGAACGCTAGACTCTTTTTCACTTCCGCGCGGTCAGGCGCAGTGAGATATGGGCGACCTAGATAGGCGCGCGTCGTGGCACTGTCGCCGGAAGCTGAGCTCGCCTTTCTTGGAGAGAAATTAGTGTATTCACCAAGAAGCAATTTTATTTCATGCAACTGACATCCTGGCGCGTTTACATGCATGCTGCTCGTTATAAATCCAGTGGGTATTCACGCAAAATTGAAATAAATTATTCGTAACAACCATCGTAAATACCAATGTAATGAGTAGTACCGGGCATCCGCGAAAGGACCGAACCCTGTTTTTCACACCGAAAAAATAAACTAGACATCGCGGAGAGCTCGAACTCCGCCAGAACGTAGTGCCAGCCGTTCGAGCAAGATGCCAAAGTTTCAGCACCAACCGTTGTCTAATATGAGAAAAAAAGGCGGCCGACGGAGCTCTCGAATACATGGAGGATATGGAGCTCCATGGAACCAGAAACCGAAAATGGGCCCCATGTTCCCATTAAAAATTTCAGGAAACCACTTACAACTTTTGAATAAGATAACGGTTGGTGCTGAAACTTTGGCACCTTGCTCAAACGGCTGGGGCTACGTTCTGACGGAGTTTGAGCTCTCCACGATACCTTGTTTATTTTTGCAGTGCGAAAAACAGTGTTCGGTTTTCTCATGGATGCCCAGTATTTCTGAGTTCCAGGCATAATTTTAAGACATGTTTGGTTATCAGGGTCCATATAACATGAGCGAATGACGTTTTAGCAAACAGCGGCATTCGAGCGAATCGACGTATTAGCAAATTACTGGGGCTGTCGTGTTAAACCAGCCCACCGCCGGCATATACTCCGCTTCGCCATGACAGTCTGTGGCGACTCATGACAAAATGTTAAAACACCTCGCCCACCTGTAAGCACTGCTTTGCGGCGGCCAAGCATTCGCTAAAGTGTTTTTCGATGAAAAGTCGGCATTCGCTAAAATGCTGTTCGACCATCCATCCATTCCTTGCCTCAGTACTGTAACGATAGCCGTGGTATGTCATACTGCAAGTTGAGCTTGTTGGTTCCGATTCATACTGAAGATTTATACCCAAAAAACACGGATACAAAAAGTGAGAGGAAACACAAGACAGGGCCCTATGTCATTTATTGTCCCTGTGCATTTTGGAATAAAACCTAGCTCAGCGTGTCATGGTTTCTCTTACACCGTAAAGGCTATAAATGATGCGGCACTATTCAGTACAAACCACTATTTGCACATCCCTACTAATATTTGGTTAAGTAACACCAGTATGCAACACTAGCTGCAACATGCTGAAAAGATTTTCAAATTGTGGAATCCTTCATCTTCAGCCTGGTTCAGTGACCTAGCGTATTCCTTCCAGTCCTCTGGAGTTTAGCTCGGATGCTCTGGGCCAGGCGAAACAACACAAGTTTGAGCTCAAGGGCTACAAGATGGCTGCTGAGAGGGAGGAGCTGCGTCCTGCCCGAGTGGTGCGTGTCGGGCTTGTGCAGAACAAGATAGTGCTCCCCACGACCGAGACCGTCACCGCCCAACGGGAGGCGCTGCACAAGCGCATAGAGACCATCGTGGACACCGCTGCCCTGTGTGGTGTTAACATCATCTGCTTTCAGGAGACGTGGCGTAAGTCGGGGCTTGCAGTCGTGGCATGCTGGCACACGGAGACGACTGTTTGGTCTACTTTCATACTTTGTTGCGACATAACTTGGCAAATGGTGGAAGCCACTGCTCAAGCGAGCTGTTTACAGTGAGGGAGCAAAGCGCATGACAGCTCCCAACAGGAAGACTGCACACTGATGGTATAGCATCATGTGCCTTGCTCGCTGGAGCTGCAGCTTTTGCCCTTGGTCGAGTTATGCCGAAACAAAGGGAAGGCTTGCATGGGCTTGTTTTGAGGTGCAATGATATTATGTTAGCTCAATTAACCTGCATACTGATGTAGACACATGGAATGCATTCAGAGTTACTTTTCGTACACATGGTGTACTCGTTGCTACCAATTCTTTGGGCTGTGTCAAAAATAAAGATTTATTCTGGAGGCCAACTAACTCTCTGCTGAAACTTTAGGAACAATATTCATGCGGCTGAGTGGGTACAGAAAGCTACACATATCAATTGAAATATAACCAAGGAACTGTACTTATTTTTGCCTCAAGAACAGTGATAAAATCACTAGATTACTGCTTTATGTAGATAATTAAAATGTATATATGTGCTTTTTAGATTAGATATATGTTATCAAGATGTGCACAGTTCAAACGCTAAAAGCATACTTCTTCCTCTGACAACCAAATCTTGTAAAAACTACTTTGTGGTGTGGCATATGAACAAGGCACAGAACTTCCTTTTTTTCTAAGGTGAAATTAAGTATAGTAATAATGTGCATCATAATATATAGATAAGAACAATTGGATCTGCAAGATACCCTGGGAAAGTATCCCTATTGCAATTATCCAATTCACACTCTGGCACCATATCCCCTAATTTAATTTCTATCGTTTCTGTCCCCATCAGCCATAATTCACTTTTCAATTAACACTTCATAATTACAGCATCACCCAAGTGCGTGCAAAATTGCAGTTCTGTCTTCGTATCAAAATTAACTGTTGGGCTAGTTGGCTACACATGTGTGTAGCCAACTTGTCTTCGTGTACTCTATCGGCACTTTGGTAAGAGGCATGCCTGGAGGTTTCTACGAATAAGACCCCTTCCGTCTTTCAGATATGCCCTTTGCTTTCTGCACGCGAGAGAAAACGCCCTGGTGCGAGTTTGCAGAGTCTGCAGAGCATGGTCCGACTGTCCAGCTGTGCCAGCAGGTCAATACCCTGCCCTTTGACATTCTGCCTCAAGCAGTCCAAATTTACGACATGTCAGCTGGAATACTTTGGATGACAGAACAGCGACCGTGCATCGTCTCCCCCACAGATGGCCAAGAAACATAACATGGTCGTTGTCTGCCCAATTCTCGAGAGGGACGAGAATGACGTCATGTGGAACACGGCTGTCGTGGTGTCAAACAGTGGTGCCATTTTGGGCAAGTCCCGCAAGAACCATATTCCGAGAGTAGGAGACTTCAATGAGGTGAGTCAGGTTAGCGCCTTGCTCTGTCAAAACAGGGCTATTCCTGGGTCTTTGACGAGAGTCAAGTAGAAGTAGCCCTTTTATTGAGCCTATCGTAAATAAATAACAATACCTTCGCACCGAATAATCCAAAATGTGGCATGCCTTCTCCCTTCAGTCGACCTACTACATGGAGTCCAAGTTGGGACACCCAGTGTTTCAGACACAGTTTGGTGAGTGGACACCGAGACATTTCTATGTGCACAAAGGTAGATCACTTATAAGTCTAATGGCCTACCCCTAAAATACTAGCCATTCTTAAAAGCCATTGTGAACAATTGAACTTTCGTTCATTGAAGAGGGTTGAAAGCTAAAAAAAATCGATGCTAATTCATAATAAATTTTTTTTTTAAAAGTGCAAAAGACAAGGACAAAAAAAAGAAACGCTCACCAAAGTCAAGCCCTTATATTGTCCATTCCAAAGGCTTATTGGTGTACTGTACTCCCTCACTACCCAGGAATGCATCTTAGATGATATTCGCCTATTTGTGCGCTCTTTGATCGCTTTAACAGGAAAGATAGCGATCAACATCTGCTACGGAAGACACCACCCTCTCAACTGGTTCATGTATGCCGCCAATGGGGCGGACATTGTCTTCAACCCGTCTGCCACCGTGGCCGGACTCAGCGAGCCACTGTGGCACGTCGAGGCTAGAAACGCCGCCATTGCCAACAGCTACTTCACTTGCGCCATCAACAGAGTGGGCACTGTAAGTACGGAGTGACCAACCATATACCATTTTCTTTCAGAGAAAGCTTGTGACTGATAGGAATAGACTCTTCTCAAAACCCTGTCAAGCAACATTGGCGGTCGCCATTTCTTGGGCATGAAGTGGGCGACTGGATCCAAGCCCTTGCTGAACGCCGACGCGGCACTCATTCTTTCAATGCGAGCCGAGCTGACCTAACCTAACCTAACCTAACTAGCCCTTGCGTCCAATATGTGCTTGGAGTATCTGCCCAAATAATGGTGGACTTGGATCATTTGTGCAGCAGCCACTAGATGGCACCATGCTCTTAAAAAGGGTCTATTACGGAATCGAAAGACTGGTAATGGAGGTGCTTTCTGCTCCCATTCCTGCATACCCAGGGTGAAGAGTAAAAACCAATATAATTTAAGTTTTGATTTAAATTGCACCAGTTTTACTAGGACAATTTAAATTGAACAGTACCCGTAAAAAGAATTTTTTTTTTACTGTTTTGTCCATCGTTTATGTTTTCATATTTAAATCAAAGAATCGTCAAGCAAGAAAGATTTATATAAGGCTGAACACGAGCAAAAGGAAGCGATCTTGTGGGCAAATCGGGACATTGAGCTCGATTTCTACCTTCCCCTTTGTTAGTGAGTTACGTAACATCCTACTGGCAAGAAAATCAAAATGCAAAGGAAACTAGAAAATGAATGTCCTATAGCGATTGAGCGAGAATGTGTAAGAAAAATCAAATAAAACTTTAACTAGAAAAATCTGATGTGTTTGCCTTAGTATGGTGGGCACTGCAATGATGAAAACTTGTTAATTAAACTGTACTTTACATTTACAGTACTTGTTCTGCATTGTTATCAGTGATCACACAAATTGGTCAATCAATCTGCGATGTTGACAAATATCTACTTAGTGATAAAGAATCAATTTCTAGCTTTAGTGATTTAAATCAATCTGATGTAAATGAAATAAAACTGGTTTATTAGATTTTTTAAAAGTCACGATTTTCAATAAAAATTATGATTTTTGTCCACCCTGTGCATACCAGTGGCATGCAGTTATTTGAACATGTAGCAACTACATGGCTGCTTCATTCTCTCCATTCATGGTTCTGTTTGAAAACCGCAGCTTCCTTCAGTGTGTGAATAAAGTATCATAGGGAGCATGAGTAACCTTTGATGTTGCTTCTATGCGTTTTTCAGGAAGTTTTTCCAAACGAGTTCACATCTGGCAACAAGAAAGGTGGTAAGTGAAGCGACTGCCTGGTTCTCTCGATCCTGATTTATGTAGTCTAAACGAGAAACTTTTCTTTTGTCCCCGTTTGATTACAGCCCACAAGGACTTCGGCCACTTCTACGGTAAGGCTCATTCCGTACCAAGTACCCTCCCCAAGGATATCCAGAGTTGGAACTGTAATGGCTAAGTTTCTAGCCTTCTCTTGCAGGCTCTAGCTATGTAGCAGCTCCAGATGGAAGCAGGACCCCAGTGAGTACCGCTACATTCATCTTCAGGCGCTTTTTGTCACACGGCAAACGTAAACATGTTAGCGAGGGACACATATACACGTTTGCAAGTCCGGCCTGAGGGCACCGCCATCTTGCTCAGTTGCGGTGCGCTTGGATGCATCATAATCCGATTACAAAGCCTTGTTAAGGCGTCGTAATCGCATTATGGCCGCGCCCAGGCGCACCTCAATTGAGCAAGATAGCAGTGCCCTGAGGCAGCACTTGCAAATGTGTATAGTGGCAACATCAAACGCATAATGTTTGCTTTTGTCCCTAGTAACACTGTCCATGCATCATATGTAAGGAATTGCTTCCATAGGAAAATAGTTTTCCCAGTTTTGTCTTTGAGCTATATAGGTTTTCTGGTTCACACTAAGGTCATATTTTTAGTTTTTGTGCATGTTGTGTCAAATGCAATAGTTTTAGTACTCCTCCCTCTTTTTGACTTTGACACAATGCATCAAAGACCTCACTTCAAAATTCTAAACCAAAAAAAGAAAGGAAAGCGCACAACACTTTGTATTTAAATGATCACACTCGTAGATTCTCCAATATACTTCACAAAACCTTGGGCGGCATGCCGGAAGCATACATTAGACTTCAAGGACGACCTTGCTGAAATCATTCAATCCGTTTTGCTGCTATTCTAGCAAACCTTGAAGCGAAAATTTCTTTCCGAGCTACCGTTTCACGCTGAAAACTGTTGCTTACACAACGTAAAAGCTAAGCATTTTGCTCACCACCACACTGTAGGCATTTTTGCGCAACTGTTGTCCCAAATACTTCTAGGGCCTGTCAAGGACGCAGGACGGTCTTCTGGTGACTGAGCTGGACCTCAACCTGTGCCGCCAAGTCAGAGACTCTTGGGGCTTCAGAGTAAGTGTGTACCAGGACTTGGTCTTTCCCATCTTTCGATTCCTCTCCCAGATCTTTAAGAAAATTGTGCGAGATCACCAATAACTCATTTTGCGCTTATTTTTTTCCATGGCAGATGACTCAGCGCACAGAGATCTACGCCGATGCCCTCTACTGGGTTGCGCAGCCTTCCTTCGAAAAACAGATTGTCGTTGATCCCACCATCGGAGCAGACTATTGAGGGTAAGATTTTGCCGCAATTGTACGGTGCTTAGTCTTGGACCGTAACACGAGTTCACCAGTTTCATAGGCTACAGAAGCTCGATACTATACTTCCTTTCACTTTACGTCCGGCCACAGTGGATGCTGTGAGCCATCAGAGCTGCTCTGAGGCCGTGCGAGTTTCTTGTAACCTTCATGAAGGATACGCTGTGACGCGTGAAGAATGTTGTTGTGTGCCATGTTTACAGAGCTGGATTGAAATGGGACGACTACTATCGTCCACTGCGGCCAGACACCCATAAGTGAGACGGTGCCTGAAAGCAAAGATATGCAACTCGTAAACACTTGTGCTCTAGTAGCAAATAACAGGTGATAGGACGAGTAACACCTCGAGCTAAATTTTGTGGAGTCAGTGCTGTCATGTATGAAAGTTTAAAATGACATAGTCCCAGTTGATATGAGCAGGCAGGAAGAAAAACATACACACTTACTTAAAGCAAAGGTTGAGTTGCATAAATGGACAATTTAAGAGGGATGCATATCTTCCAGCAAAGGTTTTTTTTTTTGGGTGTCAGGCTTTTCATACTAAATTTGGAAGAATTCAAGTCGTCAAGGTTGAAAGTTTTTAATTTATGATCTTTCTGACCTGGTTCATAAGCAAAAATTAACTTGAATTTCACTTCTTATGAAAATTTCAGAACCTCATTGCACACTTTTGTTGCACCGCCTGAAGTAATCGAAACGCTCTTTTCCTCCTATTCCACAGATGCGCAAAAAAGCCGGCAAGGCGGAAAGAACCTGTCGACATTTCCGAGGCAGCATACTTTATTTCTATATGTACTTTTTTGGGTGCTTAGTGGTTGACGATTTTGATTGCATGCCTTTAATATAAAATACAGAACAAATATGTGTCGATGTACACTTTATATAATAAATTTCAACAAAACACAACCCCGAGCATGTTTTTTTTTTTTTCCTCTTAATATTTGAGACTGATAGATTGGGTCTCTTTGTAATATTGTGTCAATATTCCCACTTGTATTTTGACAACTGTTCAAAGTTGGAGATCTTGCTCAAAATTTAAGCTCCACACCTTCATATTCATAACAAATTATATGCTACAGAGGCAGGGTTTTGTTGTGAACTGGCTACCATCTACAAAAACACGCTTGCATACTGCACGCACATCAGAACAGGTTCTGCAGCACGAATATCATGGTGTCGTCGGAGCAGTCCACTTCCTCGCACTTGCCAAGTGCCACGGCAAGCCTGGCAGCGAGTACGTGCTTGCACTGTAAATGTACAAATTTCACACATTTTAGGTTGTGCAAGCACATAGAAGAAGCAGTCACATTACAAGTGCTGGAGAGTAGTAATTACCATTGGGATTTCCTGTTTCCTGAGTACTGCAGAAAAAAAGAAAGGTCACAAAATCAATAAACGGTAAAAAATGAAATATATTTGGAACAGTTCAATAGTGTCACTTGGCGAAAGAAAAAAGCCATGGACGTGGCACGCCGATCAGAGTAACAGAATGAGGCACACATCAATGCGAAGTTAAAGAGCACTCCCATAAGAAGCTGTCGCGTGCTTCACTCTGTCAGAAAAAAAAAGGGCACTAGCCTTCGCCCTTTGCCTCGTTATGCTAAGTCGAAGTACGGTATAGACCTTTGCAAAAAGAGCCCTCTGGCCGCCGCCATTTCGCGAATTGAGCGACCCCTATCAACCAGAAATTTCTGGCGCCCGCCTGAGCTGTGGAAACCCGGTCAGCGTGACTCCCCACCTGCATTTTGCATTCGGAGTTTGCCGGCTTTTCTTGGAAGTGTTTACCTTATTCGCCTGTTTAGGATGCTTACCCTTTGTGTGTTATCCTCCACAGTAAGAACCAGGGAATACCAGGGCTCGTTGCCTGAACGGCCTTCGCAGGAAACGAACGAAGAGAGCGAACGTCAAGCAGCCCGCGACGCAGGCAGTTCGACGTTCTTGGAGGATTATTTCCGTTGAGATAATCTCCAAAAAGCCTTCCCGGCTGTGTTCCGGGTCTTCGCGAAAAATAGCCGATAAGGTCGGGCCCGGGGTGTGGGGACGGAATAGACACGTTCGTTCATTTGCTTTGAAGCTGTGAAAAAAGGAGCCCTTTTCTACATGTTCCCCAAAACACGCCGGATTCCGTCCGACCGTCGTGAAGTGACTGTCGTCGACACCATATTGGATATGCTGTGTTATTTGAGACCTTCCTAAAATCCTGTTCGGATAACGCGGCACCGTGGGGTACGTACAATATATGTTGTTCCATTGATGAGAATATCCATGCAGTTCGGATATCCTGTGTGGTCAAATATTCTGACCTTTATAGATTGATACGGCTGAGTGTACGGTGCCGTAAAACAATGAACATAAAATGAAACAAACATTCCAGTTGCATTTGTCCTGTCGCGCACGGACTCACCAAAACAGCTTTCATTTCTTTGTGTTTGTTCCCAAAAATAGAGCACTGCTTTCTTAAAGACCTCTATAAATTATGTTCGCCACAGAACACACAAAAAAAGAAAACGCGGCAATTCAGCCGCCACCAGCGGTCGGAATTGCGCCTACGCAGGCTGCCACAGCCCAATGACGAGAAACTCCACAGCTCAGCGCAGTCGGGCAACACTGACGTACCCTCTCAAAACCAGGGACGCGCGCTGTAAATCGCTCCGTTCGAGGCTGCCGCTGGAAAGGTCTATACGCTCCGACATTTTCAAAACCCTTTCACGCCTCCTTTACCTTTTCCCAAAAGCGGCGAAATCCGCTCTCTTGATCACGAGTTATAAACCGTCTCTCTTGACCAAAAAAGCTAAAGATTATTAGAAAATGTACAGTTCTTTGCCGAGGAATTGCGCATATACGAGTTTCCAAAACTGAATTGGGCTGAAAATGAGCTATGACACAGGTGCCTTTAGCCCTCTAATGCCGTAAAGAAATTATGTGCACTATTATACGGGGTTCGCTGAAAAATTAAAAAAAAAAAAAAAGGTACATTTCATTGTGCTAAAGGGGTACCGAAACGAGATCAACAAAAATTCCAGCGCCTATTTTAGTGTCTAAATGTCAGCAATGTTGCAGCAACACCACAAAGACACCAATTTTTTTTATTTGAAAAGACCAAAAAAAAAATTTTCTTTGCTTAGAATGCATAATATGATTACAAAATTTTACCAGGCGCATGTTCCTAGCGCTACTTGGAACATAGTTACGTTCAGCTTCCCCCAACAACAACGCCGCTCCGCAGAAGTACGAGCACGCGTGGACTGTTAAACTTGGCCAAACCGGATTTCCCTTCTCTCCCAGGCCTATTCAACTCCTGCGGCTGGAGACATACGTCTCGGCAAATGCCGGATCTTCCGAGACACATCATACTCTCTGATGACTGCTCTTGATCTCTTGCCAGGATCAGCCGTTCCCCAGGATCCAGAGAGGAGTTGCATGGTTTCGGTTTTAATCACCTTGTTGATGAAGTAGTGCGTCCCAGCACAGCATGAAAATAAAGTCGGCGCTCGCTTGCATTGCACCCGCACATCTTCGTGCGAGCCCCCCAAAGAAACATGGAACCCTGGCAGCTGTAAGGGCCTGCCTAGGCTTAGCGGGGAGTAGGAGTATGGCCTGCCGCACCCTATACCTTTCAGGTGGCCTGGCTGCCACTCAAGCTTGCAGCATCACCCTGCCGGCTCGGAGATTTTGTGCCATCATCGTTCAGTGTTTCTTTGTGCACTAACTCCAGCATGTCGAAATCGGAAAAAGCGTGCCCCAGCATTCCATCCATATCGGTAGGTAACGCCTACACTATTGCTACGCATTTAAGGAAAGTCGCGTATTTGAAAGTGCAAGCACTGTATTTGGTCTCGACGTGGTGTCGTGAATGGACCTTTTGTAGAAACATTGGTTTGAGAGTAAATGGTTCCAGTACCCTCTCTCTCTCTCTCTCTTCCTTCTGGCCAAGCAGAGAGGGAAGATGGTTTCGTTGTGTCAACTTCGGGGCGGAAGATTACGCACGATGGGGACAAAGACGAGTTTGGGGGAGCCGTATCGAAGTCGCAGCGTCTCAATGGGTGAACAGGATGTAGCTGACATTTTGGGTGTGGAACGGGTGGGAAAGACCTTGTGCGCACGTTGTTTTCTCGCCACTTAGCCTCGAACCCAGTCGCGTGTCTAGGTGGCAGCACATATTCGCCAAGAGGTCCATTGAGGTTGGCCAATCAAAGCTGAAACTTGTGCTCCTTGTCACTAGTTGTGAGCAGTGCTGGCGAAGGCAATGCCAGGTGATGAGAGAAAGGGTGAGCACTTGGAAGGCAGGACGGGAAAGGTGGGCAGTGGAGGGCGAGGGGAGAATGGGAGAGCACTAAGAGTGTTAGAGAGGAGGAAGTTTCTCTCCTCCTCCCCAAACTTCATAGTGTGCCCTTTCTCCCCTCGCATGGCGTTGCCTTCGCCTGCACTGCGCGCAATTAGTGACACGAAGTATAGTGGCCAATCAGTACCCAAGATGCTCTGCATCACGTTGCTAGGGTCGCTTTGATTCTGGAAGAAGTCTATTCTCTTGCCTTGGTGCAGGTAGGAGTAGCAGCTACAAAAGTTGCTCTCCTGCAAGCAGGTGTACGAGATCTTGGCTTCCCCGGTCACTTGAAACGCGATCCTGCCGCTGCGGCTTCGCATACGTTTCACGCGACGTCCGTCGATGAGCTTCAGGGCCGGCTTCAGCGGAGCCCGGAAGAACGCGTGGAGCCTGCAGAAGGAGACGCACATCGTTGAGATATACACTCCCTTCGGCACGCGTACTCCACGGGCCGATTCGTTATCTTCAATACGTACTCGATCAACGTTCCGGACGATACTGGGTCGGATCACATGAAATGAAAGAGGCAAGGTCACACAGTGAATGCAGTGGCATGACGGAGTGCTGCGCGAGCTGTCACAAAGAGGATGAGAACAGCAGGAAGGAGTTTCAGTTGCCGCGCCTTCTGTGCGAACCTTCCACCTTCGATAACGCTTCGGCGTCTAGTGAGCCTCGATCGTGCACGTGCAGCCAAGGCGCCAAAGCACGGCCTGCCGTTCGCATCGTGTCAGTGGCTAATGGAGGGATACTCACTCGCTTTCTGTATTTCGTACTCCGTCGCCAAGTTGGAAAACATCAGGCTCATGATGTCGTGGTGCACCTGAGCGTAACTCATCTTGGCGTCGGAGGTTACCGGAGAAAAAGGGAAGATATGGAGATGTAAACGCTACAAATATTCCATTGAAAAACCCGCGCCAACGGAGACGATGGAAGAACGACTTGCCGGACTTGCTTCGCAAGCGTTGTTCGGCTTGGCGTCCGGCTACGTCTGGCTAATCTGTCCGGCTAGCGCCTAATGTAGAGTTGACTACGGCTGCGTTAATTTATTCAAATTTATAAAATTTCCGCAACTATGCCGTTAATTAATTCCAAAAATTTTAAAATTATGCTAATTTTATTTTTAAAACATATAAAAAGTGTCATTACTATATAAGATTATACGATTACGTTTGATCAACAGTTTTCGCTAAAATTGGCGAAAAAAGAGTGCTCATTATTGTCAGCAACTCAAAACGCGTTTCCGTCAACCACGTGCGTTTGTTTTCGGAGTTCCGCGTTGTCCGGATCTAAATTGATCCGGTAAGTTGCGTGGATCCCAAGCCCAAGATCCGGAACTATGGGGCGATCACGCAAGAAATTCGGCGCTAAAGCGAGGGAACCCGTCGCCGCCACAGAGGCAACGAAAGCTCTTGAGGTCTGCACCTATCCGAGGTTACGTCATCGCGCTCGAGTATCTGTCGGGCACCTCACGACAAACTTTCATCTCTGCATTGCAATGCTTGCTTTTTCTTACCCATTAAATACTAATTTCTCATGATTCGAGCTCCTACAGATGTAAATCTGTTTGGGAATAGGAGCGGATGGTAACGCTGGGCCGACGATGACAGCCCGTTGCCACACAGTTTCTTGAGCGTCAATGCCCCCAAATGTGATATTACATTTAGAACCTCGGAAGAAAGCGGACAACACTCTGGATGGCTGATGGTAGTCATGTCTATTAGAAGTGCGTAGAGAGCGACTTCTGTACCATTGTTTGGCAAGACTACATGAGGAGACGCGGTTTTGTAGTCTTATAGTAAAAGGAACAGCTAACAAATGCAGTTCCTTCGTCGCGTTCCTAGCAGCAAGATATTCAAGGGTATAAGGCTTGCATATGTAGTGCTTAGTAGCCCCCCTCAACTGTGTCATTTGCCGTCGAACAACATGTACTCGCAGCCCCCTTTCATGGGTGTAGGAACAAATGGTCCCAAGTCCAAGGTAGGGAAAAATGGTCCCATAAGAAGATTGTTTTCAAACTAAGATATACCATGCAATATACTTACTCTGTTATGCAATCAGTGATTTCCTGGTGGAATGAAGGGCCTTGTCTTTATTTTGAGGCCGGTTACTTTGAAGAAAGTGGTCGGGTATTGAACTTAATTTTATTTGAAATCGTCAGAATATTTTCGAAACGAATACTGTCCAACAGTTATCCCCTAACCGTTAATTTTGTGGCCTTAAACGATATTATAGGAGTTATTACGGGTCCATCTCACATTTGTGAATGCCGTTTTATCAAACAGCGACGTTTGTGCGAATTGACACTTTAGTGCATAACAGGGGCGCGTGTTAACCCGCCCCCCGCGCTGCGCTTATGCCGTTCGCGGTGACGGTCTGCGGCGGCTCATTACAAAAATGTGAACCCACTTGGATCACCCATAAACGCCGCTTCGCGGCGGCCGCCTATTCGCTAAAGTGTCATTTGGTAAAACGTGGGCGTTCGCTAAAACGTCAGTCGATTAACTGCCCCCCCCCCCTCTCCCCCAGTCATACTGTTGAAGCCATGAAACTCGAATTACTTCCATCTCGTCATGACGCGTAGTGTTAGCACACATATCGAGCGGAGCTCAATGCCTTTATATATGCATTATGTTTCCAAAGTGCAAAACATTTCTGAGCTTCCCAGAAAAATATAAAAACCGGGTCGAGTTCGTGCAACCGGCATCCTCGAAATTCGGCGAGTGTTATTGGATCTTATCGGATTTATCCGAAAATGCAGAAGCCACATTGGCTATATATATCTGGGACCATTTTTTACTAGTTTGTACTTGGGACCAATTATTACGGGGGGTATTTGTTCCGGGACCATTTGTTCCGTTTCCTCACGTTCACATGTCTTCTGGACCATCAAACACTTTGTTCTTGACGGATGTTAACTGGAAGTCCTTTACTAACATGCACTCAGAAGAAATGAACATTTGAATGAATGAATGATATCCAGTTAATAGTACAGGGTGATGAAGGACAATGCCCAGTTCAGGTGTGATGATAGTCAAAAGGACATAGCATGTAGAGATGTTGGATTTGAATTGAATGCAGCCATTGGTTCAGCATCATGTCACTCGTAGTGAGCTGTTTCGTAGTATATAACTGGGAACCGGTGGCTTAAAAAAACGCTTCTCCCCTTGTGCAAGAAGCATCAATATGCATTACTTGTGCTAGGCAAAAAAGCCCACCTCATCCAGTGTGTAAATGACATGGCTGAACTTGAGACAGGGAAGGAAAAGGAAGACGTGAAAAGAGGGAGACGGTGGGTCTTGTCCCTCTTTTTATATGTATTTCTTTTCTTTCCCTGTCTCGGGTTCAGGCACGTCAAGCATATTCACTAGCTCGCCTCCACACACACACTCCCACTTTATAAAGATGGGTCATAATAAAAGCCTGGTAGAAAGCCTTGTTTAACAATTGGTTTCTTGCACGCGTTTTGTGCTGCCGCAGGTTGAAGTCAACTTGGACATTCGGCAAGACAAGTATGACGGCAGCAATGCACTGGTGCTCCCTTCCAAGAAGAAGAAGGAGGCAGTGCAAAAGGCCAAGGAGGCCAAGAGTGTCCCCAAGCTGTCAAAGAAGAAGAAAAAGGAGCTCCAGAAGGTGCTGGAGAGAAAGAAGAAGAAAGTCAATGTGAGGCTTCATTTGTTCATCCATGCAGCGAAAGGAATCAAAGAAATTGTCAGCCCATAGCAGTGATGGAAGTGATGCACCAAATGGGCCCTTTCCAGAGTTTGGCCACGATCGTGGTGCGCCCTGGTGGAAATCACTCAAAGCACTTTTGGGGGCTCCGGGACCGTTGTCCGTGCCAGCGCGCGGCGTGTCTCCCAGTTTGTGTGTTCTCAGGTGGCGTTGTTCCGTCTTGCCAATCTGAGTGTGTCTTTCTGTCGTCGCTTCGTGTGCATCTTTTTTTTTAAATGGCTGAGGACGACCCTGGAGGATTAGCGAAAGCCACTGTCTGCGATACAGATGACATTGTTTGTCTTTATACCTTCAAAGATGGATAGACCATCAACTCGGAGTACTCAATCGTCACTTCGGTGTCGCGTCGTGCAAGCAACTGAAAGAGGGGTCAGCTTTCAAGGGGGAGTGTTATATAAGGGAAGTTGACCAGTTTCGATCGCAAACCAACTATCTACCTTGTACGGAGCTTGTGAGTTCTGTTTATAAGGCCGGCCACTACAAACAGCTGATTTCGTCCTCCTTGAGCGCCTACGTTATTCGAGCCTATTGCGTTCCGGCACTTCGCCGTCCTATGTACCGCGCAAGCGTACAGGGCATTGCTGTACCCTGGGCTGTGTAAACAAATTCAGACGGCGTGAAATCCGGATGGTCTTGATGTCACGAAGGCTCGCCTGCACCATCATAAAGTAAGGAACGGTTTGTTAGAAACAATCTCTTTGAATTCAAAATGTTTATAAACCTCTGACAAAGTGGGCCCTGTAAACAGGGGAGCTCACGGTTGGTTGCTAAGGCATTCCGTCGGGGTTCTGTAGCTGGAAGGCATGAATCTATTTCGCATGCTTCAAATGTTTTGCCAATAACAAATTTTTTTTTTTTTTTAGTATGGCAAGACGTGAATGTGTATGGCACACGCCTGAAGAGCGGAAAGCTTTACGAAAGGGGACAGCGCAAAAATAAACGAGGGATGAGAAGAAGAGGTAACGACAGACACGGCGCTGTGAAAGGGGATCAGCGCAAAAATAAACGAAGGACGAGAAGGGGAGGTAACGACAGACAGGGTGTGTCTGTCGTTACCTCTTTTTCTCTTCCCTTGTTTATTTCCGCGCTGTTCCCCTCTCTGTTTGTCAAACCAACTCTCCCAACTTTATGCGTCGGAAAGCTTTATCCAGTTATTCTTTACTTGAGTACTGGGTGCAGCATGATTACGTTACACAAGCTTGCGTGCACACTTACTGTTTTTTTAGTTAAAAGCAGATGTCCCACCGTCACGTTGAAGACCCAGCCACTTGACACGGGGGATTCGCATAATAGGCTTCTCAAAGTGGGGCAAAAAATGCAGCGGGGTATTTGACATCGGGTGCTTTCGCGAGCCACCCACAAAGGCTGCTGAAACTCAATAAAATCTTGCATTTGAATCATTTTTACTGTTATTTGTGCAACCTACAGTTGCGCAGTGGTGAGGCACGACGACTATGAAGCCAAGACGCGAGCATTGCGAAGAGAGTCGAGCCGAACCAGCACTGTCTGAGCGACTAAACGGACGAGAGAACCCCCAAAAATGGCACTTTTCCCTTTCCTCCTCTTTCTCGGAGTTGGTGCATCCACCCAGTGATCTATAAGAAAGACTCATTGCACCATGAACAAAAGTCTGCTACATCTTCCACCATAGTGCCATTTCTTGCTAAGAATTGTGCCGCACCTGCACCAAGATGGGCTTAAGCAAAGCAAAGAATAAAAATATTTTATTATTGGTTGACCCTAATTAGAAAAGTAGGAGGAAGAGAAAATGGTAGTACAATTATGTATTTCTGGGTCGAAGCACGGTCGAAAGCTCGAACACATAAAACCCTGAACACGCATACTAAAAGCATAAGTCACGGGAAATTCACTGCATTTTGGTGGTTTAGTCACCAAAAGAACGTACAGGAAGATGGACTAATCCCATGATGTCGCACTTTGACGCTATTTAGTCGGTCCTATCGTCTCATCACGTCAGCTGTGCTTTGAATTAAGGCGAAACAAAGTATTAACGCCCGTTCACACACTTGTATTTGACTACGACTGACTGAGACAAGACCGGTTTTTAAGCCTCTTGTGACGGTGTGACCAGTTATGCAGCAATACAGTCGGTCGTAAGCTGTCACAACAGGCTTAAAAACCGGTCTGGTTTCAGTCGGTCGAAGTCAAACTCAAGTGTGGGAACGGGCCTTAAAAAGATTGCTCGGCAACTGCACTGGCCAATTAATGTACTGGTGGTTTGATCACTAACATCGTCTAAATTTCTAGACCAGGGGTCTCAAACACGCGGCCCAGCCCGCAACTTGCTGGGACGCGGCCCGCAGGCCACCGGCAACGAGACCCGGTTTCCATGTCTTGAGCACTAGAAATGGCATGTGCCATCGTGATCTTACCTCACCGATTCATTTTCGCTCGAAAAGTTGTTCCGCTCTTTTAACATGTTCACATAGTTTTTACTTATCTGTGTTCATTTGCCCTTTGTTTTGCTTTATGTTTTGCTTCCCAGTTTTTTTTTTAACGTACAACAATTCTGCTACTAAGCTGCAAGCGCAAACTCTCGATCAGCAGGAGCAACCGTCGAAGATAAAGCAACGTCCTCGGGATTCTCGCCTTTAAAAATAAATGTAACCATTGAAAGACAACTATGGCTGTTGTATCGTCAGGAAAATACAAAACTGCCAAATTAACTAATTGTTTTTAGAGACATGTTTAGCTTGGTTAATTCCTGAGTGAATTGAACAACGGGAATGACAGCGTACTCGCTCTCTTGTTCTATTCAAAATAGAATGTTCTATCCGCACGTTAGCGAGGAGGTGTCATTTTAATTACTGTTATCACATCAGTTCAAGGCCCAGAGTAGTCATATAAACAAATCAAATCTAAAAATGTTGCCGAGAAAACTGAGTTTACAGAAATCATAGAGCACGAAGTCTCTTCTCTTTTAAATCGTTTGGCCACCCCCCCCCCCCCTCCGTCTAACGTTGGCTCTCGGTCTTCCCCGTGTGGGATATCTGGCCCCCATGCTGAAATGAGTTTGAGACCACTGTGTAGACAAAGTCGGCGATGTCAAGAGCTAGAAGTTGCGAGAAAACATTGCAAGATAGCAGAATGGCGGCAACTGGGATAAGACAAAATCGGGGTCTTGCACTCCTGATGAGATTACTTCATTATCCTTTCTGCCGCATGCCTCTGTCCCGCCGCTCACCAGCGCGCGTGTCGAGCTTCACCGTTTTTAATGCGAAAGCATTAACTGGTCCTATGGAGCGAGCCGACGTTATCAGCTTTGAAGCCGCGCCAAACAGCAGCTAAACTCCCCTCTCCCAATGGAGCGAAGTGAAGTGCGATCTGAAGGCTCCCAGCTTTGAAGCCGCGCAAAAAGCCACGGGAAACGGCAGGTAAATTCACCTCTTCAAAAGGAGCTAAGTGAAGCCGAAATATGATTGATAGGCTCCGATTGGCCGGCACGCGTCAGTTTCAAGGACCGCCACCCCATGGCGCTGCAAGCCTGCGCTGCAGCGCACCAGTAAAAGGAAGCGGCTGGCTGCAAGGCCTCCCAGAGTCCGCTCGGGCAGACTCCGGAGTGGCTGCACGGGCGATGTCAGCACGGCGCAGCCCCTTCACAAGAGCGCACGCTCGGCCTTTGGTGGCAAGCTCGGCAGTAGCGAAACGTGGCCGTCCCCGCTAGTACAGCGGACATGAACTGAGGGAGCGGAAGAACGACATTCATGCTTTCACAGTCACAACTCGTAAGAAGTGCTTAGGTGTACTTGGAGCCTTTTTTTCACTCGGGTGCTAGGAGCAGTGGCTTGCATGGGTGAGGAGCTTGGTTAGCGTGATAGGCTTGGAAATTATGCTTAGTACTATTACAGGTCTAGCTTCTTTGGTCTTGAATTTAAGTTGATCTTTAATTTTAAAAAGCTGCACCGAGAAAGAGAAAAAAAACATGGCTTTGAATAAGTATGGTAGTGAAGCTAGTTCTCGTGCAGCTGTCAATCGAAAGAGCAACAAACTTTCACTTCACTCTGGTTCCGACGCCATCAAAGAGCTGTGTCACTTTTAAGGCACAAGTGTAGGTTTTCATCACATTTCTTAGCGATCTTTTTTTTTTTTTTTTTTTTTTCAGTTTATAATATTTGAGTCTTTAGTTTGGAAGGTTCATGAAACATGGGGGAAGCTTTTTTATTGATAGACATGTTAGCAGATATACTGCTTTTTTCTGGCATTTTACAGAAATTATATTTATGGACTAAATAAACTACCGGATCTAAAAATGGCACTTTATCCCAATTGAACTGTTGTGGTTGATTAGATTTTCAACTATCTTTTAGTGTTTGCTGTAAATAGAACCTACTCTGACCAGAGCCTTACTTCTAAAAAGAAGGATCTGTGTTTATTTTTGCACCCTATTTATTTTGATCACAAATTATAGTAAATAATATGCTCCAGTATGAAAAAGGAACCCTCAATCATTATCAAAAATGAACTCATTTAGCGATGTAATAAATTTTGGTTGTCAAGTGATATGCTAACAGATGTTGGCATCTGCTCCAAGCCAATAGTTTGCCTGCTACAGTACCTGCTACTAAAGGTCAAATGCCGCTTCCATCACTGCTATGGTGTCCTAGCTGCTTGCTGGGGTGATAGGAGGTACAAACATTAATGCTAAGAGAACTGTGTAGTTAACTACGGCCATGCTTGCAGTTCACACTGTTCAGTGACGGTAGAACAGGGGGGAATTGCCCATCCCCTTTTTAACAATTTGGGGAAAGAAAAGCAATCGCATTAATATAATGCTTAGGGATCGGTTTTCCCAATTGCAATGTTTTGTTTTCAGAGAACAATACAGGAAGCAGTGTTTCAGCCAATTCATAAAATATTAAGCCCCTAAACATATGGATGATTATACATTTCTTTTATATACAAACTTTTATCCTTAATTCATTGCGATGTTCCAGGAGTAGCCAGCATACTAAGTATGCTTGATCACAAAATGATTGTAGACCCTTTTGGACACAAGGCCTGGGTCCACAACAAAACAGAGGTTACTATTTTTAATTATTTCTTGTTTCTGTATTTTAGAGGACCCATTTGCTAGAAGAGTTGGAGAAATCACAAGCTAGCAAAAAAGAGCTATCTATGTTGATTTCAACATCTACCATGCAGACAAAGGGCCTGAAACGGTAAGGGGACATCTGTCGTCTCAAGTTTCTTCATCTGATCATTTTACTCTGCTTGTTCAGCTCTAAGAGATTACTCATTGACACAAAATGTACAATATGGAAATAAGATCTGTAGAAAAATTCTTAAACAATTGCATCTAACACAGGAAAAAATCAGATCTAGGTTATGAATTATCTGTGATAATTTTACTTGATTCACTGGATTGAATGACAAGTAGGAAAGTAAGTTATTTAAATAGGAAGTGGGAAGCATAAGGTGGAAGTGGTTGTGGGGCAGACACATTCTCTTTTAAAACACTCTGTTCAGTTACCTTACTAAATGTTAAGAAATAGGGAGCAATCCTTAAATTTTTATGCAGTAGTGTCCCATGACCATAGTACTAAGGCAGCAACAAATTTTAGCTGTTGCACATTACTTTATTTCTCCTTGTCTCAGGGTTTAGATTAAGATGATAAGTTTCTGTGTGCTATTCGGACAGTGAGTGGACTAAGGAAAGTATGACCTGCAGCTAATGCGAATTTCGAAGATAAGTTACAAACATCCATAGACGCTGTGTACACCGATTCCCTTCCCCTATTGTAAAGATAAGTCGCCACGTCACATTGTAGTTAGTACTGATGCTAACACAATAAAGGCAGTAATAGTAGAGACGCCGCCAAGGGTAAAGACAGTTCAAAGCTTCGCAATAGAGTTGTTTCACTGCAGCATCTAACTTAGCGTCACCTGTCTCTGCACAGTCTTGGAGAGCTCACCTCAGCGGAAGCACAGCCCACAGAGAAACTTGGGGCTCAAATCAACAGCATCAAGGGTAGCAGACCCACTGCCCCCAAGAGACCTCGCCTCCGGGGGTCCGACATTCTGGATCTAGATCCAGAATCCTCGGAAGATAGCTCCGGCGACGACGACAGCAGCGAAGACGAGGAGCGGTTGAAACAGTTGGGTGCAGATCGAGAGGCCACAGGTTCTGGCGAAGAGAAATCTGGGGAAGACGACTCGACGGAGGGTGCCAAAAACGCTGTCGCGAACTCTGGACAGGAGGAAGCTGTGGCCACAAACGAACTCGCCCAGAAAAGATCGGAGCCGAGTGCGACACAACCAAAACCTCCACCCAGGCCAGCGGTTTTTGTGCCAGTGCATAGGACTGAGGAAATTCAGGTCGGTGGGGACATGCTCCATTAATGCTGATGTTCTTAGTAAGTTTATCTTCAGAATATGGTGTTGCGAGGGTAAATATATGAGTTAATTTATTTAGCCCTGGCCAGAGTAAATTTATGAATTTACTCTTACCAGAAGCTATTTATTGTTCTTGGATAAAATAAAGAGGAAGAGTGAGGACATTGGGTTTGGGAAAGTGGCAGTGTCAATTGAAATTCAGAGGCTTTGTCTCTTGCCTCCCCTGTTATACCAGGACCCTTTCTTAGAAAACTGACATTTTGTGCGGCAATTTCTTTTTTTGTTTATTTAGACTGGGGATATTTATGCAAAAACTCCTATCCATCTTAATTAGATGGATTAAACTTTGGTCATGTGCAATGGGTTTAATTCATACATTGAAATTGAGTACTTGACTATTTAGCCTGTATCTGTTGAAATATGCGTTCACAATACTGCAGAGGCGTGCTATCAGTTCATTAGAAGGCATCATGTGTGAAGTGCTATGAAAGCATGTTTAGCTTTTCTTTGACATTTCTACTCCCCCTTTTTATTTTTTCACTGTATCTGTTATATATAAAAAAGCACACTAGTGAATTCCAAAGATAATCACTTTGGCAAGATATCATCTGATTGGACTACAGCCTGGCCAGTGTTGCATGAGATACATAAATTTGCCGTGCAACGACCATTAAAACGAATTTCGAAAATTATGTGCACGTTTCTTGAATAATGGGGGATACTATTTTGGATACTTTTAAATAGCTTCCAGAGTTTGTTGAAGGATAAGGATACATGCATATTACAAATATTACAAATGTCTCATCTCAAATTTCAACAGTTGCAGTGAGTGTGTGCACATACCCCAAAATTTATTGTGTCCTGTTCTAAATTTCTAGGAACTATGAGACGAGTTTTATTAATATCTCTGTTTCGAGATGCATAAGAGAAACATCCTACGAGTTCTCTTTTCTTGCAGAACGCGAGGCACCAGCTGCCGATCTTGGCCGAAGAACAGTCCATCATGGAAGCCATAAATGAGAATGACATTGTGGTGATCTGTGGTCAGACTGGTTCTGGAAAAACAACCCAGGTCCCACAGTTCCTTTATGAAGCTGGATATGCTAGGTAAGCTGATCTCCTTAATAAATGTAATCACAAAAAAGTTTTAAAAAATGCTAAATTTAAAATATAAATTAGAAGTTTCTTCTGATGTGTGATAATCTTGATGTTTACAACTTTCATCACATATATAAAGAGTAAAATAAAGACAGTATTTTGTAGCAAGGTTAGTCAAATAGATTTGAAGCCCTTGCAGCAGCTCGTGAAGTCGAAAACCTTGGGGAATTTTTTAGGTTTCCCTCTGTGTGATTGTTTGCCCCCTTACTGGCTCTTGGGCAAAGTGCGAGGCTGTAGATCCCTAGTTGGTGGGTTTGGACATCTGCCGAGCTGATCTACAATTTGACGGAAGCTCAATGCTGAGAAGACTTCTTATCTTTCGGTTTTATGTTATACGATTCCTTGGTGTTCTATACTAGTCCTCAGTCCTTCAATTAGGCATACCAAAGTCTCTTGATTGGTTTGGCACACAAACCTCCTAAATTTATTTATTATTCATTTCTTCCGTGGAACTGTGGCAGAGCCTACCATCACATGTATTTAAGGAATTATGCCTTGTCAAGCTTTCTCCAAAGCTCTCTCGAAGCTTTTTTTTTTTTTCTGAAACAAATAATAATGGGACTGGTTAAAGTGGATGCAATGTAATTACAAATATTTGAAATTTGAAGTATATAAGTAATAATAGCAAATACTTTTTCTCAAACACAGGGTATGTAATGTAACTGTCACTTAGCTGTTGTTTGTAACACCCTCCTGTAACGAAAAAGACGTCATGCACAAAGATGTTTGTGCCGTCAAAAGAAGAGTATGCATACCAAGTTCTTGTGCACATCGTCACTGCAAACCAACACATAATACGTTCTGCGTTATCACTGCATTTGCCACGATAATGTGGGAAAAGGACACATTTTTTTTCTAGAGACCTTTAGCCCCACCTGGGTGCTCTTTCAGCCAAACAGTTGTTTAGGGCTGTGTACAGTCTCCAGCGTATGAGATACCCACTTGACGAGGCAGTTTCATGCGGCCATGCTGGATTCACTTTGGTGAGGCCCACATTTCTTGGGGTGAGGAATTAAATTAATGTTTTTTTCTATTTTTCTAAAACCATAGTGCCTCTGGCCACAGTGTGCTTAGCACCGCCGCCGCGTAAACTGCCTCATCGAATGTGTCCTTCATATTAGCGAAGACTGTATGCAGGTTTCCAAGGAATCTGTGCCGGTTCCACTAACTGTGTTGTGTTCCCTTGGGAACGCAGCCAGAAGGGCATCATCGGCATCACGGAGCCCAGGAGGGTGGCGGCCGTGTCCATGTCGAAGCGAGTGGGCCAGGAGATGAGCCTGCCCTGCAGCGTGGTCTCGTACCAGATCCGCTTTGAGGGAAACACCACCGAGGACACCAAGGTCAAGTTCATGACGGACGGCGTGCTCCTCAAGGAGATACAGAATGTACGTCTCTTACGTCCTTGACCCTTGAAACAGTTTTCTGTGGAGGTCCGAGAATAGTAAGATTTCAGCTTGAACCAAATGCGTATCGAGTAGCATTGAATATTTGCCAAAGAGTCGAACGTCGAATGAAATATGAAATACCAAATTTTTTTTTGTAACGCACAGAAACAACAAAAACCACTTAGACTAAACAATATACGCCTATCTGCATATTCTACCATGGGCAAGCCGAACGAAGAGCGACTGGCACAAATAAAAAGGGCATTAATGATCACTCGCCAATGACAAATTTGAGACGCAGCTGAAAAGCTGAAAACTGTGTCAACCCATTCACTCGTGGATACACGGAGTTGGCAGAGTACTGGATGGATAGACAGGTGCGGCCGAACCGTTTGAATCGGAGCAATGTCTTGCGTTACCTACGATCACTGACAAGGTGAGAGGAACAGGGCTCTTTCTGCCAGTTTCCCATCTTCGACAACTCTCTCGTGTCTCGTGCACTTCGAGCAAGCACTTTTGCAGCCTAGGCACTGCGGTAGACGTGGAGCGCATGCTACAAGCCAAACATACAAAAGACACACACTTTTGTTCTCATTCTGTCGGTGACTACGGCCACAACGCCCCTTTTGGCGCCGCGGGAAGTCACGGGTTAGTTGGTGAGCCAATGAGGCGGGTTCTTAAGATTCTCAAAACAAAAGCTTACAGAAATCCAAACTCACTGTAATATCCTGAGATATAGCCCACCTGAAATTGAAAGCAAATCGGGTAAAAGCAAGGAGTAGGCTAACTTCCAGTATGCAATAAAAAAATAAAAGTTGAAAAAAATCTAGTTTTAGGTTTTGTGATCTACGGAACTTGCGATTGCAGGGAGAAACAACGAACCAGAGACTACTGTCCTTCCCAGTCAGTGACGTTCGCCTATCTCCCGTCGTGGTTAAGTAGTAACACCACTTCTGCCGAGGTTAACATTGACCAGGGTCCTGCGGTTACTAGAAGTAAACTATCTTTTGGTGTTTTTGAAAAAATAGCAAGTGGTGCCACATATATAGGGGGCAGGTTTTCTTTCAGGTGTGGAGCATCTTTCAGGATATCACGCTAAACGTTTTTGCGGGCTGCGGCGTTCAGAATGATTGTGTACACTTATTGGCACCATGAATGTTAGAACAGTGGGACCTCAATCTGTCCGGCGCATAAGCATGATACAGAACATGCAATTGAGTTTGTTTGCTACTTGTGGTGGCATTATGGCTGAAAGCACAAAACCACAATTATGGTCTTCAATGTTCCTTGCATTGACACTGCAAGTTGTTTATTTAACTGGATTACTAAATTTGCATGCTTCTTGTTTTGTTACACTACTCCTTTGCTGTTGACTTGGCATGTGGGTCACTATGATTGTATGACATTACAAAAGCTTAGTAGTTGCCAAAGAGAACAATGGAGGTATAGCGCATGAGCTGCCACAAGTGCCATACACAACATTGTCCCGCGACGGGGGTTTTGATACAGGCGTCTTCTTGATTTTGCTAGAACTTCCTTCTCACCAAGTACTCTGTCGTCATCATCGACGAAGCACACGAGAGAAGCATCTACTCCGACATTCTCATTGGACTCCTCTCGAGGATTGTGCCACTGCGAAGGAAGGCAAGACAACTTCACTTTTAGTTGTATTTCTCTTAAGCATTTATCTTTCTATTCCCAGGCTGCCACTACCAATGCGTTCCGCGGCTGGTTATTTTTTCCTTTCCGCCTGATTTTAATTATTTTCCCTATCTTCTGGGACGGCTTGTTCACGATTTCGCTCCCCAAGCGCTCACCGCGGTGGCGCCGAGTTTCGGGCGACTTCCGCGGCGCTCCAGCTTTCTGCGAGGACGGATGTACAGTTTTCGGAATTCCGTTCGTGACTTGTTTCAGGTATTTAGTATATTATCCAGCATGGTATGCCAAGGTTGTCTACTCAGTTGTGAAACTCCTCTCTGGATGAGGGCCCTTTTGTGTGTTGCCTTTTAAAGTGTATCATTGGGCAGATTATCATCATAAATGAATGCTTTCCTTGCTGAGTTTGTCGATGACCTACAAATCTAGAAATATTTTAGGGCGTTGTTTGGGTCGATCTCTGCTTTTCTATTGATAAAGTTTCTGCTGTGTTGGTGTAGTCGCTGAAACACTTTTCAAATGCTCACCTTGCTTACTCTAGTTTGAAATACAGTGTTCCTGTGCATGCATATTTATACAATAAATTCACCAAGTCATTCCTGGGTGCCAACAAACAATCCGGGTGTGTTTTACCCTTCTTTTAAAGCAAAGAGCTGCTAATAAATGGCATATTTCGATAAGGCCCTGCCTGTAGATGAAATATCTTGAGTCCCTGCGGTACCACTACTGCGAAAAATCGGTCACAGTTTCGAATGCTTTCTGTTGTATAGCACTCTCAACTGAGTTGAATGAGTAAAGTTGTGGAACACATAATTTCTGCTTTGCACCTTCAGCATTGATTTCTGTAATTTTCCATTTGAATGACTTGGCTTTCTTTATGTTTTCCAGAGAGGCAACCCTTTAAAGTTAATAATCATGTCTGCGACTTTGAGAGTCGAAGACTTTACACAGAATAGTCATCTCTTCAAGGTTCCACCTCCTGTTCTCAAGGCAAGGCAATTTCTTTCTATGTTTTGGTTTAGCGGACATATTGAAAAAAGATAGTAAGTCAGGTAAACATAAAACACTCTAAAAACATTTCTACATACCTATATTAGCATATACCGCCTGAGTCAAAGGGGTCGATGACTGTTTGTAGGGACCGCATAAATTGGTTTCTTAACATATCACGCTAGCATTTACTACAGAGGTGCCCGAAGGTGGTGGAAGCTGTCGCTAAAATTGTGGTAAGATTGGCTCACCTGAGTAAAGTAAATCACAAAAAATCAAAAACGATGTTTTTCCTATATTTTGTGCATACACTTAAAAATTATTTAGTGTCACTGTGACGCTTATCTGGGCCAAACAAAGTCAAGAGGCAGGTAAGCCAATTGTTTTTTTCTTTCCATTTCACCAATTTTTCAGTCATAATAAACACCAGAATAGCCCAGAACGATTTTCTGATGATTTTGAGAAAAAAGGCGTAGCAATACTTCTTCCATTAACAAAACCTGTTTTTTTTTTTTTTTTTTGGAGGTTTCATGTATTTATTCCCTCAATTAATGAATGCGCCACCTTCGAGCACCTCTGTAGTAAATCCCAGTGCGATAATTTGAGAAAATGATTTATGCAGTCCCTTCAAACCTCCATGGATCCCTTTGACTCACCCGGTATTTTTCTGCACCATGGTGCTTTGTTGTTGGAGATCGCTCACATACAGTAATGTATCTACTTGGCATATTCTGCTTACTGAGGCTTCCATTCATTCTTGAGTTTTTATTTTAACATGCATGGTGTTTAAACTTAATCCAAAAGGATTTCTTTTTAAAAAAGGTCAATAGTTAGGCAGGTGCCCTCCTCGCCATGTATTTATCAGGCTCGACGTATATTAAATGGGGGGTTAATCGTCATGGTAAATTGGCTAACGAAAAAATAGTAATTACCTTTTAATTCTTGGTTTTAGGGGTTATGTTGCGATTGCAGTATTGATCCCGGTTATTATTAGAGGCCAGACCAATTAAAAGGATTTACGAAAATGTAATCTTTTTTTAGATATTGATCAAAATTCACATTCTGTTGCCCACTTTAAATATTGCACGAAAAATTAGTGCAGCAAGCCCTGCCCACAATGACGCTGGGAAGAGTGACGTAGTTGTCTCAGTCGCATTGTCACTTGTGCTGTCAGATTAGCCGCCAAGGACGCGTTGCCAAGACTGTGATGACATAAATGAAACGACTACGTCTCTCTTCTAACCATCATTGTGGCCAAGGCTTGTGGCTTTTGCATTAAAGGGCAGCTCCACTGAATTTCTAAAATTTTGGGATAATGAGTGATTTCACAATAAAAAGCACTAATGAAAAACACTACGTCACTTGGTTCGTGAAAAATTTGATGTATATTGTTAGATCTTACTTTAAACATGAGCAGAAATCGAAGCCGAAACTTTTGCTCCGGCTGGCAACATTGGTCTCGGGCCGCCCAAAAACATGGCTATCACGTGGTACGAGATGTCATATGATCCTCTGTACAACGACGGGCAGGATTGAGCTGAGGCGGGCCGGCAGGCCACCATGGTCACCGTTGGGAGGCCGGAGGGCAGGCGCAAGTGTCGTCTGCACCGCACTCTTCACCATGTTCCAGTGTCTACAGATTCGACGACGTCTGCACAACTGCGGCATCAGTCTGCGCACGTAGTGTGAAGGAAACTCCGAGAGACAATAATCACAAACGGTGAAATGACGACGGCGGTTGTGACGTGGGAGATGGCGGTAACGGCTGGACGGCCTGTCCATTCCCATGAAGCGCGCTGCTCAAGCGCGTTATGCCAATCACGTGGACACCGCCGAGCGCCGAGAGGAAACAATGCTGACGTCACCCGTTACGCTTGCTGGGAGAAGTAAAAACAAACAAAAAGGGGCAATGGTGGTGACGTTTATCTCAATGTTGACTACACCAACACCGTAGCCTTGACTGCACTGTTGATTGCGCCTAATTCGCCCCTCTAGAGTCGGTTGATTTTTGGCAACTTGGCACGTTTCAAAGTTTGCCGTGCTCATTTAAGAAACACTTAGACAGTACTAGGTCGTAATATTTGGCATGTGGTCTTCCTATGTGATACTGAGCAGGACTGCATTGTTTTGTCATAAAAAATGAAGCGGAGTTGCCTTTTAAATTGGGCTAGAAAGCGTGAAACGTGATTAATTAATATCTAAAAAACTATTACATTTTTGCTAGTGATTTTTGATTGGTCTGGCCAATAGTAGCATTTCATGTTGAATACTGAAGGCATAGGCTGGAGGCGATACTCAAACAGGCTTATACTGGCTTGCACTTGACATTCATCTGACCCGAGCACCTGATTCACTAGCGCTCGGTGCACCAGCCCCGGCAGTGGCCACGAGCTGATGACGCCGATCAGTCACTCAGTACACGACGATTGCCGTCAATACTGCAATTGCAACATGACCCCTAAAAACAATAATTAAAAAGTTAGTGAACAAACTCTAGTTAATTATCCAAATTAGTATGACGATTATTCCCTCATCTAGTGTCTGTCGAGCCTGATAGATACATGGTGAACACGGTGCTCGTCTAGTTCCCACCCTCCCTTTTGTTAAAAAGATCTGTTTGAATTAAAATAAATCAAACGCCTCGTGTAGTAAACATATTTGTCTCAATAGGTGGACTCTAGGCAACATCCGGTCACCATTCACTTTAACAAGAGGACGCCTGATGACTATCTACAGGAAGCCTACAGAAAGGTTTCTGCAGTTTTGCTTTCCCAATTATAATCTGTTTTTGTGCATTTGTAATTACTGACCTTGCCATGTGATTTAAAGGAACCTTGAAGACGATTTTGTATAGAAAAGGATGTTTTTTTTTTTTATTCTTGGGGCCTGGCAATATGCCCAATCTCTTTATTCAGTTTTATGAAGCTTATTATTTTATATACAAAATAAATCAAGAAAACCGAAACTGACGATTGGCTTTCCCGCCATACAACCTCAACGGCGGTGATTTCTACAGTGAACTGTCGGTTTGGTAGAATTTAGTGGTCATGAGCATAGATGCACGGTGAGCTCTAACGGCGCTTTGGGGTTTGAGTGCGTTGTACCTCGTTGTAACTGCGAGTAACCAGGACATTCGTGCTTCGTGTGCCGCTTGCCAAGCTACTCCTTGAATTGGCTGCCTCGCTTCACACGAAGTACAGATGACCTGGTGTCTCGCAGCCATTTATTGATGCAATGCAGTCAAACTCATTCTAACACAACTGTGTGCAGAGACCTTATTTTTTGTCGACATTGTTTATTGCCGATTGCATTGCGAGTGGCGCTATTTCATTGTGAAGAACAATAATTGTTGTGTATTTCTGTCGTGTACCATGTGAAACAGAACACAGTGACAGGCTTAACACGAACACCATTAGCTTTACTAACCCAAGACATGACACAACTATGGTCCTGCTCGACGATACTCGGCATTAAAGCGACGTAGTCTTAGGCTCGCGCAAAGGCGTAAAGGTCTCCTTGGATGAAAGGCTGGGTGGATGTGCTGGAAAGTTTGGGGTGTGCTAGACGAAGTCTAACAGAAGCTTTTTGACGAGGATCCGGAGGAGCACCGGAAACTGCAACGCGTCAGCCTGGAACTGCTTCTGTAGCTCCCTTCACACGTGGAACCAAGAATTGTGCGACAAAAGACAATGATGTGTCGATTTCTTTCTCTCGTAAGAAAAAAAAATCTTATATTGTCGCACTAAACACTTTTGAAGTCATTCCTTGCTTAATATTCATGAGCGAAAAGCACTAGACTATTGAATCCACACGTTAGCCGACTAAAATAGTATTTTATTTCTATTGCAGTAATCCTTTCTGACAAAAATATAAGGTTTTCGTTGTTACTATAAAAAAAAAGTTTTAGCAATTTACGATTAAAAACAAAGACGAGCAGACTTCATTCCCTTTAACCAATTGCCTAACAAGCCTACACTGATGTCACAGTCCTCGTGACTCATAAGGTTGATTTTTGTCGCAATCTAGGGCGCCGCTGTCATTGGTCCCAGTGTAATGTTTCCTGCGTCTGTTAAATTCATTTATGCAACGCGCAAGCATAACTTTGGGCTAAAACTTGGTGAACTTTACCTGGAATACACGGGACCTCTATTTCAACTGTTAAGCTGGACTTCCAAATCACCTCCATTGTCTCTTTAAAGGGTAACTGCAAAGAAAAATAATTGTATTTTTAAACAGCCTAATTGGGACAAGCATGTCACAAAACAAATTTTCTGCCAAAAATGAAATTTGTTACAGCAATATTTATTGCACGAGACTCATTCTAGTTTGCGGCTATTTCGTCCGTTTTAAATTGCGTGCCACAAAGTTGGTATTATACGTCGCAGAGTGGCTGCTATACGTCATGGAGCGACGTATTGGCGACGTGCGTGATCGAAAGCGTCGTTGTGGTTGGCCTTTCACAATTGGCTGAATGCTGACTATGACGTTAGCAAAGGATTTCTTATTGACGTAAATAAGAGGAATGTATGAACTTGAATTTTGACGGTTCTGGCAGTGTTGCTTTGAGAGCACAATGGTTTCAAGCTTCCACCATGGTAATTACAAACACCATCAAACTTGTTGTTCGCAGGGTAATGGCATCATGAGAGGGAACTGTTATGTCCGGCATAACATGGAAAAAGAAGAAGACGCGCCTCGTCTTCTTCTGCGACATCAGACAGTGTACGTGCCTGCGCATGCAGGGACATTCGGTCACGCCGCCATCACGATCGCAGAGTAAAGCTACTCATGCTTTCCGTAAGCGACTCCTGATTACTCAGCACGTAACATTGGCGACGAAGGCGGACCAGAACCGCAAAAGGGAAGACTTGCATCGTTTGAACGATGTCAGCGCTGCAAGGCAAGGTCGAAGAGTTTGACGGTACTGCGTGGTCGGCCTGGGCGGAGCGCTTGGACTTCTACTTCCAGGCGAACGATGTGCAAGACGCCGGAAAGAAGAGGGCGCTACTGCTGACTTTATGCGGCGCAGAGACCTACAACACAGTTCGAGCGCTAGTTGCACCCCACAAGCCAGGAGAAGTTTCTTTCAACGAAATTATGTCCTTGCTAGGGGACCATTACGATCCAAGACCATCCGAACTCTTCTGTCGAAGCAAATTTCAGAGGCGTGATCAACATCCAGGGGAGTCAATTGCTTGCTACGTGGCAGCACTTAAGAAATTGGCAACTGACTGTAACTTTGGCGTGTTGACGACAGCTACATCGCCAACGACGACAGCGGGTTCGTCGAGTGCCGGCGGCACAGCGTCAGCGGGGTCGTCGAGCTCCGGAGGCATATTGGCTTCCAATCCAACGATGCTGCCGCTGGACGTGATGCTTCGTGACCGCTTCGTCTGCGGAGTTCAAGATGAGCGTATTCAACAACGTCTTTTTGCAGAACAAAAACTCACATTCAAGCAAGCTTACGATATTGCCATCAGACTTGAGAGTGCAGTGCAACAACAACAGGAGCTGAAACTCCCCAAACCAGACCTCAACAAAATGTGTAGAACTACGAACCGGGCAGCCACCACTTCCAGTGGTCAGCCGGAGACGCCGTGTTACCGCTGCAATGAGCAACACAGCGCACAAACCTGTCGATTTCGCAAAACATCGTGCCGATTTTGCAGAAAGACGGGTCACATTGAGAAGGCTTGCCGAATGAAGGCTCGATCCGGAGCTGCACAACGCTCGACCAACCTGGTGAGCGATGACCAAAACGAGACTGATCAGTCAGTAAGTGATTTTGACATGCAGGAACTTAACGCTGTTCGTGCCAGCGTCGTGGTTCCCAAGTACCTCATAACGCTTAAAGTAGAAGGAAGAGCACTAGAGTTTGAAGTTGACTCTGGTGCAGCAGTCACGGTCATCAGTCAAGAGACCTACAGGCGAACATGGCCAAACAACCCACCTCCGTTACAGAAAGAGGATATGACGCTGCAGACGTGGACCGGTGAAGGACTCCGAGTTCTCGGTTCAGCGCAGGTACACGTAAAGCATAAGTCTAAGGACTATATCCTGCCACTCCTAGTCACAACCGGAACAGGATGCAACCTGATGGGACGCAACTGGTTTTCAGCACTGCAGATTCGACTCAGTGGTATTCACCACATTGAGCAAGACCGTACTATCACAACGGTGCTCAGCGCGCACAGTGAGGTCTTCAAGTCTGAGATCACAGGGTACATCGGACCAACGGTACACTTGGAGATGAAAGAAACAGCAACACCCAAGTTCCTTAAAGCCCGACAAGTACCATTTGCACTACGGCCAGTAGTTGAATGCGAATTGCTAGCATTGCAGAAGCAAGGCATTATAGAGCCGGTTCAACACTCCGCGTGGGCAACGCCTGTCGTGGTTGTCAGGAAGAAAGATGGATCCGTGAGGCTCTGCGGGGATTACCGCAGTACCGTGAACGACGCAGCAAAGCCGGCATCCTACCCGCTCCCGACACCGACGAAGGCTCTATCAAACCTTCAAGGAGGAACTGTCTTTTCGACCCTTGATCTCGCGCAAGCGTATCAGCAGCTGCGAGTAACGGATACGACCGCCGAAATACTGACGATCAACACGATCAAGGGGCTCTACAGAGTGAAGCGACTACCTTTCGGAATCGCGGCCGCCCCGGCGATATTTCAACGAGTCATGGAAACCACACTCGCGGCCATTCCGGGAGTTAGCGTTTACCTTGACGATATAATCATCAGCGGAACAACTCCAAGTGAGCACGCGCGTCGGCTGGATGAGGTACTCTCACGACTGGAAAAGGCAGGGCTGAAGCTCAAGCAAAGCAAGTGCTTCTTCGGCGTGAAGGAGGTCAAATTCTTAGGTCACCGCATAAACGCCGAAGGAATTCATCCAACCCAGGACAAGATCCAAGCAGTAGTCGAAGCCCCAGAACCAGAGAACAAGACACAGTTACAGTCCTTTTTAGGCCTCCTGGCGTTTTACGACAGGTTTTTAAAGGATCGCGCGACAATCGCGAAGGAACTGTACGAACTACTTGAACAGAACAAAGAGTGGAGGTGGGAAGAAACACACCGAAGGGCTTTCAAAAAGCTGAAAGATCTAGTGGCGAACTACACTGTGCTCGCACACTATGATGGAAAACGACCTCTAGTGTTGTCTTGCGACGCCTCACCATATGGAGTGGGAGCCGTACTTGCACAGCAAGATGCTGATGGGCGGGAGGCTCCGATCGCTTTTGCATCCAGAACGCTAGGCAGTGCCGAGCGGAACTATTCGCAACTGGATCGTGAAGGCCTCGCTATCGTGTACGGAGTTCACCACTTCCATCAATACATAGCTGGGAGGTCCGTGACCATATTCACAGACCATCAGCCCTTGCTAGGTATCATCGGCTCCAACAAGCCTGTTCCACAAGTATTATCACCAAGGATGACTAGATGGTGCGTGAAACTGGCAGCCTACCACTACGACCTGAAATACAGGCCAGGAAATCGTCACCAGAACGCAGACGCTCTCAGTCGGCTTCCGTTACCACACACAGAAGACGAATTGAATCCACCTGGCGACATCTTGATGTTTGAAGGATTGTCACGGCCTCCTCTGTCAGCGCAACAGGTAGCAGAAGCGACAGCAAAGGACACTGTGCTGGTTGAAGTGTTAGAAGCAATTCAAAAGGGCATTCTTCATCGACTCAAATCACCAGAGTTCGCACCTTACACAAAAAAGGCGGCAGAACTGTCGACACACCGAAATTGTGTGACATGGGGGGCACGCATTGTGATCCCCACGCGGCTGAGGACGGACGCGTTGACGTTGATTCACGCGGGGCACCGTGGAATTATAGCAATGAAGACATGCGCACGGAGCTACCTCTGGTGGCCCGGTATCGACGCAGACATAAAGTCATTCGTCGCAGAATGCACTGCCTGCCAGACCCACCGCAAGACACCACCGAAGGAGCCCATGCCAGTCTGGCACAGACCCTCCCACCCTTGGGATACTATTCACGTGGACTTTGCGGGTCCAGTTGAAGGCCAAGTTTTTCTGGTGGTCGTGGACGCATACACTAAATGGGTGGAAGTCCGAGTGATGCGAAACATGACGTCGGCTGCCGTCATTAGGGAATTGAGGGCTATCTTCGCAACTTTCGGCGTTCCCCGGAAGGTGGTTTCGGACAACGGCACAGCGTTTGTGTCCGACGACATCAAGACCTTCTACCGGAATAACGGTGTAATATCGATCACAAGCGCGCCATACCATCCAGCAACTAACGGCCAGGCTGAACGCATGGTTCAAGAGCTGAAAATGGCACTAGCTAAAAGAGGAAGAGAAGATCTGAATTGTGTGGTTGCCAGATTTTTATTCAAACAACATACAACAATCCATGTGGCAACAGGAAAGACACCTGCTTGGATGCTTTTTGGGAGAGAACTTCCGTCTGCTCTCGAGCGACTAAAGACGTTCAGCCCCGAGACACCTGAAAGCACTGCCACCTTTACAAACCCACACAAGCTGAATGTAGGCCAAGCAGTGTGGGTTAAAACATTTCCAGACGGTAAAAAGTGGATACCGGGAGTGATCGAACGTCAGCTGGGACATCGCTCTTGGATGATTCGGGTAGAGCAAGGTTCAATTCGCCGGCACACCAACCACATACGGCCGCGAAGAGTGGCATCGCATAATCAACCTCCACAGACAGCTGTGGCACCCGCATGGGACATTAACAGCCGTGATGACCTGGCTCCGCAACCCGCGACAACCATCAGGGACAACAGCACAACTGCTATTCCCGAGGAATCGCTTCCTGTTGTGCCGCCAGCAGAGCCTGACACTTCAGGCACTCGAAGAAGTTCCCGAGACCGGCGACCACCTCAAAGATATGGACATGACGTCTAGTGGGGGGAGGTGTTATGTCCGGCATAACATGGAAAAAGAAGAAGACGCGCCTCGTCTTCTTCTGCGACATCAGACAGTGTACGTGCCTGCGCATGCAGGGACATTCGGTCACGCCGCCATCACGATCGCAGAGTAAAGCTACTCGTTGTGCTTTCCGTAAGCGACTCCTGATTACTCAGCACGTAACATGAACCATGAGAGGGCGCCACCAAAACATCCTGCTGCTAATAGCAGCCACTCCGCGCGCATCGAAAGAGCGGGAGTTTCAAATGTGGAAAAGTTGTGACTCCGACTAAATTACGTCCTGCGGCGTGAATACCTATTGCTAGAAAAAAATTTGTTTTTTTGCGGAAGTTTTGTTTTGTGACATGCTTGTCTTAAATAGGCTGTTTAAAAAAACACTTTTTTTTCTTTGCAGTTACTTTTTAAACCTGGTGTGTGGGCTGTCACTGTAACTCCTCTCAATTAATTCTTTTTGATTAGAGCTTGAAAGCACAGTGTTTCTATGTACTGTTATGTGATGTACGCGCTAAGTGCATGCATTCTTACCAGATGGTGTTGCAGCGGTGCCGTCTGGTGAGACAGAACACCTGGAGGAACTCTTCTTTCACTAGCCACCATCCAACTATGATGGGCACGTGTGTCAGAATGGCCATGCCCTGTGCGATTTCAGGTGTGCAAGATCCACCAGCAGCTCCCGGAAGGGGCAATCCTGGTGTTTGTCACCGGCCAGCAGGAGGTGCAGTCACTCTGCCATAAGTTGCGGAAACGCTACCCCGCCAAGCAAGACAATCCGAAAGCAGAGGAAGTCCCTGCCAAGGAGGCAACCGATCCGAAGAAAGATGGCAGTGGCAGCAGTAAGAGCGACGCGTCTGACACACAGACTGCTCCAGCAAGCAAACAGGCGTCACGCATAAACCTCGATGAGTGAGTGGGAAACGTCACCTTTCACAAAACTAACCTAAGCTCTCCGAATGTTTCCTGGAACAAAACGCGTGCAAAATGTTCATGTCGTGTGTGCCCAAGCTTGGAGCTTTATCCAGTTTATTAGGAATGCATTTAGAAGGACATATATAGAGCAAAATGATACTTGACTGGATAATGAACTTTACTCGCTAGTATAAAAGTTTCTTTCATCACCCTTAAAGGGGCTGCATTAAAGATCCCTGATCAGCAGGCTTCCATCACACTGACCCATCTTTCGTTCTGTGGCAACAATGCTAGGCACCATATCTAAAGAGATACTTAACTTGCACTCTACCAATATCCCTAGAAAAGATTAGCTACATTATTCGTGAAGGTCTATCACATGACTAGTGTGACAGGCCATGAAAAACGTCATCTCCATAGCTACATCGACTGCTGTGAGAGTTGCTGAGGACAGATCAACTCGCAATAGGCTCTATGGCCTCCTAAAAGTGTAAAGGGTCTCCGGCTTTTGCTCCGGAAGAAAGCATCATCTTTCAGGCACTTCCCTCACGTTTTAAAACAAATATCTAGCGTCCATCATGTGGATGAAATTCAGTGGTCTTCTTTATTGTTTATTTCCAAGGGTAGTAACCACAAATTTCCCAAACTTTTTTAACACTATAGACCATTCCAGTAAGTGCTCTCGGGGTGGCACCATTTTGTTTGACCGCAGTGCCCTCTCCACAGATCCAGGAACTTCAGCAAGTTCAGCGGGGTAAAACAAGGAAGAGGGCACGCACCCTATTCCGCTGGCAGACAAAAAATTGGGAGATAGCCGTTCTCCATCTTTGGGCTATACTGGCAGGCTGTACCAAACACCAAACTCTCGCTTGCGGCTGCCGTTGTGAAGTTGTTCGCGTTTCTACAATATTATTGACTACTCCAGAATTGGCCTGTAGCGTTTTTGATTTTGGTGCAAAGACTTGGTTGTTGAGCTTGAAACAGGTGCTTGAAAAAGGACCCAAATATGTCATATCACCTAAGCTTGAGGCGTTAGACAAGTTAACCCTCATACGCCAAATAGCCGCAAAAGTCCCACAAGACCGAGGACCACAAATCATTGATGAGGGAATCCAAGTCGTTGCTTGCCTAAACCGCCAGGCCCAGGTGAAAGTGAGCTTTGGACCTATCATACAAGAGGTGCGGAGCCAACGATTAAAACTGTGCGTCTCGGACAAGCAAGGAGGATTCGTGGTTCTAGCATCCGATACATATGGAGAAAAAGCCCACCAAGCAATGACCAGGAATTTCATCCCTGTTGACAAAAAACAATCCAAAGCAGCAAAACTAGCCATCCTAAAATTGCTAGTAGAAGCTCAAAAACCAAGTCTGCACCAAAATCAAAGCCGCAAAAAATGACCTACTCTCAGTGTTTTTTTTGGCCTGTAGCGCTCTGTTGTTTTATTTCAGTAAATGATCAGATAGCGTATCTTTGTTCCGTTACTTCAATAGCAGTGGCGTCAGCTGGCAGTGCTACCCTCAACCACTGTGTCTATTGCGTCAGGAGAGCATGTTTTTATTTATTCATTCCAGACTCCCCACTGATTGTTGCTAAAGGCCTGCACCAGTACAAACTTTATATAGTGAAAGAGCTGCTGCGACCAGATTTGCTTTTTGCCGGGGAGGACAGATCAACCATTCTGACATTTTTCACATTTCTTTTTTTATTTGCATGGCAGGTAACAATGCAATTGGACCCGGTAAGTATTTTTATTGGGCGTAACATTACACAATATCTCCCATATCCAGATTCACGCATTTGTGCTTGAAATTTCTAAAGTGACGCGATGTTATACCGAGTTTGCACACCAGCCGGATGTTAGGTGAGAGGGGAGAGGGTGTTTTTCTCTCTCCGCTTTTCCTACTGGAATGGTTTATAGTCGGTGAAAGCTAAAGAGTCAGTCGATGCTTCGCCTCGGGTGCAAGCTTTCTGCTGACATAATGCTTCGTCACTGATGCAGCCAAACCCCAATGGAAGGCAATGAGCGCGTACTGGACGCAAAGCTTCTGCCACTTTCTTGGCCTGTCACTGACTGTAAGAACAGACGGTTTAAAATTACCAGAAGTGGCTGAAAAATCGTACACAGGAAGTGCCAAAGACCTGCTTGCCTCTGAGGACACTCCTTAATGTGTGTTTCTCACAGTGTGTTGTCAAACTCTTTGAGTAAGCCCTATATTCCTTGCTCTAACAGCTACTCTGTGGTGCCTCTGGATGAAGGCCAGCTAGAGGACATTGTGAAGGACGAGGAGAGGGAAGACGGTGTACTATCATCCGATAACGAAGACGAAGAGCCACCACCCACCCGGACCTTCCAGCCCCTGATGGTGCTGCCCCTGTTTTCCCTGCTGCCTTCCCACAAGCAGGCCAAGGCAGGTCGCTCTCTGTCTTTTCTTATTTGCAAGATGTCCCGCGAAGATCCTAGATGGAGCTCCAATGCGCTGTAGGGCGACTCAATATTCAGACGATATAGTATATGTATGCCAAGGGCTGTGGAGGTCTCAAAGGGGCACGAGGCGTTCGGATAGGAGGCCGACTGCGAAACCACTACCCCGCAGCGGATCAGAGTCACCGCTACGACGGGTTCGACTGCTGGCTGCACCCGCTAGCCGGGACTCACGAAGGGAGTACACGGACATGCAGAGTAGAGGGACCCCCGGGGTTTATTGGCTCCGGTTAATTACAAAGATAAAGAGACTAGTAACGGCAAGGGCGAGGGTGTCCTTACCTTGCTGCACTTTCCCGAGAGCCTGGACGGAGGTGGGGCAGCAGAGTGTGTGGCCGGACGTCCGAACAGTTTCAAGTCCCGCAGAACAGTCCCTTCTCCGAGCGGCCAGAGGACACACTCCCTTTCTCTTTCCCTCGCTGGCAGCTCCAGCCTCGTCCCCGGGAGGTGGGCGAGCCAGCCAGAGGGAAGTTCCCTACGTACCCCCTAACGGGGGGGACGCCGACAGAGGAGTGGCGAGAGTAGACAACCAAGATGGCTGCCTCTCCTTGCCACGATAAGGCACGCTCCGGTCGGAAGTCGCGCCCGCGGCCCGAAGGCCGGATCAGGGAAAGGGAGCCAGAGGTTCCCACAGGGCAAAGCTCCATGGAAATGTTTTGGGTGAATTTGGCAATAGTAAAGTTAAAAGTAAACATATTCGGCAGAAACCTGCGTGATTGGGTGAGAATTAATGTCCGAAAATGTAGCTCCAACCAGAACACGAAAGGAAACCCGACGTTTCGAAACCAGCTCGGCTTCTTCTTCAAGGGTGACTGAAAGCACGCAGAACAGCAGCCGCTCCTAACCTCTTCGTCTTCAAAAAAAGAAATTGAAAAAAAGGAGAAATTAGGAATTTACAAAATTGTAAAATAATTTTTAGTTATGGAGACGGTCGTCTCTTTTATTTACATAGAGCTTAAGCTTTCTCGTCAGGTCACGGTGGCCATGTGTGTACACAGAGGGCAATGCACCCAGGGACCTGTTTAGGTTTCGGGGTGTATGCTGGATTTGCCATCATTCTAAGATTCTGCATTTTCATGAAATTGGACGGGAAAAATTTTTTGGCACACCTCAACTCTATTGAGCCGACCATTCAGTTTACCGTTGAGTGTGAGACGGATGGCACCTTGCCGTTCCTTGATTTGCTGGTGAACCGGCGAGTCAAGATCTGAAGTTTACAATGTATTGAACACCAACACACACAGGATGCTACCTCGATTTTGACTCCAACCATCCAACGAGTCATCAGGCGTCAGTGGTTTCGACCCTCCTGCGTAGGGCAACGACTATTTGCTCGTCAGAAACCGATAAAAAGTAGGAGAAGAAGACCATAATTGAAGACCTAAAAAAAAATGGCTACTCTAGTAGCTTCATAGATCGCATCGCTCAACGCCAAAGTCTCGCCAGACAAAACCAGATGCCAGTAGAAGGAAGACAGCCCCATCGAGTCGCGCGTATCAGCGTTCCCTACGTGAAAAACCAGCGAAGCGCTAGCACAAGTACTGGGAAAGGAAGGTATTCTGGTGCCCCACAAGCCCGCGTCCACACTGGGAAGGTTTATAACTACGGTAGACCGAAAGATTGTCTACCAAAAGAAAGAGCACAGGGCATGGTTTACACCATTTCATACGCAGAGGGCCCCGCAACCTACATCGGCAAGACGAAGAACTTTCCCGAGCGAATCCGCCAACACGAGAACGACGTGCGGAAATTTGACAGTGAGCGCAGCGCCATCGCCGAACATTGTGATACCCTACACCATTGTTTGACTTTGCGATCACGCACGTGGTTGACACAGAGCCTCATTTCCGAAGATGACTTTTCTTGAAATCGCAGCAAATCCAGCATACGCTAAGAAACCTAAACAGGTCCCTGGGCGCATTGCCCTCTGTGTCCGAACATGGCCACCGTAACCTGACGAGAAAGCTGAAGAGATGACCGTCTCCGTAACTAAAAAATTATTTTACAATTTAGTAAATTCCCAATTTCTCCTCTTTTCAACTTCTTTTTCTTTTTTGAAGACGAAGAGGTTATGAGCTGCTCCTGTTCTGCGTGTTTTCAGTCACCCTTGAAGAAGAAACCGAGTGGGTTTCGAAATGTCGGGTTTCCTTTCGTGTTTTGGTTGGAATTACATTTTCGGACTTTGTTAGTAAAGTTTTTTGCCAGGTTTATACAGGATGCGTCCAGTGCCTGACTTTAACTAGATTGTCCTACAACCATTTTTCTGGTGCAGGGGTACCATGGAAACAGATTGCATGTATGTAAATACAATAGTTTATGCAGTAAACCTTGAAACCTCAAAAATATGTCTCGGTAAGGGTATGAACTTGCACATAGAGAAATTGTCACAGAAGGAGGCCCTGATCCTTCCCATTTGGCATTTGTTTATGTATCTGTTGGCCTTTTCTTAATGTTGTTCACTTTCAGTGCATCCTACGTTGTTGCTTTCCGAAAACAGTCAAGAAAGTTTGAAAGTTTGTGGTAAGCTATGTCATTGACCGACTCCTATTTCCTTTGACCGTGCAGGTCTTTCAAAACCCGCCCCCAGGCATGAGGCTTTGCGTGGTTGCCACAAACGTCGGTGAAACCTCCCTTACCATTCCCAACGTCAAATATGTGGTGGACACCGGGAAGGTATGTACATTGAACTCCACATTTGACCGGGTGTAGTCATCGTAAAACATTTCAGCATGTCCCGATTATATATGGTGAACTCGGAGATGCACAGGATGTGTTGCAAATGAGCTGGACGCAGGCTGTGTGTGTCTGTATGTCAGTTGAGAGTAACTTGTCGCTTTTCTCAGAAGACCCAGTCCCATGACACATTTAGTGTTAAAGAAACGCCTCTTCCTTCAGGTCAAAATGCGTGTCTACGACAAAGTGACCGGAATTTCGGCTTTTATGATCTCGTGGGTCTCCAAGGCCTCAGCTGACCAAAGGGCCGGACGAGCCGGCAGGACATGTCCCGGCCACTGTTACAGGCAAGATGGCTCTCGATTACTTGTTCACTGTTTTGCCTGGTGTGCGGGGAGGGAAGGGTTACAGACTTCTTGGCTTATCCAAACACTCTGCACTTGGCATATTTACTTGAAATTTGGCATAATAATTATATATGCTGTAAGGAGCGAGGCAGCGGAGTGTTTGTGGCGCCACAATGCCGAGTCTTCCGCTCGTGGGTGTGGCACGAAAAAAGAAAGGAAGGGGAAGTGTAATAGTAATAATAATAATAAGCTTTATTTTCATTTCCCATTACAGGTAATGATGGGGCCGAGAATAAAAGCCGCGATAGACGGCTTGACAAGCTCTCGGCCCCAGTTACATTCAGCAGCAGTCACAGGGAACAAAATAAAATACAAAGGCATTCAATCAAAGAAGAAGCTTATTTAACGAATATCAATTACCTTGTTAATCTTCAAAGCATATCAATGTACAAAATCTATGTTTACATAATATAAATACAAATACAGTGTAGACCGCATATAACGTATCTCGCGGGAGTCGCGAAAGTCCGCACTATAAGCGGTACCGCGCTATAACCAAAACATCAATTTTTCAGGCCAAAATACATGCCATGAGACAACTTACCTTTGTAAAACAATTTATTTTATGTTAGATGAAAAATAAAGCTTAGTTTGAGTAAAGTGTTTATTTCACCAGACTAGTACACTTCCCTCTCAAGTGTGTCACACATTTTGAAAGAAATGAGCGACTTTTGCCTGGCGCAGCCTTTTAACGGCGTCGCGGGTTGCGGACGGACGTTGCGAGCGTTCAGGATTGCTAACCCTAATCACTTTTCTCCGGTGATGAAAACGCGTGAAAATTCGCATCCTTTATACTGTACGCGGCAGTAATACCTTCAGCTTGAGCACAGGCATGAAATGCTCCAAATAAGAAATCCGGGCGATGTTCGAAAACACAAATGCTTAGAAAGCACCACTGTAGTCGAAGTAAACAAACACGACGGCACGGGCGTTTCTGCTGTCTTGAGAGTGCCGCCACGACATCGCCACACGAGTAGGTGGATCTTCCCTTCTAGTATGTGCTGGGTTATCATAGCGACACATAACGAAAATTCACAGTCAAGGATAGCGCTTTCACGTGGAACGATGAGCTTTCACCACGCCGTCCACGTCGACGATCACAGCCAAGGAGGATAGAAGGGTAGGAGAGGGCATGACGTCGGCTGCGTAGCCTCCACAAGCCATGCTCCCTTGACGCCTCGCCTCTTTCTCATTTTTCTCCTTACTCTCCTCACTTCTCATGCGAACGTGATCACGTCACGTGACCGTAGCTAGCCTTCATCTAGCTATGGTGTACTAGAATACATCACAGCCTAGCCTTCGATCTGATAAAACCTACCGGATGGAGCGCGCGCAAGCCTGCAAGGGATCCTCCTACAATCAACCATCCATCTCGCATGTGACATGTCACGCGCACCAATCGCAAGATTTCACCCGTGACATTGCCTTTGAGGCCCCTACAGCAACTTAACTCGAAACTTGTTATCCAGAGTTGCAACCTGGCTTACCTCTACCTGAGACAAACGTCTTCACAGAGGGAAAGGCAAATGTATTGGTCAATTATGATAGTTATTTAATAAATGGATATACCGTATTTACTCGCACAATGAACGCACTCGCGTAATGAACGCACCCCCCAAGTCGGCTATCAAAATTTCGACTTCTTTTTCACTCGCGTAATAAACGCACCCTCAATTCGGACGTCAAAATTTTGACCGCCTCCCTCCACGCGTGCGAAATGAACGCACTTTTCTATCCTGGTGCAGCGAGGTCGCGAGTGCATGGGCAGCACGGGGGAAAAAACGCCTAGGCGTTAAAAAAATTCGCAAAGATCCAACGAAAGCAAGAAAAAAAAAACATGGAGAGTAGCTTCTTTTTTTGTACAGCGCAGTCTGGACTTTGGGCTCGCGCGCCGCCGCGCGCAAGGAGGTAAAAAAGAGAAGCGCTCTAAGCGAACGAGACAGCTTGCGAAAGGCGGCAAAAAAAAAAAAAAAACGTAAGAAAAAACAAAAAAAAAAGAATTTCTTTTTTTTTTTTTTTTTTTTTTTTTACAGCGCAGTTTGGTTACTGGGGGGTCGGGCGCCGCGCGCAAGGAGGTAAGAAAGAGGAGCGGAGAAGCCCTCTAAGCAAACAAAACAGCTTGCCAAAAACGGCAAAAAAAAAAAAAAAACGGAACTGAGAAACAAACAAAAGAAAAAGAAAAACTGTTTTTTTTTTTTTTGCTTTTTTTTTTTTTTTTTTTGCACAGCGCAGTTTGGTTAAGGGGGGTCCGTGCGTCGCGCGCGCGCAAGGAGATAAGAAAGATAATTGGAGAGCCCTCGCCTAAGCAACGCCTAAGCAAACAAATTAATTAATTAATTAATTGGGTTGTGTGTGTGTTTATACAGCCTAGAACTTGGTCTGCCTCACAGGGGCGACGAGTCTCCCAGCTGTAGATGAGAAATTTAGCCAGTGCGGTACAGCCCCTAGCCTGGGGTCTTTAACGTGCATCACGCAGTAGTGATACACGACCGCACGCCGGTACGATGCTCATCCAGATCGAAACGGGCAGGGGTGGGGCTCGAACCCAGGATCCCTGGGTTCTGCAGCGCGAGCTTTCGCTCCACGTGCTCCGAGCTGGTGTGCGCTAGACCACTCGGCCACCGATCCCCCTAAGCAAACAAAACAGCTTGCGAAAAGCGGCAAAAAAAAAAAATAATTAAAGAATAAAAAAAAAAAAGGAATTTCTTTCTGCAGAGTTTAGTTTGGTTACGGGATTGGGCGCCCGCTCGCAAAGAGATAAGAAATTATTTAGATTTTTCAGGACAACAGGTCTGAGTAAATAGGGACCCAAAAATTTTACTTCGCGTAATGAACGCCCCCCTCAACTTTGCATCGATTTTTCGGAAAAAAAAATGCGTTCATTCTGCGAGTAAATACGGTAACTAAGGGCTAGTGTGAAGTAGACTTTTCTCGTTGACATGCACACCTTGGAGTAAGCACTATGACATGCGCACCTTGGAGTAAGCACTGAGTTTTGCACAACCAAGCACTTCTGCTTTCATGTCGCCCATTCTGCCTACAACGTCCTTAGCTTCGTACTGGCCCCTTCATCCGGCTGTCATCCAACTCTCATTCTTCCGGGGCCAGCTGCAAGTCCAGTGGCCACCTCTGTGGTTCCAGGTGCCTGTAACTCCTCGGCAGTCTCAAGGAGCTCACTGTCAGCGTTGCGGGGGCATGGGGCACGCCAAAAGATGATGTCCAATGGGACGACAACGGGCTCCAGTGGTATGCTACACGTGCCACCAATTCGGTCACATCCAGTCCCAGTGTTTGGGAAGCGAGCACCAGTAGATGCTGCACCGGCGGGCATCTATGACAGCTCGCTGCAAGCTACAGCAACTGCCGGGGGAAGGGAGTCGCTTTTGGATATCCGGATCAGTAAATTAATGTTTACAGCTCTCATGCATGCCTGGTCAAGCGTGAACCTTCTTGGAGCCCGAGCGATGGAAGCTGCAGTAGCGTTTGGAGTGAAGAAGAAACAAGACGAGCACTTCGTCTAGCTGCAGGATGGGCTCAGTGTCTTGTTAGAGCACGCTGCATAATTCACTTGGCTGGTGAAATTCGTCGTCACCAGTTCTTGCTTCCTCACAGTCAGTGGGATCTCCGTGCATATTGCCCTCGGTGGATGGACGGTAGGCGTTGAGCCACAGCGAGTCGTCCCATTTATAAAGGAACAGAGGACCATTGTAAGCAAGACAGTTGATGAAGACATATACTTCCTTCAAGGCCTTTTTGGTGAAGAGTTAGTTCCTGAAGCTGCAGGTTCAGAAACCGGCTTCATTCTTTCAGACAAGTATGTCTCCGATGACTCGGCGACTTTGTTTGATATTGACTCAGAGCCACAACTGAAGAAGCTTAAAAAAGAATTACAGCACTCTTTCACCAAGAACCCTGGCAGGACCATCTCTTGTGCCGCACCAGATAAACACGGGGCACAGTCCTCTGATACGCTGCAAGCTTCGGCAGCTAAATTCGCGGAAAGGAGAGATCATGGACGAATGTATAGCGAAGCCACTCGATCTAGCCCTCATTCGTCGAAGCAACAGCCCTTGGGCTAGTGCTCCAGTGCTAGTGGAAAGAAAACTGGAGGCTAGCGCCTAGCAATTGATTACCGGCCTCTCAACGCGTGCACTTAAGTTCCCATGTACCCGATGCCCCTAACCGATAGGTTATTGGCGGACTGGGGTCAGGTCCAGTGGTTGATAAGTTTTTATCTCTCCCAGAGATCCTTCCAGATAGTTGTCTGCCACAAAGATGTGCCTAAAACTGCCTTCATATGTCACCCAGGGACGTTTGAATTCAAAAGGATGCCTTTTGGAGTTGCTGGCGGGCCTACTTCCTTCCAAAAACTCGTGGACAAAGTTTTAGCTGAAGCCAGACACAAGTTCTGCATGGCATTCCTTGACAATGTTCTAGTATATTTAACCACCCTTGACGACAATGTGCAGCATGTGTGGGAAATGCTGTGTCGACTTGCGGCTGCTCGACTTATCATCAACCCAGACAAGGCGCAGATTTGGCGTCAAACACTGAAGTTTCTCGGCCATCTTATTTCTCCAGGAAAATGTAAGCCGTACCCTGATAAATCGTCTGCTATTTACAGTATCCCCAACCGCAGAACATGAAGCAGTTGCAGGCGTTCTTAGGCCTAGCCAGGTACTACAGGAACTTCATATCTCGATTATCAGTCATTACTCAGCCCCTGACTGATCTTTTGAACAAGTACCAACCCTGGCTCTGGAATGATGAACAACAAACTTCATTCGACACACTAGAGAATGCTGGCCTGCGAAGCAGTGATGGTGAGACTTCCAGACCTGAATCGCCAGTTTGTTGTGGAAACTGATGCTTGCAGCACAGGGATTGGAGCTGTTCTCCTACAGGAGCATGCTGGAAAGTTGCAGCCAATATCTTTTGTTAGCTGAGTCCTTACCGGCCCAGCGAAAAACTACACAGTTCAAGAATGGGATTATCTAGACGTGGTTTGGGCAGTGGACAAATTTCGACTGTATCTTGAGTACACCAGGCTCGAAATATTTTGCGACCATTCTTCTTTCTCATGGATGTTTACCACCGATCAAGCATCACCCAGGGTCAAGCGGTGGGTCGACGAGGCCGTGCAAACATTACTGCTGAGGCACTCAGCCGCGCTCCCCTGCAGCAAGTGGAGGCTCCAGACAATGGCCTCGCAGAATCGTTCTTCGAACGAATTAGCTTTGAGACAATAGCTGCAGTGGCGGGAATGGACATGACACCACTATGCGATGTCCATAGTCTAATTGCAGGACAGGCCCGCGACCAACAGCTTGGACTGTTGAAAGCTCAGATTCTTGGGGCTGCCTCCTTGATGGAGGGTAGGGAAGCACGACTTCTGCAAGACCTTGCAGAGACAACAGAAATAGAGCACAGTGGGTTGTTGATACAAGTCATAGGGAAAAAGCGAGTACCATGGTTTCCAAGACACCTGAGACCATTTGTCCTCGAAATGTAGCATGATCATCTCCTGAGCGCTGGTGCAGGGTTCTTCAAAACACTCAAACATATTTCCAGTCGCTTCGTCTGGATTGGAATGAGTGCTGACATTTCCCGGCACGTGCGGAGCTGCCACGTATGTCAGCGGACGAAGCCACATTGCCAGAAACCACAAGGATTTATGGACAGCCAACAAGCAACAAAACCAATGGAAGATGTGAGCGTCGACATTATTGGTCCTCTACCCTCTACGTTATGCTGACACAAGTACTTGCTGGTGGTACTTTACAAATTTAGGAAGTACATTGAACTTTATCCACTGTGGGAGGCTACCAGCCGGAACATTATCGACCGTATTGTTGTAGTCTTTTGTCGCCACGGCCTTCCGTTTTTCTGTCTTAAGCGACAACGGCGAGGCATTTGTGAGCACACTTTGGAAAAGTATCTTGAAGCGTTAGGGCATCCAGGACCGTCACACTGTGCCATATCGCCCAGTGGGCCAAGCTGTCGAGCGCCACAACGCCACTGTCAAAGAGTGCCTCCGGGTGTACTGTGACAGCCACCGAAAATGGGATCGACATATCCCCGAAATCGCCTTTGCCATGAGGACGTCGGAGAGTGTCGTCACGGGCTACATGCCGGCGTTTCTTTGCCATGGAAGAGAACTTTGCACACCGTGGGAAGCACCACGTGCGCCGAGTGACTCGGAGCTCCCAGTGGCCATTGCCCGTGCATTCGCAGCTGAACTTTCCAGAACTATTCAGGACGCACACCAGTTTCCCGTCTCTCATCGAGGGAAGGAAAAAAGAGCGCAGAAATGCCACGTCAATGAGCATCGACAGCCAGTTTCCATGAAGGTCGGCGACCTGGTTTTGAGGAACCTCCACACACTGAGTGACGCTAGCCAGTGAATTTCAGCAAAGCTAGCACCTTGTCGGCCAGGCCCGCTTTGAATAATTGAATAACTCGGCACCAACGACTTTTTGTTGGCTGATCCTGACTCCGGCATACAGCGTGGAACGGCCCACGCCGACCAGCTGTGACTCTACCACCTTCCGTGGTCACCATCATCCCCCACCTCTTCACCATTTGAAGGGGTAGGAAAGTTGTAAGGAGCGAGGCAGCGGAGCGCTTGTGAAGCCACGACGCCAAGTCTTCTGCTCACAGGTGTGGCACGGAAAAAGGAAGAAAGACAAAGTGTAAGAATAAAAGGATAGGATTCACTTAAACCTAATAATGCCTACAGGCCTTACATCTGCCTGGACTTTCGCACATAATTTGTGTTCTTATTTTGGGCAGTCACTTGCAATAAAACATATCAGCCGGGCATATTTTTTTTTATATTTTAGATTCGCATAGTTTTTGAACGAGTCGACCGATTACCTCTAATTTTATTTATTTAAATGTAGGTGAGAAAAGACAGCTTTTTCGTTGGGTAAAAATTTAGAATGATTGTGTTCTGAATTTCGAACATTCTCATTCTACACTTTCTAAAACATAGAGCTTTAGCAAGTCCATTTTTTTCCCAACGTACACTTGATCAAAATGTTATCTTTTCAATGAAAGGAAGTCAAAACTGCATCTTTTGTTTGTAGGTTGCATGACTTGAAAAGTTTTTCTTTAGAATTAAGTTGGAAATTGGCAACTGATATGCCCTCCTCATGTTGGACATCCCTGAGATAATACATCATACTGAGAAAGATTTGCTGAAATTAACTTCCATTCCGTGCAGGCTCTACTCTTCTGCCATTTTTAATGACGAGTTCCAGAAATTCACTGCTCCAGAAATCACGAGACGGCCCGTGGACGATCTGGTCTTGCAGATGAAGGTCAGTACGCTCTTACACTTTGGTCTTAATCCTCAGTTGTGGACAACTGCAGTGCATGTAAAGTTGGGAGCATTGCATCACATTGGCTTAGCCAGGAGGGAGTTAGAGCATCAGAAAGTTAGAGATTAATAATGTTTAATTAACCTGAGACTGGGATAGAGAAGAAACATAAAAACATGGAAGAGTCAGGAAATAGACAGGACGACGTCTTTTGACATTTCGTCCTGTCTATTTTCTGTCTCTTCTTTGTTTTCATGTTTCTTCTCTATCCCTGTCTCAGGTAAATTCAGCGTGGTTAATATTCACCAGCTCGCCTTCACCTTTACCATATTTTCTACAAAGAGATGCTGTTTTCTTTATTGTGGTGCATTTAAATGAGGTCTGTTTTTTGATAGGGTCTACATTTAGGCCGAGTCAGCCGAGTTGAACATGCTTCTTGGCAGCAGCATCGTCGTCACAGTTGTGGCACGCATAGTGGTGGCCATTTTCTGGATACATAAGAAGGCGAATTGTTTTCTTCTCTTGCTCAGGCCATGAACATTGACAAAGTGGTCAACTTCCCCTACCCATCCCCACCAGACAAAGAAGCACTCAAGGTTGGTTGCTGAATTTCCTTGTTGTCGCACTTCCAATGCTCCAATGTATAGGGCGTCTGCAAAAAAACCAAACCCTGTTTTTCGCATCGCAAAAATAAGTGAGACATTGCGGAGAGCTTATACTTCGTCCGAATGTAGCCCCAACCGTTCGAGCAAGGTGCCAAAGTTGCAGCACCAACCGTTATCTTATTCAAAAGTTATAAGTGATTTTCTGAAATTTTTAATGGGAAAATGGGGCCTATTTTTGCCCGTTTTCGGTTTCTGCTGCTACAGAGCTCCATCTGTTCGAGAGCTCCGCCGCCCTTTTTCCAGTGAAATTTTCGGAAAACTTTTAAATAAGATAACGGTTGGTGCCGAAATTTTGGCATCTTGCTCAAACGATTGGGGCTACTTTCTGGCAGAGTTTGAGCTCTCTGCAATGGATAGTTTATTTTTGCGGTGCAAAAAACAGGGTTTAATTTCCTCGCAGACGCCTGGTACTATGCCAGTTTGTTATTTTTGAGAGTGCTTTGAAACAAGAATTTCCGTATTCTAAACTAGTTTCTTAAATTTTGGTTTACTTCCTCTTTTGTTTGCTTTGCTCTGGCAATACCTGTGGATGCCCCAAGCTGATGAATGCCTCTCACTTGCCTCGCATTGTTGTGTCCATATGCTGCCACATAAATGGCTTTGAAATCTCTTTTGGTCAGCTTGTTTTGCTACCCTAGTACTGCTTGCATGATAGATTCATTTAATAGCACTTGATTTTTAGCTGTAGATTTAACTACTATAACCTGTTAAGACAGGCAGTGTTTGGAAATAGGTACCTTTTGCAGTAATTTACAACCATTGTATATTTTAAAGATTTGTAATATTGTGCAAATTTTCTAATAGTATAGTAATCCCTCATAGTTAAGTCACTTTTTTTTTAATTATTGCTTTTATTGAAGTTCTACATGGTCTCGACCGAAATGCACGCATTTTTAACGGGATTATTCGAAGTGTATTGGCCTGACCACGCTTATTACGAAGGCCGCGGTGCCGAAAGCTCGCAAGCCTACATGCAGGCGCACGGAGACCCTTGAGTTCCCTCCCCCTCTCCACCGAGGCAAACGGCAAACTGGGAAAACGGAGTAAACGGGTGACGGAGGGCTGAGCGCGCAGAGCTGGCAGAGCGCCGCTTCCGATGCCGATGCGCTGATGTGGGGACGCGGGCAGGGAGCAGTGGGAGCAGTGTCGACGATCTGACACTACTCACGGCACTTGCGGCCAAAGCTGCTCGACTCCTGTCAGAATCGGGTCAAGGGAGCGATGGAGCCCGGAGACCACACCTTCAGAAACCGTCAACACATTCGTGTAGGCATGCGCGCCTGCGGCGTACTACACGCACACATGCATCGTGTGGGAGATTGGGAGTGTTTACCTAAAGTTGCTTAGATCTGCGAGGTTGAGAAAAGTGACCGTCCCAAGTTCGAAATCGCCAAAAAAATTCGACATTCCGGCATCAGCTGTTCGACACTGTCCACCATTTCGCAAAACAAGCAAGCCATATTGGACGGGTTCGAGTAGTTTCTAATGCACGAGAAAGTGCGCCTGTGACCCAAAGATGAAAGATAGCCAACTGCTTCGCGCACGTCGAATTTTCTCTCGAGCACACTCGACGAGCCGGCGCACGATTTCCATAGCTGCAACAATCTCTACAGGAGTGTGTGAAGAGGTGTTGGCAAAACCACCAAGGATAACTTTGATTTGCTCGTGCTTGTAGATGGGGACAATCTCGTTGTTGCATCTGCTACGGATGCTGCGATCATAGACCTCTCGTGCGGCCAGGACAAACACAAAGCGATGTCGGAGAGGCACCTCAGGAAATGCTGACGACTGCAGAGACACGAAACATCCTACGCCTGCTTCGAAACGAAGTGCAGTGCTGCGGCAGTGACAGTGTTCTTGCGATGCCTGGAGCAGTTGGGGGAGAACTGATGCCCGGATGAAATTATCAGAAAACTCCACTTAATTATTTTTTTATTCGGTAAAGCTGCCACGAGATGTTCAGGACCAAGGTTTGTTTGATTAAATGTACGGTCAGAGTGTTCTGCAGTATTCCCATCCACCTTCACGGCTGCTGGTACTGCTTTTTTGGCTCTGTCGCATTTATCTAATTACCGCTTATATAGGATCTTTTTGCCTTCCCATTGACCTCGTTATAACGAGAGATTACTGCAGTTTCAAATTATATGCTATTGGATATTTCCTTTAAGATGAACAATTTATATTTTTCTATGTGTTCATTTCAGTGGGTTCGCCCCGTTGAGTGTGCTTCTTACCGGTCACGGGTGCACTGCGGAGAAGCAACACATGTCCCTATGGGAGGTCAACAGGACTTGCATTAATGAATCCAACCACTGGAAAATTAATCATCCTAGAAGTTTTAAGGAGGCTCTACCATGCTTTGTTTTTATTATCATGACTGTGTTTCTTCCTATGATAGTATTATACTTTTGCCTTATTCTCTTTCTGGCATTGCCTATTATACATAAATAATGCGGCAAAATAATCTTCAATTACTTTTAGGCTGCAGAAAAAAAGCTTATCCTAATGGGAGCCCTTGAGGAGCTTCCAAAGCCTGCCCGCTTCAAGGACCTGGCGAAATGTAAGTCCCTTTGTTCCTTGACTAGCATTGTTCTTAGCCAGAGCACTTCGTTTGAGTGTGTCCGTGTTTGGAAGCTTGAACTTGAGATTGTACAAAACCTATTGCAGTAATACAGGGAAAGGGTGTAGCAAACAACTGGGCAGATGCAACGTCTTTCCACAAAAACATCTGCGCCCTCTGATATCAAGCGTGACATTTTGGGCACGTGGAGTTCAGCTCAGATTGCATTTCTGCAAAATAACATTCTCTGGGGCTCGTTGTTGGTTGGGCCTCTACCGTAGATTACACCAGCTGACTCTTCACATGCCTTATTTGGAAGTAGATGCCTTAATTATCAAATGGTGTATTCTTTAATTGGTGCCCAAATTGTGAGAGACAAATGACACGCTACATCTGTTAGGCAGCTGCCTCGGTGGCTCCGAGGAAAAGCACCATCTTACGGGTACCCGGTTGGTGGGTTCGAATCCCTGCTAAGGTGCCCACAATCTGACGTAGCAGGCTTATTGTGGAGAAGACGCCTTCTAACTGAATTTTTGGTTGCACATCGAAGGATCCCCAGGTGGTCGGAATGAATCTTTGGCCCTCCACTGGGGAGTGCCAGATGCCTCTTGTTGGCTTGGCACGTAAAGCCTCAAAACCTGATGTCTGCTAGACAGAATTCTGCTGGAGTGCACCTTCCCTTGTGTCCCATGCAGGGGAGTGGAGCTCGAAGGTGACCCCCCTGGGGCGAGCCATGTCCTGCTTCCCCGTGAGCCCCCGCTACGCCAAGATGCTGGCCCTGTCCCAGCAGCACGGCCTGCTGCCCTATGTGGTGGCCGTGGTGGCCGCCATGACCGTGCAGGAGGTCTTCTGCAACCTGGGCTTCTCGCAGGAGCCACACAGTCAGGTCTGGTGCTCCACGCCGCAGTCATTTCTCACCGGGGAAGTCGGGGAAAACCCACTTTGCCCAGAAATTTTTAACAATTTACGGTAAATTTTGGGCACGTCTCGACCGTACCTGATAAATTCGGAGACACACAGAATGTGTCGTGAACGAGCTGGGCACGTGCTGTGCACCTGTGACGTCCCATTACTCGTGTCATGTGATGTCATGATGTCATGGGGAGTTGGCATCAAGTTCGGGTGTCATGTGGTGTCACGTGAGGTCAGGTTGTCGTGTGACATTACAGTGTCAAGTGACACCCTGATGTCAAGGTCATATAAGTAACAGTTTCTATGGGGCTATATCGCTTATATGACCTTGACCTGCGTGTTGGTCAGGTGGAATGAGTCACTTTTCTTGTGCAAGTCAGCCCTATAATGCCTTTTCTTTCAATATGGCTAGGATCTGGGATTTTTCATAAAATATGGTAGTACCGTATTTGCTCGCATAATAAACGCACCCCCACAACGGGCATCAATATTTTGACTTTTTTTTCCCTCCCATAATCAACGCACCTCCAATTTTGGGATCCACGAGTCTCGAATCGCGTCCAATTTAGCAAGCCACCAAGCCAGTTTTCTTTTTAACGCCAAGCGGTCAGGCCAAGTCAAGCCACGCTGCTCACGTAATGGCCGTAAGTGCATAGTTGCGGAAGTGATCAACCGTGAAACCGAGTGTTGCGCTCACTTGACGAAGCTTGTGTCGAGGAAGGAATTGCCGAGCCCCGGACATTCTTCGCCTATCGGATGCACTGATATCAACAAACAAGCCGTGGCCCGTGGTCCGCTTTCGGACAGTGAAATCGTGGAAGTGGTTGGGCCTAATTTCACATACTCCTGGTAAATGCGTTTATTTAATCCGCAACAGAACAGCACAGCGAGGTGCAGGCTACGCTGTAGGCTGAGAGTGTCTGGTAGCCTCCCCGTGAATGAAACTTGATCCGTGCGAGCGGGCTTCGGGGGTCGGCGGTTGGACGTCGTACGAGTTCTTGTTTCCGTGAAGAAACTTGATCCATGCGAGGGGGCTTCGGGGGTCGGGGGTATGAGTTCTTATATGCATAGTCGCGTATTATACCTGAGCGTGCCCACCAGATACTGGCAATATATATCGCCTAAGAATAGTCAGTCGTGTTGCTTTTCGTGCTGAGTGAGCTTCCTAGGGCGCTTTTCCTTCGGCAAAAGGCACCCCGAAAGCGCGCTAAAAAGGTTTGCAATTTATAAAGCATGGTTATTGTGGCGCGCCCCCAACCAGCCATGGGTGCGCCGCACCTCCATCTCTGGAAATGTGCCAAAGTGCCTTGCCGTGTCATATTGGCACCTAATATGACATTTGCACGAATTGTGTAAATGCAAAAATTTTACCCCGTGTAATGAACGCCCCCCCCCCCCCCCCCAAATATGGGTAAATTTTTCGGGGAAAAAAAGTGTGTTCATTATGCGAATAAATACATAGCCTCTTGAGACACTAGGATTTTCATAAATGTGCAAAGAACTCTTGTTTTAGATGTACAATAGACTCTAGATAATTCAAAGCTCACGGGAACACCAAAACGCTTTAAATTAAGCATATAGTTTGAATTGAAAAAGCACACTTAAACTGTGATTTATTTGTTATTATTATTATTATTATTATTCACTACCGTAGAATATTGCGCATCCTCCCATTCCACATTAAGCGCCCGTATCTAAGTTTCTAAGATATGAAAAAATATGCACAGTACATTTATATGTAAAATTGATGACCTGACAAGGCGCCCATCCCCCATTTTTTCGCGATTATCTATAAGTTTTGAGTGGGCGCTTGCCCGGTATTTTACGGTAGCCACCCGGGAGAAGTTAATTTTTTGCTTTCCTTCGGGAATGGAGACCGGCAGCATTAACTATGCTCTGAAAATAGCAGCCCTTTCTGAGGGTGCCTTCAGCAGTCTTCTCATTATACAGCAGTTTTTGCAGGGTGTCTGCCATCTGAGAAATCCTGAAACTGCCGGGGAATTTGGAGTAAATGTTACTCCATAGAATGTTTTCATTTAGTTATGTGTTCAGAAGACCTGAGCACAACTTTTCAGTGTCCTGTCAGAAGTATGTCTGTCAGTAATCACACAAGTACAAATTAAAGTTGTTGTTTCCTTTAGAGCATGCAGGACCTCACGATTGAGAGCGAAACATTATTGTCATTATTATTATTGATGACTTCATAGTAGTTCTCTTTTCGCCAAATTGGATAAAGAATTTTGCTAAACATGTTGTCTAGGAAAACCTGGAAAAACCGGGGAATTCAGGAGGATAGCCTGTAGTATTTGGTTTGAATTGGAAAGCCCCAGAAGGGAAGAGAAATTTTCCTGGGCTCCCTGTCAACAGATTGTTTTTGAACCATTAGGCCTCCGATTGTGATATAAGGTTGACATTGAGCATATAATTAATAATAGTAATAATAATATTAATCTTTATTTTGACATGTCCACAAAAGCTCAAAGCCTTCTGTGTCATCTGGTGCACAACAAATACAACAAAACTCTAAAACACACACACGCAAACAGATATCCAACTACCGTAAAATACCATGCAAGCGCCCACTAAACATTTAGTGATAATCGCGAAAAAATGGGGGATGGGAGGCGCTTGTCCGATCATCAGTTTTCTATATCAATATACTGTGCATATTTTCTTAGATCTTACAAATTTGGTTATGGGCGCTTAGTGTGGTATGGGCGGATGAGCGGTATTCTACAGTACGCAAGCAATATGGCATCTAGATTACGGCGAAATGTTGCTGCATCGCAAAAATATTTCAAGGTGGGGATGGTCACACTTGTTTAATTCAAGTTCCATTCTTATAATAGTCAATGTGGTAAAAACTGCATGTGGGTAGAAAAAGCTGTGAATACGACAAGTATATGCAGTATAGTATGTATTTTTTTACTTTTTTTCTCTAGGGGTAAGGAGAGAACCCTTACCATCTATGCAAATATTAGAGGAGTAAACTTTTGCTGTTTGTTGCCCCCAGGAAAAACACACAAGGTGGAAGAAGGTGCGAGAGACCTGGGCCGGACAGGTAAGGCCGTTTGCTCTGTTCAGAATTGCCTAACCTGCAGATTGTGCATTTCAGTCGCTGTAATTTTAGAGCTTAGCTCTTAGACGCCCATTTCTGGCTTGAGCAGGCCTGTGGCAACTTCTTTGGATTTAGTATAGGGTGGTTAGAATATAGTTTATTTAAAATTCCAAGGGGCTATGGAAATTTTTTCCACTTTGTATTCAGAATTTGACTTATTAGGTGTTTTATTTATCAGTAGTTGCACTTACAAGATGAAGTCCCTTGTCTTCATCTACTTGGTGTCCCTTGTCTTCCACCTTGGAAGACAAGGGACACTAAGTACTGTATTTTCTAATGTATCGGACACACTTTTTTTCTAAAATTTTCGGTGGTGCGTCTTATATACTAATTTTTACTTAAAAACTTGCGAAAAGTGGGGAGCGCGTCTTGTACAACGATGCGTCTTATACATAGAACACACTTTTTCCGCAATTTTCGGCGGTGCGTCTTATACACAGGTGCGTCTTATATACTAGTTTTTACTTAGAAACTTGCGAAAAGTGGGGGGTCTTATACACCGGGAAATACAGTAGATATTTTTCAGTTCCCCTTTTCCAGCAAGTTCTATTTAAGAAAGTTCTACATAAGGGGAGATGCAAGTCAAGTAACAACAATATTTTGCAAAAAATGGAATTTTGGGATTTATGGTGTTTTGTTATTTTTGACTCTTTATATTGATCGCGAAATTAGTCAAATACGCATTTGAGGACCTTTAGAAAGCCCAGAACAGCACGAATTTGAGCCATTTTTCTCTGCGTGGTTCTTCGAGTTGTGAGGTTGCCCACCATCACACTTACGTTGACAAGTAGGAATGCCATCTCCTCTCCATTGCAGTCTTCTGTAGCTTCAATTTCTCACGGAAATGTAAATAACAAAATTTCATTTTCCGCACCGCGAAAGAGTATAGCTACACATCCATGTTAAAGGGATACTACAACAAAATTTTGGCACTTATTTTTTGGTCTATATGTGTTCAGCAGAGCAGTATTGCATCGGACACACCAATATCTTGTTAAAAAAAGACACGAAAAGGAATTTTAAAATGAAATAAACGATTAGCAAAGAATACCTGGTGGATGTCGTTAATGCCTCGTTTGTAATGCCTGTCTAGGACCCTTGACAGGTAGTGACGGTGAGTGTCTCGCCTCCGGTCACGACGAGAGAAGAGGGGAAGGAGGAACTCCCCTCTTCCCGAGAATCCCTTTTGTGTGTACCAGAAGTCGCTATAGTCCCTCTACAATATTATAGAAGATTAACCAGTCATTCAAAATTCGTACAAAATCAGCCGCTTCGGTGGCTGGAACGACTAGGCCATCCTCTCAACGTCAGCCTCGCCGCAGCTTTGCTCGTCCCGAGACGAACTACGTCACGATTACATTGAATGTCACGTGCTTTCTGCTGACTGCTCTCCGAGCGCTTGCCAGAGTGGGCCGTTTATAACGAAAAATACAACCACCAGGCTCAAAATACAAACGTGCGATTGTCATTTACGGATATTGTGCACCATATTCGGCCTATCTTTTAACACGACGGGTATATTTCAAGTTTCGTTGAAGCATCCCTTTAACGTTGGATAGCGTTTTTCTTTTTATGTCATTTCGGGTTATCTTCAGAGACTGTGCACAAGAATTTCCGTTCTTAATATACTCCTATCAAAACCAAATTTGGCATGCATATACTTTAGAATTTGTAGAATGCAGCTATCATGGTTCGGTTAGAATGTATATTTCTTATATCTGTGAAAAACTGAAGAAACATTTTTGGCCTGTTGAGATGACATTTTTGTTATTTTTAACTATTTTAAAATGAACGAAGCATCACACATACTATTTTTGTTCATTACACTTAGTGGTTTAAAAGGAGAAAATTAGTTTATTTTACTAGGCTTTTTTAAGTCTGTTGCCATGCCTCACGTGCAGACAAGAACATGTTTTTTTCTACATGTACATTGCATGGAAGACCTAAGGAAACAAGCTATATCAAATCTAGCACCGGATTTATATAGTTAAATTTAAGCTCCATAATCCGTAAAAATTTCATTTCCATGCCGTAAATAATTAAGAAAAACTTTTACCCTGGCGCATGTCCTTTTAAAGGGATACTACAGTTAAATTTCGTCGCTTATTTATTGGTCTATTTGTGTTTGATGGAGCATTATCACATCAGACACACCAATCTCTTGTTTAAAAAGACACGAAAGGGAATTTTAAATTGAATTAAACGATTAGCAAAGAGCACCTGGCGGATGTCGCTAACGCCTCGTTTGTAATGCCCGTCTTGAAACCTTGACAGGTAGTGACGGTAACTGTCTCGCCTCCGGCCACGACGAGAGAAGAGCTGAAGGAGGAACTTCCCCCCCCCCCCCCCCCCCGAGACTTTCTTTTGTGTGTCCCAGAAGTCGCTATTATTTTTCTACAAGATTATAGAAGATTAACCTGTCAATCAAAATTTGCACAAAGACAGCTTTGAAGACACCTTTGGAGTTGCTTCCGGTGGCCCGATCGCTGGTGCGCTCCGGCTGCTTTCAGCGGATGCTACGAGCAATCGGGGCCTATCCAAGGCCGTGTAAATGTCACGTGACCTTGGAGAGGGGGCACAGCGATGTGCGGAAAGCGAATCGCGGGCTACGTCCACAGAGTGGGATTGGCTGGGATAGCTCGCAGCGTCCAGACGTAAGGTCCCGAGACGAACTACGTCACGATTGCGTTGGATGTCACGTGCTTTCCACTGGCTGCTCTCCGAGCGTTTGCCAGAGTGGGCCATTTATAACGAAAAATACACTCATAAGGCTCAAAATACAAACGTGTGATTGTCATGGCATCGCATTGTCATGGCAAAGGTAGTTATAATACAGAATGTACTCTATGTTGCTTTGCATTGGCATTGCACAGGAACTTGGTGCGCATTTCGTGCCTTGTTTGTGCAGGCATCGCTGTGTGTAGCATCTCTGGGAGGTGGCCTTGTCAGAGCGAGCACATAAATGGAAGCCGAATACAAAATTTGCATCTTTTGCAGTCGCATGTCCCAGCTTCGAGCGTGCTATTTCACGTCTCCCTATTTCCTCCGAAGCATGTGCTTGTTCTCTTTTCTCCTCACCTCTTGCACAGCCTCCCCCCATATGTGCAAGTGCACTCGCTACCTTGCTACGACATTTCAGACTCGCCTCTGATGCGTGCACCGTTGGCATAGATGGTTCGGCATCGGCCTCACAACGGGAGCAACTCCGGTTCGAAACCGATAACGCTTCTCCGCTTTCTTTGCTGCTTTTTTATGCTAATGAATTTTTATGTGACTCTCTTGTGTGACAGGAGTGTGTCACAGGAGTCCGCATTACAGGAATCTGCTAGGAGCCAGTCATATAATGCATTCTGTGTTGAAATGCAGGGCCACTCGCTGGCACTGGGGGACGTCATGGTGTTGCTGAAGGCAGTGGGCGCCTCCGAGTTTGTGGGTTGCAGCCCCAGCTTCTGCGAGCAGCACGGACTTCGCTACAAGGCCATGGTCGAGATCAGGAAGCTGCGCATACAGCTAACCAATGAGCGTAAGGCATTACCCTGCAATCCTTCCAACCTCGTGTAAACTGGCATCTTCGCCTGTTCTGTGAGAGTTGCTGACCTCAACAAAGTGGCAAACACTTTCGTCCGCTGCTTCTCAGATGGGGGCCCACAGACCCTTTGGAGCTTCTGAAGGGCTTCTTAGGGTCCCTGAAGCCTTAGACTTTCGGTCAAGCTGAGCACTAGAACTTTTTTTTTTATGGACGCTGGTTGCTGCATAAGGCTAAATAGATAAAACCATGTGCACTGAGTGAGCAGGGTCGATTATTCACTATTTCAGGGCTGCAAAGGTGGTTTTCATGCATTTAGTTTCCTTTATTTAACCTTTCGTCATTGTAGTCATTCAATACTGCACACCCCCCCCCCCCCCCCCCTTGCCGGCACATGGGGTCCCCTAACAGTTCCGCCACTCCAGAAGGGGCTTCCAAAACATCAGTGGTTGAGAACCGCTGCTTCCGTCCCTTGGCATCGAAGATGTTTATGTTTCAAAGTTTCATACTTGCTTTCCTTAATTAAAAGTCTATAGATAAGCTGGCCAGTTGAAGGTTGAGGGTTAAGAGGAGATGCGGGTGAAGAAAGGGCAGTATTTTGCAAGAAACCTCATTTTGGGTTTTATGGTATATATATATACAGTTGAACGTCGAATTAACAAAGTCACCGGGACCTGCTAATTATTTGTTAAATCGGGAACTTCGTAAAATCAAGGAAGGGAGAAATCTCGCATAGGCTGCACGGGGAATTCAAATTTGTTCACTAAATCGGGAAATTTATAAAATCGGGTTTCGTTAAATTGAGGTTCAACTGTATTATCTTTGAACCTTCATATTTTATGCATAAAAAAATGAAAGCCGTTTACAAATCCCTGTAACGCCGAATTGGAGCGCAGCTCTTGAGGAGTAGGGAAGGGTACTGAGGGGGGTCACGTCACCTGCGGGTAGTAACGTGACCCCGGGGGGGTCACGTGATCTCGGGGGAGGGGGGTCACGTGACCTCGGGGGGGGGGTGTCACGTGACCTCGGGAAGGGGGGGGGGGGGGGTCACGTGACCCCCCCGGTTACGCTGACGCCGACGCTGACGCCGACGCCACTCAGGCTGGAAACAGGCCCCTAAGAGCTGCGCTCTAAAATAATAAGGACCGATAATGATCCCGAATTTAGTCAAACGCATTTGAAGAGCTTCCGGCAACCGAGAACTGCCTAAATTCGAGCCATTTTATTTTGTGCAGTTCTTAAAATTGTGAGGTTGCCCGCCATCACATGTATGTTGAGAAGTAGGCCTAGCCACCTCCTCTCCATTGCACTCCTCTGTAGCTTAAATTTTTCACAGAAAATATTCTTTAAAAATTATTTTTCACGTTGCGAAAGAGTGTCGCTTCATATCTATGGTAATATTTGAGCGTGTTTTTCTCTTTATGTAATTTTTGCAGCATCTTCACAGTTTGCACACACAAATTTTTGCTTTTAAAGGGGCACTGACACGTCAAAATCATAATTGTTTTTATTATCTGAAATAATTGAAAACGATGCTTGACATTACCCTCAAAATTAGAAATTTGGGAATTCTGTATTCGTGAAGTAAAAAAACAATTTCCAAATGCCGAATTTGAAGTTCCCGCACCTCTCCAGTGCAGTTACGTCAAAGATTGAGTCGTCCTGCAAGTTGAGTTTCTCTCACGCCTCCAAACCGACCCGACGTGTCGTGTTCCCCCGCATTTCGCGATCAACCACTTGCGTGCCGCCTATCGCTGTGAGCAAACTGTAATGTACCGGCCGGTGGCCAGGACAGGGCGTGAGCGGACTCCCGCGCTTTCAAGAGCACGGGACTGGTGCACGGGTTTCTGGGCCTCGAGACGGGCATTCTAGGCGCCATTAAAGTAACGTCCGGACGCTTGTCTACGCCGAGCTTGAGTCCTTGCCTGGGGTACATAATAATTGGCGACGAGGTAGGTCAACAGTCAAGAACTTCAGCGGGCAGGATGGCTTCTCAAGGCAAGCTGGAGGAGTTCGACGGAACAGCTTGAACATCTTGGGCCGAACGCCCAAGCTTTTACTGTGAGGCCAACGCAGTTGAAGAGCCGTCAAAGAAACGAGTACTACTGCTTACACTTTGCGGACCCAAGACCTATGAGGTCGTACGAGCACTCGTGGCACCAAGAACCCCTGCAAACGTCAGTTTTGACGAGCTCATGGCACAACTCCAGAAACAGTTCGACCCGCGGCCGTCAGAGCTCTTCAGCCGAGCGAAGTTTCAAAGAAGAGACCAACAACACGGGGAATCCATATCCAGCTACGCGGCGTCTTTGAAGAAGTTAGCCGCAGACTGCAACTTCGGGATCCCTGTGACACCGGGGACTGCGACAACTTCCGGTACAACAAGCGTCGGCTTGGCTTCAACTGCTACCGGCGCCACCGGCGAAGGAACACCTGTGATTTCGGGAACCACAGGACACACAGCGGCTAATCCGACCATGCTACCCCTTGAGGTAATGCTCAGAGATCGTTTCGTTTGTGGCATAACTGATGAGCATCTCCAGCAACGTTTGTTTGCCGAAACTAATCTAACCTTTCAAAAGGCATATGACATGGCCGTGCGAACAGAAAGTGCCGCACAACATCAACGCGATTTGAAAACACACAAAGAGGAGGTTCATGCGGTTAAGAAAGAACAGCTACCACCTAAGCAGTTGAGTACGAGTGGCAGCAGACAGAGGGATCTACAGACATGCTACCGATGCCAAGAACAACATTCGGCTTACTCCTGCCAGTCCCGAAACGCACGGTGCAGCTTCTGCCACAAGAAGGGACATATCGAAAAGGCCTGTTTCAAAAAGTCAAGAACGCAGCACCTATCGCGGATGACACACAGCCTCGATCAGCCAGATGAGCTACCCGAATTTGACGATGATCATGCGGATACGCCATGGAGCCTGCCCGAGCTGAATATGGTTAGAGCATCGAAGACGCTGCCAAAGTTTATGGTGACGCTGAGGATTGAAAATAAAGAGCTCGAATTCGAAGTCGACTCCGGAGCTGCTTGCTCAATCATCAGCGAAGCTACATATCGCCACCTCTGGCCGAAGAAGGCCCCTAAGCTAAACCAGGAGGGCCTGGCCCTCCATACATGGTCAGGAGAGGGCTTACAAGTGCTTGGGACGGCAAGTGTACACGTCCGACTTAAATCGAAGGATTACATCTTGCCTTTGGTCGTGACAAAAGGCTCAGGATGCAGCCTTCTAGGACGAAACTGGTTTCGAGACCTAAAGATCCGGGTGAGTGGAATCCATCACCTCGGCAACCATGGCAGCGTCGCCGAAGTCTTGAAGACACATGAGGATGTTTTTGACGCCAAGATCTCGGGACACAAAGGGCCACTAGTAAAACTGGAATTAAAAGAAGGCGCGACTCCCCACTTCCTCAAAGCACGACCCGTGCCGTTTGCACTGCGCATCGCGGTGGAGGCCGAGCTGCGGAGTCTCGAGAATCAAGGAATTTTGGAAGCGACGCAACACTCCGAGTGGGCCACACCGGTGGTTGTAGTACGAAAGAAAGATGGCACCATCCGGCTATGCGGAGATTACCGAAGCACGGTAAACAAGGAAGCAAAGCTCGCAGTGTACCCCATGCCGACGGTTCCAGAAATCCTGGCAAATTTGCAAGGAGGTGTGGTATTTTCGACGCTAGACCTCACCCAAGCGTATCAACAGCTACAACTGACAACTGAGACGGCTGACGTGTTGACCATCAGCACTATAAAAGGCCTCTATCGAGTCAAGAGGATGCCATTTGGCATCGCAGCTGCTCCAGCAATTTTTCAGCGATTCATGGAAACTGTTTTAGCAGGAATCCTGGGTATAGGGATATACCTCGATGATGTGATTATCAGCGGGGCCAACAATGCCGAGCACATGACTAGACTGGACACAGTATTGGCGAGACTTGCTCAAGCTGGTCTACGACTAAAAAGATCTAAGTGCCGCTTCGCAGTGGAACAAGTACAGTACCTCAGACACATCATCGATGCTGCCGGGATACACCCGACTGAGGAAAAACTCAAAGCTATCCACGAGATGCCAGAGCCGACCTGTCGAACCACGCTACAGTCGTTTCTCGGACTTCTAGCTTTTTACGACCGATTTTTGGCAAATCGGGCAACAATAGCAAAAGATCTCTACGCACTGCTAGAGAAAGACAGACCTTGGGAATGGAAAGAAAATCATCGACGAGCCTTTCTGCAGCTGAAACAGGCCATCGCAAAACGTACGGTCCTCGCGCACTACGACGAGAACAAAACCTTGATCGTGTCATTTGACGCTTCCCCCTACGGCGTCGGCGCAGTATTAGCACAGTTAGATGCAGACGGAAATGAGGCTCCGATCGTGTTCGCATCAAGAACGCTCGGCAAGGCTGAAAAAAACTACTCGCAATTGGACCGTGAAGGGCTGGCTATCATTTTCGCAATGGACCGTTTTCATCGCTATGTCGCGGGACGTCCCGTGAAAATAACGACGGACCATCAACCATTGTTGGGCATCATGGGCCCGAAATCACCAGTACCGAATGTGCTTTCGCCACGCATGACACGCTGGTGTATCAAGCTCGCGGCCTATAACTATGACCTAATCTACAGAGCGGGAAAACGCAATCAAAATGCTGACGCTCTGAGCCGACTACCGGTGCCGGAAACGCAGGACGAACAGGATCCTCTCGGCGATGTCCTGATGTTGGAGGCACTGACGAAGCCTCCCATGACCGCAAAAGAACTGGAAGACGAAACGGCAATTGATTCCACTCTGGCTGAGGTCTTTAGAGCAGTCAAGAATGGCGAGGTAAAGAGACTGGTGGGCGATCGGTTCAACGCGTTCAAGCTCAAGGCAACTGAGTTGTCCATCCATCGTGGTTGTCTCACCTGGGGTGCGCGCGTGGTAATCCCAGCGTCAATGAGACCCGAGGCTATGAGACTTCTACATGCAGGACACCGAGGCATCGTAGCCATGAAGGCCTACGCCCGAAGCTGCGTGTGGTGGCCCGGCATAGACAAAGAGATCGAATTATGTGTAGCTCAATGTGAGAAGTGCCAGCTACACCAGAAAGCACCACCAAAAGCCACCAGTCCCACCTGGGACAGACCTACAGTACCTTGGGACACCATCCATTTGGATTTTGCAGGGCCTGTAGATGGACAAGTCTATCTTGTCGTGATAGATGCATACTCTAAATGGTTAGAGGTTCGTGCAGTTCGAAACATGACGTCATCAACTGTGATTTGTGAATTACGGAACATTTTTGCAACGTTCGGCATACCACGTAAAGTAATGTCGGATAACGGAACTGCTTTTATATCGCAAGAGATAAAAAGCTTTTACCACTCCAATGGAATCACAGCGGTAACGAGCGCACCTTATCACCCGGCAACGAACGGCCAAGCCGAAAGAATGGTACAGCAATTAAAGAAGGCTCTGGCGAAGGGAGAAAAAGACACGGTGAAACGTACACTGGCACGGTTTTTGTACAAGCAGCATACCATGGTACACACTGCAACGGGCAAGACGCCCGTTGCTGGGATACTGGGATGGCGCTGGGATACATAATATCGCTGTGAGCAAACGACACTTGACTTTCGAGTTTTAAGTTCGTTTAGGGCCCTTTCAGCGATCTCAAATTCTTTGAAACAATGTGAGGTCGAAGAGAACGCGCAGTGGGCTTTTATGAACGACGTGAGGGGCCACGTCGCGCTGGTTCTGCCTGAAGGCTGCCCCGGCGGAGTCGCAACCGAAACTATGATACAAAGACTCAAACCACAGTTGTTTTGACCATTTGACGATTTCCTTTTCGAAATCTGAGACGTTGTCGGGCACCTAAAAAAGTCCACTTCGTTCGATTCCCCGACTCACCGATCATCCTCTGCTACGTGCTTCGAGCACCGCCATGTTTTTGAAAGGAGGATAAAAGCCGTGCGGCGACATCACACTGGACTCCGATTTTCGGTATTTCAAAAAGAAGGGCCATAGTGCATCTGCAATTGCATTAAAAAATATGTTTTACGAATGCCGTTAATAAATGTTATAGAAATTTCGCTTACAAAGCTTCTAAATTTCATAATATTTGACGTCACAAATCAAAATAAGCAAGGAGGTTAGGTGCGGGAGAGAAGAGTGCCAAAAATAAAAAGCGCACGCACACGTGGGAAAATTGATTTTTGCGTTGCAGTATTTTTTTGCGTGCCTATGACTACAATTTGCATTGTTTTAGACAACAAAAAGAATACGCCCTTTGGGGTGTCAGCACCCCTTTAATAATGTCCTGCCAGAACCAGATGTGGCATGCATACGTTTTAGAATATGCAGAGTACAACTATTTTGGTTAGAATGTATATTTTTTATATCTATGAAAAAAAAATTTAAGAAACTTCTGTTAGCTCTTTAGAACTGGCGTTTTTGCGATTTTCAATTATTTTAAAATAGAATAGGTCTCGCACACTTTTTTTTTTTGTTGTTGTTCATTGCACTTAGTGGTTTAAATGGATCAAATGAACTTATTTTACTAGGCTCTTTTAATGTGTGTTGTCGTGCCCCCCGTGAGAGCAATAACATGGTTATTTCTGCATGTGCATTGTATCCAAAACAGAAACAATCTAATATCAAAACTAACACCAGATTTATAAACGAAGATCAAGAATTCTAATCTAAAAATTTAATTCAGTTATCATAAATAGTAAAGCAAATGTTTTCCCCTAACACAACATGCAAAGGAAACATTTTTTTTTTAAACAGCCTATATTTGTTTTTATTTTAAGAACTGTAGTAAAAAGTCCAACTCCTCACAAAGCATTACTAATTTCTCTCTTTATGTAGATAATTAAGATATATGTACTGTAAAATACCGGGCAAGCGCCCACTCAAACTTTGGAGATAATTGCAAAAAAATGTGGGATGGGCACTTGTTCAAGAGGTCATCAATTTGACATATAAATGTACTGTGCGTATTTTCTCAGATCTTACAAATTTGGTAATGTGCGCTTAATGTGGAATGGGCCGATGCACAGTATTCTATGGTAGGTGCATTTTAGATTAGATATATGTTACCTTACCAAGACTTACACGCTTCAAACGCCAAAAGCATCGCTTTTTCCTCCGACAACCAAATCCTGTAAGAACTACTTTGTGCGGCGTATGAACAATGCATAAAGCTTCCTTTTTTCTTGATGTGGAAATGCATATAGATGGAAAAAGGATGTCGTAAAACAAATTTACAATAAAAAAGATAAAAAAAAAAAAAAAATTTAGAGCTATATTTACGGCGCGAAACGAATTCGAAGTTGACGCCTGCGGGAGCCTACAGAAAAGTAGCCGCTATGGTCACGTGACTGGCCGCTATGGTCACGTGGTGCTTGCGCTTTTTGGACTCTAAAAGTTACTTATTCATCTTCGTTTGTACTGTAACAAAAAAACAAAGATTAATAAGTAACTTTTAGAGCCCAAAGGAAGCTCCTGAAAGAGTTCAAACACCACCTGATAGACCTGTGCGCCAGTCAGAAATTGACGGCGGCAGCGTACCAATGTGCTTCCTTCCGGCAGCGGTGGTGGCGGCATGCAGAAATGCATTCAACCGGCGGTGCACCTCGCTCAGCGTGAGGTGGCGGCGTGACTTTGCAAGAGCTTAGCGCGGCGGCGTACAGGTCTACCACGTGACCAGTGGTGGCTCCCGCGGGCACCAACTACAAATTTGTTTCACGCCGTAAATATAGCTCTAAAAGTTTTTTTCATTGTAAATTCATTTTATGACTTTCTTTTTTCATCTAGGCTGTTTATAAAAAAAGTTTTTTTTCCCTTTGCATGTGTTCTTTGAAGTCAACTGCAAGTACTGTCAGACCGGTTATAACGAAGTCGGTTATAACGAAATAGCGGCTACAGCAAAGCGATTACGATTTTCCCTTTCCTTTTTGCACTTCCTTTATTTACCGAAGTCGGTTATAACGAAATTGTAAATATAGCGGAGTGATTTCCGATTCCCGTTGACTTCGTAATAACCGGTCTCGACAGTACTGACTCGTGGTCAGAAGACATGGCCCCAAATACTTAAGCAATGTCTCGAGGGACTTTTACTAGGTGTATGAGCTTTTTCTGCTCATCGCATCATGACACGAAACAGTGTAGTTTTATGTTCAGTGATCATTTTACGTTTCAGTGAACCTTCTCATCCCCAATCTGGGCCTCTCTGTGGACCCCAAGATGGACCCTCCCTCCGACCTGCAGGCAAAGCTGATTCGCCAAGTCGTGCTCATGGGCTTCAGCGACCACATTGCCAAGTAAGACGTCGATTACTTTTTCGAAAAGTATGTGTCACATCTTTCTATCACGCTTTCTCTGTTTACTGAAGAACACTTTGAAAGTTTTGGTACAATATGTCGTGATAATGTACGATAACCTTTTCACGGTTTAACCTTTTGTAGTAGACCAGTCACTCTCCAACTTTTCTATCTCGAGAGACCTCCACCTGCCTTGTCTGATATCCGAAATACTTCTCCCGGACTCTGCATTGATATAATAAAGCGGTTCAGAAGTCTTCACACCTTGTATACAAAACATAAAAAAAAAAATACAATTCAGTTGTGTGTATGCTTTTACAGCCTACAACTTGGTCTGCCTCAGCGGGCGACGAGTCTCCCAGCTGTAGATAAGAAATTTAGTCGGTGCAGTACAACCGCTAGCCTGGGGTCTTTAACGTGCACCACGCAGTAGTGATACACGACCGCACGCCGATGCGATGCTCATCCAGATCAAAACAAGCAGGTATGGAGATTGAACTCAGGATCCTCGGTTCTGCAGCGCGAGCTTTCACTTCACATGCTCCGAGCTGGTGTGCACTAGCCCAGTCGGCCACCCATCCCCCCAGCTTGTAAGCAATAATGCACATAAAAAGTGTTTTGTTTATAGTTCTGCATCGATGGATGGCTTAGAAGTTAGATCTGCCAAAATGGCGTTTTAACTGGAAATACGCTTTCCAAGAATACTTGAGGTTCTGGGGAACCCCAGTGTTCTTAGGGACCCAGTTGGAGAATCCGTGTTGTAGGCTACTGTCTTTGCAAAGGCTAGCAGAAATTATTTTTGTCATTTTGTCCCTTCGATTGTAGGTTTCCAATTTTCTTGTTTTTGTTATTAATGTGGCAACCTTATTCAGTTGGCTGCCTGGTCAGAGTTGTGAGCTACAAAAATTAAAAATTGAAGCATTGCAGGTAAAATTGAGTGGCAAGAGCTGAAGAATTGGAAGGTGCTAATACGATGGCCATTTTATTATAATTTCATATGTATACAGTGCAGTCCACTTATAACAATACCACATATAACGATGTACTGCCTATAACTATTAGTTTCTTAAGTTTCTAAACTAGAAGCGTTCAGTTTCTACTCCAGATACAACGATAATCGATTATAATGATTGAATTTTCAGGTTTCCTTAAGGTTACTGTGAGCCAGTTACTGATAATTAAACCAAACAAGGATATGGCTTATATTTAGGGTGTGTACTTTCCGGTGTTTATTTCTGAGAAAAATCGGCGGATGTTTTTCGGTGTTTATTTATTTTCAAAACACAGGTGTATTTCGGTGGAACGTCTCACGACGAGGCTAAAATCTGTGAATATCGGTGAAAAAAAAGTGATTGATCACAGAAAGAGAGTTCCAATTTTATTCACATAGTTCATACACTTCTTCTCTAGGAAGCAACTATTTCTAACACTAGGTTATTATAGTAGATGCAAGCATACTTTTATGCTTGCATCTACACGCAAGGAACGTGCTGCCTTCATGGCACCACGTTCCTTGCGGTTCGCAACCCGTAATTATGAAAACGCACGCTCCTGTACGACACGGACGTTGGCAGTGTCTTCCAGGAACCACAGCAACCTCTGAATACATGGCTTGCACTGACATCACTTGGCCAGACACAATGAGGAAAAGGCACGTGAGAGCCTACCCTCCACTGTGTTAATTTTTCCACAAAAGGGGGCCATGGGAGACACAATAAGGGAAAGGCGTATGAGAGCTTAGCGTCTACTGCGTTCACTAGACGCTTTTGACCCCCAGAAAGGAGGGCGGACTGACGCCACCTGCAAGCCATGTATAAACACTGGAAGAATGCAGGATCCACGAGATAACACGTTTGACGAACCTCTACGGGGAAAGGGTTTCGCTAGGTCGGAAACTAGCAACGACCGGTGTTTTTCGGTTTTAACCAGGGCGAAAATATCCAACCACCGGTGTTTTTAACCGATTTTATATTTTCGTCACCGACGGATGTTTATCGGTGTCTTTCGGTTAAAACCGGAAAATGCACACCCTCCTTATATTCATTCTCAACATAGAGGCTTGCTCTAAGAAGCACTTAGTAGTAGTAGTGTGAAAGACGTTAAAGGGAACACCACCTAGAAGAAAAGGTATTTCTGCAAAGAAGATCATTTTGAAAAATACCATATTTACATCCACCAACATCTATAGAGTATTCCCAGAAAGTTTCATTAGTTTACACTGCATAGGTATTTTTAGTGCGAAAGCATAAACTGTGCCATGGAGCGAAGCTGGCGTTGTCTCTAATCGACTGTAGCAGAGAAACGGCACCTAAATTCCCATTCCCAATAAAACAAAGAAAAGCACAGCAATGCAGATGCCTCATCACGGAAATTGGCGTGCCTCATCACGGAAATTGGCGTGAAGCCGGCAGGGTTCACCGCGCCTTTGCAGTGGGGGAGCGGGATGTCACCACCAGAGTGCCGTGTGAGAAAAGAAGACGTGGCACGCTGCTTGTAGGAATGCACCGCGTGTAGAAATGCTTTTGCATTCCTACATGTAAACAGTCTTAAATGTCTGCCAATTTTTTTTTCTTTTTTTATATAAATCTTTTTTGGTCCATTGATGCTAAAAAAAAAGGTAGAGGATGGAGCACTTGGACGCGCATATTTCTCCGTTCCACTTTTGGCATAAATTTCACTTTAGGAAAACTATTGTTTGGTAATGGGACGAAAGGAAAGGCTTCCTCGTTTTTCCTAACTGGAATTTAATGGGCAGTGCAACTGTGGCATTGCTTTTTTACTTTGTGGATGTTTTTTTTTGTAAAAGATGTTATGATTTTGTCATCAACATAAAAGGGAAAATTTTTTTTTGATTTTTCACCGCGATGTTTGCATAAAATAAATTACTTTTTGGAAATCTTGTTTTCACAGTCACACTCTCCAGGCATTCTGCTCTGTATCTGGTGAAGAAAAATGTTGGGTATAACATTAGTTTTCTAACTAACAAAGTCAGTGTGTTCCTTATAAGACTACTATGATTTCTTTTCCAAATCATGTATGCAGGTGAAACTTTGCACTGTATTCTGCCTAGCAACTGCCAGTATATACTGTAAATTTCATTCATATTAAGCTAAAGGTTCAAGAGTTGACCCTTTTCGGTAGTGTCCCCCCTTAAAGAACCCCTGAAAAGAAATAATTTTTTTTTTTTTTTAACAGTTTGGTTGAGACACGCAAATCAAAAAATTATTGTTACGTGAAAAAAAAAAAATTTAGAGCGATATTAACGGCGCAAGACATGGCTTAGTCGGTAGTCACCTCCTTTCCGCTTGTTTTCTCTCGGCATTTTGGTAACGTGGAGGAGAGGTGGACCGGCTTCACCTTCACGTTGAGGTGGAAAAAGCAAATGGCCATCTCGTTGAGCGAATGACCATTTCATGACGTCATAGACTTTGTGCGCAGAATTTCAAATAAGTCTCTTGTCGCCAATATTGCTCTAAAAGTGTTTTTTTTTTTTCTTAAAATTTATTTTTTGACACGCATGTCCCATGCAGACTGTTTAAAAACAGCTTTTTTTTCTTCTTTTATGTAGAAAAATAACTTTGTTTGGGTCCACCCTCAAAGTGTGTCTTTTCGCTCCTCAGAAAAATGACAGACGAGGAGAGATGCAGCGAAACCGAGGCTGCCATCGCCAAGAATGCTTACAAGGTAAAGCAGCATGTGACCCATGAAGCTAGAAATAGTCATTTTCTTGTCCAGCTTGAGTTCATGCTGTTCTCTTCGCATCAAAAAATTCACTTCATTTTCCTTTTTCTTCTTTTTTTTTAAGAGCATTGAAGTGGACGACCCCGTCTTCATCCATCCAAACTCAGTGCTGAGTGGAAAGCTTCCGCTCTTCGTCATGTACCAAGAGATTTTTGAAACCAGCAAGATGTTCATGAGGGGTGAGTTTACATAAAGGCCCATTAACACACTTACGATGCTTGCGCCATCTATGCGGGGTCCCTGGAACTGCATTTCACTAGAGCGAAGGTTTCGCGGTATTTGAGTGGTCAAATGTACACACTACCTACGAGAGACGGTAGTTTATAACATTGACAAGAGTTTTTTCGAGCCAAAAAACGTAGAGTCCTTCCACTTCACGTGAAGATGGAGGACCAGCGAAGCTGCTATCTTTACGACGTCTAGGATGATGCCTAGAGGCCGACGTCTAGGACGACCTCAAGGACGACCTCGAGGACGACCTCGAGGATGACTTCGAGGATGACGCCTAGTGAAATTCAGCCTTTCCACTCTGGTGAAAACCAGAGTGGAAAGGCTGGAAAGGTTGCTGGCATCTATGAGCGACGGCGGCAAACAGACGACCGGCAAGCAGGTTGTCTGGTTGCCGCCGTCACTCATAGATGGCGGTAGCTGTCCAGAGTTTTGTGTCGACATTTGTTTACCCGCAGACACAGTACTGGGGAAACTAGCCCTTAACAGATCCGCTGTAAAAAGAAAGAATGATGCGCTAAGAAAATTAGAAATTTACGGGACCACCAAGCGTTCCACGGATACCCGATAAGGGGCACAAGTGTGTCCCCTTGTCGTAAAAGATTTTAAGAGGTTTCGAGGCACACGGTCCTAAGAAGTCGCAAGTGCGCGAACGGGCCTGAACATGCAATGTTTTGCATTAGTCTACTTCTGCGTTGGACAATTCTTTTTCTGTCAAAGGTGCGCATTACAGAGAAGAAGAAAAATAGTTGTGTCACGTTAGTCATTGGCGAGGGGCCAATTTAGCAATAATTTTAGCTACTTTAGTCGTTAATTAGTCTCGCATAATTCACTTTTTAGTTTTTAGTTAGTAAAAACAAACTAATGGTTCCAATTAGAAATTTGCTGGGCATCGTCGAAGACCACTAAGTCGGTAAATTTTATAAAGTCTCGGAGCATATGGGAGGCGTGGTGGCGTGCCAAAGTCACCGCCCGTGTTACAGGCACGAGGCTGGCAGAGCAAAAATGTGGAAGATAAAAGAAAGGAAAAGAATGTGGGAGTGCATCAAAGTTGGATGCGTTTTCGGGGCCTGGAAAAAGTTTCTAATTGTAACTATCTATTTATCTATATTAATTGGAAATTTTGTTATGCAAATCTAAATCAAAGTTTCATTATCCTATACTCTATGTACCAAATTTAATAGGTCCCGTGACAGCGACCATTGTCCGATGTTCAGTAAAATACTACACGGTGTTTGTAAGACTAAAATATATCCTTTAAGAAAAAGGGCACTTACGTGAAGACATGGTTCCTTTGGACTTCAGCAGTGGTTGATATCAGAACATTTTAAAGGGATACTGAATCGAAACTTAAAATGTACCTCTCACATTCAGAAATAAGATAAACTTGATCAACTCTATCTGCTAATGACAATTGCACGCTTGTCTTTTGAAAGAATGGCTATATTTTTCGTTCCAAAGGGCCGACTCCAGCGAGCGCTCGAAGATCAGCCATCGGAGAGCGCGAAGGCTAATCTTCGCGTCTCCTGACTGGCCGTGTGGGCCAGGAAACGTGACATCAACCGGCCCAGCACGGGCAAAGCTGCTTGGGGGTGGCGTGGTTAAGAGCTCCGCCATGTGGCGTCGTCAACGCATTACAACCTGGCTGTTTTTAGTTGACCCTCCCCGCTCTCCAGAGGAATCGAATAGGCCGGGAGGGAAGGGAAATCCGGTTGGAAAGGGCTCGTGTGCACGCAGCTTGCCGCCGTACTTCCGCGGAGTGGCACTGCTTTTAGGGTCAGAGTGACATAGCGACATTTGGTTTCTTCCTTTTAAATAATGTTTTGGTGTTTTTTCGAGCAAATAATTGGTGTCTCCATAGTGTGGCGAGATTGTGGTTGACATTTAGAGTATAAGATAGGTGCTAGAATTTTGTTTCAGTATCCCTTTAATTAACGTGATGAGTAGCAAACTGGTTACATAAAATTCAATAAATTTTTTAACAATTATCATACGTGGCGTATTTCAGTCAAATAATTTGTAGCTGATCGTCAGAATAGGCTATAGGGTGTTTTCAAATAAGTTTGTTTGACCATTTCCAATTACAGTGATGTGATTGCTGCGCCAATTGCACCAAACTGCGCCAAGGGGCTAACCCTGCTACGTCCTGCTACATTTTGCCAAAATGTAGGTAATCTGCGCCAAGCCTGCGCCAAAGGAGCAATTTCGATCGCCTTTCAAAACCGAAACTAAACTGAGAACCGTAATTGCGCATGCGTCAGCTAGGTGGCGCAAGCGGCCGCCCGACACTAGAGTTCCTGTATAGGCTCCCTACGGGAGCCAGAGTTGCGCGTTCATCCCCGTAGCGCCGTCTTTCCTGCATGGCATGTTGATCCAGCGTCTCACGTGACTGAATTCGGCAAATAGCAGCGCCGCGCGTCCGAGCCGCGCGGCGCGCTCAAAAGCAGGGGAACGTTCGGCGGGGCGCGTGCAACGTCTACTTTCCTGCACGGCACTTGATCCGGCTCCTCACGTGATTGGATCTCGGCGAATAGCGGCGCGGCAGCACGTGGAAAACAGACGTGCAACTCTAATCCCGCGGAACTCTACCCGACACAAAGTACCTTGCATCAATTGTCCATCCGGTCTTGCATGTTTTTTCCCGTCGTCCTAGCCTCCTTGCCTCCGTCTCGCGTTTCGCACCCTCATGCCCAACGTTGCCCGTGCCCTCGTAACTCGTCGTCTCGAAAATCTCGTCTCGCGTCTTTTTTAAATTTTTTCTACGATAGGTGCGGGCGTGTGCGGACACTCCGACGCTAGTGTGCCGGGTGCCAGCCATGCCGTCATGCTGTGAAACAAAACCACGTTTTTTGGGCGGCGAGAGTTACTTTGTGAACTGAAACGCTCGCGCGACCACAGTCACCGTGGTCGCGCGACGTCGGGTGTTGTCGTTCCCACGTCACTGCAGATATGGCGCTTTCTAAACTTGTTCATCGACATTCCCGGCCTTCTTTAAATCATACTCTACTACAAAAAAACTCCCTCTAACTCAACGACTGCTTGTCGAAATATTAATTACCTCGGTTTTTCTCGGTGGGCTTTCTTTCGAGAGGGAGCCCGGTACGTGAAAAATCTGCCGCGAAAGAAAGTTGGTGAAGAGAAGTGAGCTAAAGCAAAGAAGGCAATGTGTGAACCCGCACATCGCGCTTGTTTGTCTCGAGTTAGGTCGTTGCACAAAGCGCTCCAAGAACGTTTTGACCCTGGCTCGCGATGTCATGCATCAATGCGCTCAGGTTCTTTTTTTCTGTGTGTTTAGCTCGTACATCGCCTGCCGGCCTACCAAGCATAGGCCGCTCAACTGTTTTTTTTTTTTTTTTTTTTTTTTTGTATGCTGGACAGTTACATTTTGCATACTATTTTGGGAACCAGTTGGCGATGGAGGAGAGTTGCATTGTTTCGGTTTCGATTCAACAGCCGTTGTCTCCGCTCGCGCAACGAAGCACAGCCACTGCAAGCCTGCTGAAGTTGCCCTCACGTGCATATGAACATGACTGCATGACAGAGACGCCAGCCGGGACGCTTGCAATTTCTTGTTTTGCATTTGTTTACTTTTGACGAAAACCTGGCATGTCGGGAACCAGTAAATCGGTGGCAAGCGTTCTTTTCGGAATTGCTCGGCAACGCCTATAACACTGTACACTTGTGGGATGTATCAGCAGTAAAACACAAACAGCGAGTTCTGTCACAACACACCACAAAGTGCCCTTCGTTTGTCCATCAAATAAAACAAATATTTTTATTTTTCTGAGAATATCTGCTCCAAAAGCCACTTTTGCTGCTCTGAAACACTGTTTGGGCTGCTCCAGAAGTCACTTTTGCTGCTCCAGAAGACTGCTTTGGCTGCTCCAAAAGGTGCTCCAAAATGGCTTAGGCCAATCACATCACTGCAATTACCACTTTTAATTATGATGAAAGAAAAAATATTTTGTTGACCCATCAAAACAAAGCCGACTTTTGTCTTGCGAAAAAACTTTTTGTCTGCAGAAAAAATTTAGAAGCACACATTCAACCATGACAGAAACCCCAGCTCTTCAGTTACTACCACATCTCAGAGCCCCCTACTTGTCCCGCAGTTGTGGCCGAGTGGTTAAGGCGATGGACTAGAAATCCATTGGGGTCTCCCCGCACAGGTTCGAATCCTGTCGACTGCGCAAACATTTTTTCTTTTTATGTGAGCATGGACGCCGGCCGGACGGTCAAACAAGGCTAGACCCTAAGGAGCTTCGCCCCTAAAATGAAAGATGTCCTCCTTTTTTTTTTTAATTGATTTTCAATTAAAGTCAACACACTCAACTTCAGCAAGTTGAGTGTGTTGACAATAACGGTTGTGCAATCGCACTTTGAAAGCCTTGTCTTTGTTTACCTTTTTCTTTTGCCATTATCGCTTTGCCCTATTTTTTTTTTTTAATTTGTTGAGCTTTCTTTTTTGCTGCTTGCTTAATTTTTTTTTTTTCTGATTTTTTTATGCGTCTTATTTTTCTGTTTTCCTTTCATTTTTTTTTATTATCTTCGTGTTTTGTCGCTTATACTGTGTGGAGGTCCCTGCCAAGTGTGCGTGTAAGCGCGGGGGTGGTTGCAGTCTCCGCCAACTACGCTCTACTGTATTTAGAGGTGCTCTATTTGGTAAGCTGCCATTTCTTGCGACCTTCAGTATTAGCAGGGTCACCAGAAAATTTTAACTCGAGCTTAATTTAACATATTTTGTATATCAAATTACTGATATATTTAGCTATTTTACGATCCACTTTGAATTTGATATATCTGTGTTCGACTGTATTGGAATAAATATGTTTGTCAAGGTAGTCCTGTCCAGCAGTCAGGTGCAGCGCACTTTGACTCAACTTTGGTTTCAACATGGTGTAATATGCCAAGACAACAAGGATGAAAACGAGGGGAGAACTGGACAGGATACGGCGCGCAGTGGTGGGCGGGCGGGGTTTGGTTTCAACGCTGCTAAAGTGCTGTGTCACGTTTAAAGCACAACTGTGGGTTTTCATAATATTTGTATGCTTCTCTATCTGAGTTTTCACAATGGCCTAAATTTCCTGCCAATTAGTAGCACAAAGCAGGATTTGATTACTTGAAACCTAACAACTGCTAGGACCTAGGTACATATTTGGGTCGTGGCCTACAAATTTCTTACTGAGGCATGCCAGCGAGAATTGATATTTAGAACATAGTTGAATTTTAGTGAATAGCTAATTATCACATTACACTAATGCCCCGACATCTGCCACGGCCTCGAAAACGTTATGCTAGTAAAAAAGTGGCATTTTTTAGCGATTGTTTTAGCTTAAAAAAGTTTTTTCTGTACATTTCTTTACTGAAATGCTTGCAGACATAGGCTTTGTCTGAACTGTGAGCCCTCTGTGCTTTGTACATTGCTGCAGTGGTGGCTGAGGTGGAGCCAGAGTGGCTGCCCGTCTACGCTCCCAAGGCATGCACTTTCTCTGCACCCTTGGAGGATCCCCCACCACATTACGACAAGAAGAAAGACAAGGTCTTCTGCTTCATGACGTCCACTTTCGGTCAGTGTTGTTGATTCATACTAATTGTATCGTTTAAGGGACACCGACAAGGTGTTTACGCTCGCCGAGGTTTTTATTCGAACGTGGGCTATGAGAGCCCAACTACCCAGAATACAATTTGCGGCTCAAAATTAGTTTTCTTTCTGCTAGAAAACTGCCGGTTGAGAATTGGTCGGTTTGAGGTGTGCTGACTCTTTTCCATGGTCGCATGCCAATCAAACTAGCCTACCAAATATATTCAAAGTCACGTAAGTCATCTAAGGCACACATTCAATATTAAAAATAAATATAAAACCCATTTTTTGTGGCTTCCAAAAAACTGCAAAGACGTTGATTAAAAATGAAAATGTTGCCCAGATCAGAGGAGGTACATGTACTGCGTCATTCTCAATATGGCGACAAACCGCGGTCTGGACGATGCGATGGCGGCCCACGACGGACCAACATTGCAACCGGCGTGGGATGACTACTTCAGAGCTTTTGTTTGTGGTGCCAGCCAATCAATCTTCAAGCGAAGATCAGCAAGCGGTATGAATATAACTGCAAAACAATCGCTCAACAAATGGTGCATCCAACATCATTGTCGTCTGTATAAAGGGCAACTCCTCTCAATTCCAAGAATTTTGGGATAATGAGTGATTTCACAATAAAAAGCACTAATAAAAGGCAGTACATCATTTGCTTTAGAAAAAATGGAATACGTATATATATTGTAAAGTCTTACTTTAAACATGAGAAAAAATCAAAACCGAAACTTCGGCTCCTTCCGGCAACATTGGCCTCAGGCTGACAAACAAAATGGCTTTACGTGGTGCGAGATGTCACGTGATCCTTGTCGCAACGATGAGCAAGTTTGGGAAAGGCGTGTGCAAAGTGCAAGTGTCGTCTGCGCCACACTCTTCACCCACCACGTTTTTGGGTCTACGATATTTGACGATGTCTGCACAACCGCAGCATCAGTCTGCGCACGTAGTGTGAATGAAGCTCAGAGGGACAATAATCAGAAATGGTGAGACGATGACGGCGGTTGTGATATGAGAAACGCTGGTAACATAGGGATGATCCAACAGCTCCAAGAAGCACGCTGCATGGTCGCGTTACGCCAATCACGTGGAGACGAGGATATTAGAAGGCACGGAGAGGGCATGACGTCATTCGTTTGAAGCCTACCGTAAAATCCCGAGAGATGCCCCACTCCCGAAAGATAGCATGCCCTTATTTTTGGCTTGATTTGCTATATTTTTTTAAACACCGAAAGATAGCTTACTTCTAGTAATAGTAGCTTTGGGATCAATGATGGCCTCAGCAAAAATGCGGCTAGTTAGCTATGGCGGGATATAAGCGAACGTTACTGACTAGAAGTATAGTCAACTTTGCATCGTTGCCCCTCGCCAACATAACAAGCTTGGAAGGGACACGGGTGTAGCCCGAAACAACTCATTCCCATTTTAACCCATCCTGTTTCGATCCATTCCCAAAACGATTTTCCCGTTTTAACCCGTCCCGTTTCGACCCATTCCCGAATCGCCTTTCCCATTTGGACCTATTTCGTTTCAACCCATTCCCGAAACGCCCTTCTTTTTTGAACCCGTAGCTGAAACACCCTTTACGTTTGAGCCCGTCCTGTTTGAACCCATTGGTATAAAGCCCCGCACATCTCAACCTCTTCGCAAAAAGTCTCCATCGTTCTAACCCTGGTTTGCTCACCTTTCCTGCATAAGAATACGTCCCGAAATGATGTTAATGCAAATAATGCAAAGGTGCAGGTGAGCTACTTAGTTATGTTGTGAAATATTTTTGCTTGTCAGCGCATTCTTAAAGAGGCACTGACACATCAAAATCTTTTTTTTTTTTTATTATCTGAAACGATTGAAAACGCTGCAGGGACATTTCCCTCAAAATTCGAAATTTGGGAATTCAGTATTTGTGAAGTAAAAAAACTATTTCCAAATGCCGAATTCGAAGTTCCCGCGCTATCCGCGTCGGTGCGTTGACGTCAATTATTGCGGAGTTCTGAGAGTCCACTTTCTTTCACGACTCCCTCCTGTTGCCATGGCGGCCCAAAGCGAGGAGGAAAGGAGCCAGCACCGGCGGACCGGTTTTCAGCGGTGTCGCCTGTTTTCCGTGGGAGGATACAAATACAGGAGACGGCACCATAACGAACTCCCGATTTTTGGTATTTCAAAAAGAAGGGCCATAGTGCGTTCGCAGTTGCGTTAAAAAACATGTTTTAGGATTGCCATTATTAAAGGTTATAGAGATGTCGCCTACAAAGCTTCTAAATTTCATGATTCTTGACGTCACGAATCAAAGGAAGCGAGGAGGCAAGAGGCGGGAGGATCAAACGCCAAAAATTTAAAAAAAAAGGAAAATTTTTTTTGCGATGCGTTTTTTTTTTGCGTGTCTATGACTGCAACTTGCATCGTTTTAGACAGTAAAAAAAAAAATTCGATTTTGGAGTGTCAGTGCCCCTTTAAAATATACAACACTTTCAGACAAGTTTCAACGAAATATATTCCTACTTCAACCACTTAAAATGTTTCTTTCAAGATGGTCCCCAAAATGTGTAACTACGAAACGGACTATGTACACTGCGCAACAATGTTACCGCAGACACAATGTTGACAATTTTTCGAATTTTACTTTGAAATGGTATTAGAAGTATTGTACTGTTTAGGTTAATATCCCAGATGACAGCTTTCAAAGACGCTGACAGTGGCATACCAACTTGTTTTTGAGTGAAGGAGTAAACCAGACCCCCCCCCCCCCCCCCCCCCCCTTGGGCCGAGGGGGCGGTACCCTTGGTATCCCTTGGGCGCCGCCAGCCAGTGTTTGCCCTGCCCTGTGGCAGCTGTTTCTAGGGGGGGGGAACACATGGCTTGCTCCCCCACTCTGAGAACTAGGGGGGGGCAAGCGCCCCCCTTGCCCCCCCGGTTGGGACAGGATGTCGAAAACCAGCTTTTGGGGAGGAAGGGAAAAGAGGGAGAGGAGGGGGGCACGGTGTAAAGAAACTTGAAAAATCTAAGTAGAAAAAACAGGGAAAGGACTTTGCTTGCTTTTGTTTTGGTCTACTTTGGTTGCTTCAGGTTTCTCTGCCCAGTCTCAGGTATTTCAAGAAAATTAAAAACTTCAAATGCACCATCACTGTAGTATTATAGCGGATTGTATTTGGTGTGTTTTGGGCATCTTTCCTAGCGGCCGATGATTGTTGAGCACAGGACAGTGCAAGTTGTATGGGCTAGAAGGCAAAGGGCGTCGTGACCAAGCACAACCCAACGCTCTCTAGGGCCCCACGGCTGGAAGATGGAGGCTGCCGAGCACGAGTTCCCCGTGGGCCTAGACCGATTCCGCTGGTTTGCCAGGTTCCTCCTGGAAGGCCAGGTGCTGCCCTTCTTCAAGTCGTACGCCAAGCTCCTGCTCTCCCCTCCTGTCACCATGGTCAAGAGTTGGGCAAGGTAGGCCCGACACCTGACTTCATTTTACATTTAGCTGTGCCAGCATCCCACGGACAGTTTGGACCATTCGGGAATTTTTGCGGAAATTTTTATGGTGACAGCCATTAATGGCGAGGTTTCGCACCAAATCGCAGGCGTGTTTCATGTAGGGTGATTGCGACGTCAATGTCATGTGACATCAAAGTGTCACGATTTCAGTGTCATGTTACACCATGGTGTCAAATGATGTCACAGGGCGTCATATGACAGTGACATTTAGGGGAAAAATTTAGCTGCTAAACTCTGTAAGAAAATTTAGCTGCCAAATTTAGCAGAAATATGCCGGTGTTTAGTTTGTGTGCATCAGACTGCAGCAGAGTGTGTAGTGCCCCAGCTGTCTCTGCAGTTTATGTGCAGGACATGGCAAGGAATTGAGCGTTCTTTGTCACTTGTTTGGTCTCTATGATTCTATTTTATACTCGTCCTTGTCTAAACCTGCGCAGCAAAAAAAAAAAAAAAACTAGTAATATTTTTTTTTGTTTAAAACTTTTGGATATAGACATAGAAAAGTAAACAGTACAGCGTGCCAAGGAACAGAATTGTGTACTGCTTGTTTTCTTGGGTTATGCCAAACTTTAGTTCTGTCTTTTGCAGAATTATGCAGGAACAGAAACAATGAAGTACCAGCCACAACTTTTGGAATATTGTCAAAGCTTGTAAAGGGCTCCAGCTTATGAGAGCAGTGTGTATTTTTTTTTAACTCCAGTCCTGGCTTTTTGCTTTCAACACACCATGCACTCAGGAGTGGCTCAAGATACATTTAATTTGAATAAAGATTTGCGGAATCGGCAATCATCCTAAAGTGCAAGTGGAAAAAGGCTTAATTTTAGTTGCCATGACACCTGGTGGTCAACACTTCAATGGGTGTAAAATACCTCTGTGGTTACTGACACCTTTAGTACCACAGAAAGATCTTCATGTCATGTGTTTTCTATTTTGTATGACGATCTGGCATTCTGCAAGCTGCAGGCATACGCACGCATTCAGGGCAACTGTACGCTCCTTGCCAGGATTTTTATCCTATTGGCTAGAGGTAGTGAACATGCATTTCTTTTTAATGCAAAAGCATTAACTGTCCCATGAAGAAAACTGACGTCATCAGCTTTGAAACCACGCCAAACGTTGGCCAAACGGTACCTCAAATCCCCTTTACCAAATGAAGCCGATTTCTGATGGATTATGTTCCCATTGGCTGATGCGCGTCAAGGAACGAGGCTCCCATTGGCTCTCGTGCGGCGTAATTCCAAAAAAAGCCACCGGAGAAACCCTCTCCACGGCGGCGCAGCGCATGCAGCGGCGCGGCCGCCGAAAAGAGGAGGGAGCGGTGGCGGCTGAACCAGAGCCCGTCCAGACAGACTCCAGAGAGGCCGCACGGCCGAGCTTAGTGCGGTGCGGCCACGTCACAAAAGCGCACGCTCAGCCATCCGCCAGCGAAACGTGGCTGTCCACGCCACTACACCGCAGACGAACGACATTCATGCTTTCGCATTCACAACACTTAAGAAGTGCTTAGTTATCCTCTGACTTTTCTTTCTGCCCAGGTTGCAGCCCAGGACGGAGCACCTGCTGAAGGCACTAGTGTCGCAGTCTGCAGACTCAAAAGAAAAGCTCTGCGAAGCTTGGAAAAAGAATCCCAAATGTGAGTGTGGCAGCAGTCCCCTCCACCGGGTTACTAACATCTCAGCGTGCACCCCACCCTTTCCAGTATGATATGTTTTACTAAACATTATTAACACCACCATTCGAAGAAGAAAAGAAGAAAACGGAATGTGACAGCCATTGCCATCTTGGATCAGAATCGCTGCATCATGTTGCAGTTGCATTTTAAGGCCCGTTCACACTCTTGCGACCTCTTAAAGCTGGGTTCCTTTAAACCTCTTACAACGAAAGGACACACTGGCACCATCTATTGGGTAGCAGTGTAAACTTGGTGGTCCGGCATATTTTCTATTTCTTTCACGCATTATCCTTTCTTTCTTGGCTCGAAAAACTTTTGTAAACGTTATAAACAAGCCTTTCTTATAGGTATTACGCACATTTGACCTCGGAACTCCCGCAAAACCTTCGCTCTTGCGAAATGCAGTTCCAGGGTCACCGCATAGATGGCGCCAGCGTGTTCTCTCGTCCTAAGAAGTTTTAAGAGGTTTCTACAGGCCGTACTCGGTTGCAAGAGTGTGAATGGGCCTTTAACCTCCGCTAACACCACTTGTCCAAACTCAATCTTCTCCATCTGTTTTTTTTTTTTTTTTAGGTTTGATTTATTTGATGATTGCGCATGCTCAAGCATAGTCCGCAAACAGATGATGTGCTATTCAAGTTGTCGCACTTCTTCCTGACGACCAACTTTCCTCGTACTCGCATCACTGTTCTTCCTCTTCTGTTTCTCGTCGTCTTGGTTTTCGACCTCTAGCCTTTCTGTGTAAACTTTATGAGACTTCTTCACAGCTTGCGGCAAGTCTGCTGTCAAAGTCGCGACATCCCTGCCAAATCACTTGAAGTAGCTCCTGACTTTGCACATACCGTGTTCAAAGAGCAATCATGATCTGGTAGCTTGTATCTTACTCTTTCATATGGCTCACTGCTCGCTCTCCTTCATTCCCAAGTCTTCTACGCGGGGCTGGTTAACGCAGGCTGCGGGATAGCAATAGTCATGTTTGCTCCACTATTCAGATGAAGTGACTCGAGGACTTCAGAAGGGCACGCAGCAATGGCAGCTAATGTAGACGGCAGGTGGAGCAGCAGCAACGTTCAGATACAGATTTTAAGATTCAGATCAACGGCGTCCCATTTGGGCCGGAAGTTCGGGTGTCATTGTTGCTAACAGAAATTGCGAGACAGCTAGTTTCGACAAGGCTCTTTTACAATTTCAGTTTGGGCGCACCTTGGTGCAATTTTGTTCTTATTTATACATTTTGTATCAGTCTGGCTCAAAAACAAAGTCATTAGGCGCACAGTGGCGGAGCAGTTCCATCCCCGATACATAAATCATCATTAGCATACTTTTTCATTCACAAAATTTGCCACGTCTCGTCGTAATAAACAATTTTGAAAAATCAAATTCCTGTATTGTCTGTACCACATAAAATTTCAACTTACAAACATTTATAGTCTGCAGACTATCATCCAGAAAATTGTCTTTTTTTTTTAAGGGAGGTAAAGCTGTTGGTCAAAAAATAAGTACTATTCGATATTTTTCTTCACTCCATTGTGAAAAGCCGTAAAGATGAATGTCTCACAGATGTGTGCACTAGAAACTAGGATGGCTCACATAGGTTTGCTGATGTAGAGTGCAACCTAGTTTTAACATGAACAAACAATTGCTTTTTTTTTTTTTTTGTCTTTTTTAATGTCACAGGTGGTGTGCTGTCATCGAAACTATTTAGTCGGATGGATTGTGCATACCTGGAACACCAACTTTGGTGCTTCAGATATGCACAAGCTATCGCACGACATCGGCACTTTTCGACACCCGAGAAAGAGGCAAACAAAGCCCCGATGCAGTGTTTGTTCCAGTTGTGCTGCACAATGTTCATGACATCAAGTCCTGGAAGTTAATTTGAGCCATTTGGCAAATGCTAGAGAGAGGTTATCGCTTTGAGTTGCACGTTTTCTTAACTTTTAGGGTGAAAACGCCAGATATTGTACAGCCTCTGCATTTCATGTTGAAAAATCATTTGCCTGAAGGAGTATGAGCCTCCTTTTTCTGTACTACAAATAGAACAGGAAATTGTCAGTTTTCTTGTAAAAGTTGTTTTTCCTCACATAGTGCATATCTTTTTTTTCTGTACTCCCATTTTTTTTTTAGATTTACTGAGTGAATACCTGGAATGGATTCAGGAGAGCCTGCACAATGAAGTCAGCTTGAAGTGGCCTCCCTCACACAAGTGACTTTGGAATGGTGTGGTCGTGTACATATGCATATTAAACATTTTATGAAGTTCACCGCAAAGCTGCAATATCAATTTTTTTAGCAAACCCACTGCCGCGACTCTGTTACACTCATAAGCAATGTTCATAATTGCAGGCAGTGTTGTAAACTGCCTTGCATAACCATCCTCGAGATTTAAGCCGTTACTGCTGTTCATCGATTCATACGAAAGTATAGGTGCAGGCTACAAATGTTGAAGCCAGAAAACCCCGGTTGTACAAAATGCATTTCTGCTGCACGGTGCGTGTAAAGACCTTGGGCTAGCAGTTGTACTGCACCGACAATTTCACATCTGCAGCGTGAATCAGTGTTGCCATAGATCGCAACTTCCTCGGGCTTCAACTCGACAGTTGACATAATTTGGCAAGTGAACGCCACAGCTCCCTTGAACCAATCGGAACAATGTAGCAAAGTGCACCACTGCGCTCTTGGTAGGAGTGGTCCGTCAATACATTTTCACCATGCCCCATTTAGATTCTTCAGTTCACTTGCCGAGGCCGTAGCTATTTGTCGAGGTATGGTAAACCAGTAGAGCATATGCAGCATCCAGTTCCCTAGCAAAGATCCGGGAGTACTGCCTCATTAAAAGGCTGCTAGAAACTATGACGGGAAGGTCATTTCAACGAGGCCAGCCAACGCATGTGGCCGAATGTTCTATGGTCGTGCAATAGTCGCAAAGACAAACAGATTCAACGTAGTAACAATTTTATTTGCACCAGACATCCAATGTTTCTCGCGGCTAAGCAGTTTGGGGAAGGAGCAAACATTTAAGGGGTTGGCTAAGCCACGCAGGAAGAAATCTGCAGGTGTAACAGTGCTACGTGGGACTCCTACATCTATGCAAGCCTGGGATCCTTGGGTCGAGCTTAGTACTCGTGGTTTTTGATAAAGAGGATCTCCGAAGCTGCAGCCCCAGAAACGCCGCCGCTGTACTTCCCGAGTGCAGCGTCACTGCAGGCCTGCGGACAACGTCGAAAACACGGCACTCTGTGCAAGCGGTTCTCGTGTAATGGGCGACTACAAGAACTGTCAAACAAGTACAAAGAAACCTGGCCTTTCTGAACACTTCCAAAACTTGAAACATGTCCACGATATAAAAGAAAATAGAATTGTTCTGCTAAGACCTGTACAAAAATAGAGACTTCATTGAAGGTGACATTTGCCAGAGAAAAATCGAGAAAATTTGGGAGCATTAACATGGCTTGGACTTTGATCATTCGTGCTTCGCACAAGTAACAATTGGTGTAAACGAGATACATGCATAAAAATAAAGGAAGCATAGGGTACAATCAAACAATGGTAGCCATGGCACTTAACTGCATAAGGCATGCAACAGTTGCTAGGGTAACATGCAGAAAGGAATCTAACAGTTACAACTACATTCATGCGTTTAATTACTAGAAAAAATCAAGTGAAGGAAAACAATGCACCAAAGACTGGGTAATTCGCAGCCAAAAGGAACAAAATGCCAGTGGCCAGTGAAGCTGGGGAAAGGGTACTGGGAAACAAAAAAAAACCTTGGCCACCGATACTACTCGATGGCAGGGCACGGCCAACTAGTAGGAGTGGGTGGGGACGAAGTTGGAGCGATCGGCAGCCAGGCTGTCGATGGAACCAGCAACATACTTTCCTTGGCAAGCCAAATGGTTGGCCTAGAAACAAAACATCAAAACAAGGGGGAAGAGGGATGGGTCACATGCAGTCAGACGATGGGCCACCTAGTTGAAACACTCGTGCAATTAAGGGTGCAACTGCAACACACTGCAAAAGCTGCAAGTTTAAAGAAGGGATTGAGAACCATTTTTGCTCTCCTCTCTAAACAATGCAAGTTGAAGCGAGTACTCAAGCTGATTGAGGCCTCAAAATGAGAAGGATGTACCAAGGAGACCTCAACACAAAAGTGAATAGTTTATTATTTTTATTGCATTCCACTTCTGCCCTGATCGGATTGGCAATGTCAATAAATTAATAGAAGGTTGAGATCCTCATTTGCCCTTTATCTATCCCTCAAGTCTTGTTACACGATCACCGCAAACAAAACCAAGTATGCAAGTAGAAACACTGGTGCTTAAAAAGCATTCCCACACTTCTTTTATGCTTTTTCTTCCATAACCAATTACTACAATGAAACGGGTGTTCACTATTGGTGAGCCTACTGAATAAACCAGCTTGCCTTGCTGCACTCTGTCACATAGCAGCCCAATTTAAAGTATAGTTGCCAAAATAGGTACTTTCAAATTGCTACAATTATACCACCTCATCAAAAGTTCAAAATTACTAAAAATCGAAAAATGGAAGCGTTTTTTATAAATAAGTTATACTTTGCTGGCACCACACAAAAAAGGAACAAACACCGAATTTACAGCCAGCACAAACCCTTCTTGATATAATCAGTTATAGAAAGACAGCTTGACAGTTGACTATGATTTCTGGAAAATATCTGAATTGCTAACCTGCAAGCTCTTTATTAGGTGTTATTGGTTGAATCAATCTTGTATAACTCAAGTAGACAAACACTAGAACACTAGGTTGAATTTTAAAAAATGCTGGAACAGTGCTAGAAGCACTTGACTACTCACGCAACAACACTCAAGGTAGAGACAAGAAACACAATAAATTCTCGTCAATTCAAACTTATATAGCCCACACTATCGACGAATTCAAACAGATCCTAAATTTTAGACTGGCTGGTTATTTCAATGCATTTGTAAATTACTTAATTCATACACAAAATTCATACAATTTAAACTTTAGGTGGGTCCTCATAGCTAAGAGAGTAAACCTCGTTATTCAATCAAGCTGCAATACCGGCACTACAATGAGCAAGAATTAGAGAATGCTACGCCGTTTTCATAGAACCTAGAGTCTACATGTGAGAATCTTTTTTGTTGTTACCACGTCCATAACCGCATTCCATAATTTTGGCGTGCCAAGCAAGAAGCCGGCCACTGAAAGGTCATTTCCAGCCCCGCGACAAGTTTTAGATGCGTAGATAAACAGTATATATACCTGCCTTTGCATTCCCTTACCCAACCAGGATTTCAAAAGATATGGTTCTCACTTTTAGGACAATTAAGCTTCAGACAATTTGTGCGGAGTTCATTGGTCACTTCAAGCTCGAATTAAGAGCCTACTACATATCTGAACAAGATTCAACAAACAATGCTGTCCTAAAGTTCGCTAATCATGCTCAAATGCAAATGTGTGAATCAGCCTTTATTTGTAGAGTAAAAAGCTGGTTTGCACATATGCAACAGCTTACAGCCGAATGCCTTAAAACCCCTAGGGATCTCTTACGATGAGAGGACACCCAGGCGTAATCAATCGCGTATTCATGAAACGCTTGGAATTTCTGTATATTTCTTATTTTCTTCGCGAGTCATTCTTTCTTGGCTTAAAAAGGTACTCCGGCAATTTCTTCATGGTCCCCGATTTGCTTGAAATTTTGCTAAAGTTGCATACAAACATTGCTAAAATAGTATCCCAAATATTAGGTCAAAATATTATTTTTTTCGCGAAGTTATTAAATTTACAATTTCGGCTCTCACCATGTTTTCCAAACTGAAAGTCTCTACTGCCAACAATGAAAAAGTGACATCAGTGGAAGGCAGGGGTTCACACTTTGGATGGTAGAATTTGGTCCCCACTGATTCGAAGTAGTTTCATGGTGTCAAATGAATGCTTTGGAAGCTCACTCCGGTACACGGGCTGCAGCACGGAACAAATGATTGGCTTATTCTATTTTTTAGACTGCTCGCTCGACTGGCAAGCCTGCCTGCCACCGACGTCACGGCACTGAAAAGGGCAGGTACGGTACATTTGAACAGTGGTTTTTGCATCAGTTTCATTTGCCGATTTCACAATAACTACGGTATTATGAATTTTGCACTACCAAATAACATACCGGAAAGGGTAAAGGTGGGGGGCCAGAAAATATAGTGACTTGAGGTAGCTCAAAAAATCGCCGGAGTGCCCCTTTAAAGAACTCGACAATGTTGTAAATTACCATTTTTCATAGATTGTATGTACCCTACATTTGACCTGGCAAATATTGCAAAACCTTCGCTCTAGTGAAATGCAGTTCCAAGGTCCCCTCATAGATGACACCAGCCTAGATTGAAGAGAGGATCCATCTCAAACCGTGGAAAGCGCTTGCTACTTAAAAGGGCCGTGCAACAATAAGCGCTCAAAACGTTTTTACAATTTACGCGAGCTTACTGGCACTAGTGGGACCCGAGTGTAGTCTCGCGCAACGCCACTGACAAAGAAACTCCTTTGTTGTGGCGTTTTTTTCCGGGACAAAAGCAAGCGTTTTCTCTCTATCTCTCCTTTGCAAAACTTGACGACGTGGCTAGGGGGTCGCGGTACTCCCCAGCGACGGTATTTTAATGCAGCTCGTAGATTGGACCCGAGCATTGCATAAGCAATTGATTTGTGCTCGTGATATTCAGTAGCTCGACGAGCATTCGGGTAGTGCCCCGCGTCCAGTCACTGCAACAATAGCCGAACCGTAACAACGTCTGGAACTCGGCGCATGTCCTTTGCTTTGCCAACCCCAGCGTGTGGCTATGATCACCATTGGCGGCATATAATCTGCTCCAGATCACAAGGCCACTTGTTCTGGCTGAGTTGAGTTTTAAAAATTTTAAAAACGAGCGGCGTTCCCCCAACGCAGTTCGTTTTTTTAATTTTTGTCTGCGACTGCTATGCATATGGTGAAAAACAAACGCACATTTGATAGGTCATGAACGTCTGGGATTCGTTCTAAGCGATTTTTGCACGAAGGACAAAAATACTTGCATCGCCCCTTCAACAGCGGACGCCCCCTGCGGAGATTAGTCGCAAGTGTGCACATGTTTTTGCGTGGCGAGGAGGAAAGTAGGCAAAAAGGCAGGGAGGTTTGCAGACGATCGACACCTTGGGCGTTTCCTTGCAGCTCGTAATGCAAACACGGCCCATCAACCGCGCAACCCTGTTCAAGCGGTTGGGAAATCCATAATACAGGCTTTCTGAAATTCTCTCATCGTAAGAGATCGCAAGAACTCAGTCGTAAGCTAATGCAAAAGTGCGAACGGAAAGCAAAAAGGAGGGAAGGGCCCGCAAGAAGCCGAGAGAATGGCGCCTACCTTGGCCCTCTTGAGGAACTCCTCCTGGCCGTTCTTGATGCTGCCCGCCTGGCCGGCCCAGGCCTTGAGGGCGCTCGCCTGCAGCGCACGGCCGTAGCTGAAGGTCAGGGCCCAGGGCTTCTTGCCTGGGTATTTGTTGATGGCGTCCAGGTTCACGGAGGCCTCCTCCTCGGACTGCCCGCCGGACAGGAAGGTGATGCCTGCGGAAGCAGCAGCAGATTGTCTTCACTGCGCCCTTTGTTGCGAGGCTACCCGGGACGCCGTTGGCCTTAGTTATCTCCCTACAGAGAACCACGGGGAGGGGAGATGGCCAAGGGGCAAAACAAGGAAGGGAGCCTGACCGGGCACGGCGGCCGGCACGGTCCTCTGCAGGGTGGTGACGGTGGCCCGGGCAACGTCAGCCGGGGTGTACTTCTTGGGGCAGCTCTGGCCTGCGGTGACCATGTTGGGCTTGAGCAGGGTGCCCTCCAGGTAGACGTGGTGGTCGTTGAGGGCCTTGTACACCGCCGCCAGGACCTGCTCAGTCACCTTCTGGGCCCTGTCCAGGTCGTGGTCGCCGTCCGGGAGCACCTCGGGCTCGACAATTGGCACAATGCCGCTCTGCGAAATCGTCCCAGGGATATGCGGGGACCAGTCAGCAGTGCTTAGCAGGGCAGCTACACATTTAACTTTGGTGTCGGGTAAAGTCGGAGAAATGATACTACATGGTGGAAAACCAAGTCTGTTGGTAGGTGTCCAATGGGGAATTTTGTCGGTGGATTTGGAGCAGTCTAAAAGTACCCCATGCTTGCACCTTTAGTGCAGTAGATGTGAGCATGGGTGCACATGCGCAAGCAGACACAAGAAAGTGCTCCAGAACTGGTCCAAATCTAATAAAAAAATTCCACCATCGCATAATGGGGGAAAAAACGGTGCCATGAAATGAGCTTTTAGCGAAGGAACAAGAAAATCATTATTCCCTCAAATGCAATAAAGGCACAGCAGCACTCAATGGGGCTTTTACAAGCAGCACTTGCTATCGGAATGATACTCAATGTGTCCTATGGTAAAGAAACTGTGCACATGCTAAGAACTTTTCTTCTTCATTTACACACTTCTTCAGGTGCATTGCATCATACATATTCCTAGAAATGCCGCCACGCATACAGTCCGACCGTGAGATGCCTCCATGCCTACCAGATTAGAATATGGTGTTCCTACCCCACTATGCAGTGGAGGGGGTGAAAGCACCTAACACACCCCTCCCACTCATATGTTCGCTAGTCCTGAGAGCAACTTGTGAGATAGGGTATACTTTCATTTGGCTCGGAGTTCGAAACTGGTAATCGTGCACCGAAACCAGTGTGCACAGATTTTGCATAGTCGTCCCGTGCCGGCACTCGCGCGAAGCTTGACTGCTCTCCACAGATGTGCTAAGAGCAGCAGCTAATGCGGCAGGGACATCCGCATTACGTCAATGGGCTCAAAATCTTGCTCACTCCTGCAGGTTGACATTTTTTGTTAGCAATTATAAACAAACCCCCAGTTAAAAAAAAAAATTTTTTTTTTGGCATGTGTTTGAATATTAGTTCTCCACCGCCTCAAATGTCTGTAGAAATAAACCGCCGCAGGCTGCCATCTTTGTCAAATGGGCTGTGGGACGCACACCGAGCATGCACGTTGCTCTCTTCAAAACATAGACGCTGCACATGCGTCCACAGCCCAAGGGTTCAGCACTTTTGTCTGGGTGATAAATGTTGGAAAGGTGTAGAGGCCACTGGCTGTTGCATTTTCACAACCACACATTTTTTGACTACAGTCTCTTGAAAAACATATTTAACAGGGTTCTACAATAATTTGTACATCCATATACAAGACGACAACCTCAAATATGTGCATCAACTTCTGGGTGGTGTTCTTTCCCGGTTCTCTTGACCCCCGACCCCCCCCCCCCCCCCCTGGATAAGCAGTCTCCCACCGTTTCCCTGGCTGAAATGGAAAGAGGAAAGCAACTTGCCTGCTGGCAGCAGGAGGCGTAGCGAGCGAGCACGTTGGCATTCTCCAGAATGGACAGAGCCGAAGGGCAGTGGGGGCGAATCTTCAGCACACAGCGCCACTTGGCAAAGCGGCAGCCATCCTTGCGGTACTGCGCGCAACGCTTGGCCAGATCGTCCAAGCCTGCATTTGTATGAACGAAGGGTTGACAACGTTTTCAGTCAAGAGAGAACAGTCTACTCCCACACACTGTAGCCCTGCTGATCACCATTTTACGGCAGTCATAAAACATGCCGAAAAAGCTCAACCTGCACCTCTTGCGATACCCTATACTGCCCTGCCACAGTGTATACAAGGAATCTGAGATAGAACCCCACCAGTCAGAAGCCCACTGGATTTTTCACAAGAGCTCACCACTCTTACTCGTGAAGCCGGACTAAAACCTCACCCGGATAAAGTTGCTTGCTTTTCTACATGAAAAAGTATGTACAACTCGTGCAAGCTATGTTTCTTGTTTAAAGGAGCTGTGCAACGATTTTAACGTTGAAAGAATTGGAATCTTCTACTTTTGACATTGTTCACCTTGTCACAAAGGACAGAAAACACACCTCCTTTCTTCGAAATGTTGCAATTCCGCCGCGTAATCGCGAGGCAAAAATGAGAATATCCCCCGACCTGCAGCCGCGAGCGGCGGCCATGAGAAACACGCGGCGTGACGTCAATGGGGATCTTGTAGAAAGATACCTGCTCGATAAAAGGCAAATTTTAAATACAAATGCGTCAAAAACCTGGTATCATCGACAAAAGATTTATTATACGAAGTTTTAGTGGCGCCATCTATCCTAGGTCCACAAAACCGTCAGCTCTTTCTGCTACCGCGAACAGCCGCCAGAAGCCGGAGGGGTATGGCCGGACCCGGATGAGACTTTCCTCCTTTCACCATATTGTTTGTGCTGCGCCCTCCAGCACGTGGTCACGTGGTCATGAGCGGACGAGTTCTCGCTGCTCACTGATGTCTCTAAAGAGAGCTTCACCGGAATCCCGCGCAAACCCCATTGACGTTAGAGGGCACGTGACTCGGAAGATGGTGAAGGAGTTGAGAGGTGCCGAAAACCTCAATCTTTGTCCATTTTTTAAATAAAAACTAGGACATAAAATAAAAACTAGGACAAAAACCGCAAAAGCGGATTTTTGTTCTTTACTTCAGAAAGGTTGAGACACCAACTCCCAAATTATTTAAGCAAAGCACTGAAACTTGCACAACTCCTTTAAAAATAGAATGTTCATTGCTAAAATCTATAAAGGCAAATACAGCCTCCCACTGCCTCGAGCAGTTTCAGCATGTCTCTGCAAAGGTACACACACAGCTCGCTCAGGCGGTTCTTAAGACGCTCCGTTGCCTTCCGAACCCTGTTCACCGGGGATTCATCTTGGTGCGCTTGCATCCAAGCTATCGTGACCAACGCTCGATCCTACCGAAGACTTTCAAACAGCCTCCAGACACTTGGATGGTCCTGTCCCACAAGCTTATGGAACCCCTTGTTCTACCCTTCGCACGAGTTATTGGTCCTGCCCTCGTCCCTTAGCGTGACCTTGTGCGCGCTGTTCCACAGCTTCAGAGGAAATTCCGGTCGTCATCGGAGCACGGTCATCCTGCATCGTCCACTAGTAGGAAAAATCCCATCACAATCTCTAATAGCTTGACCTTGGTTTAGTTAACCAGGTTCAAAGAATAGACTTTCTAGAGGACTGTTGACATGACCATTTATCCCACAGTTTAGGCCAGCCTATTTTATCCCAAGTAAACTTTCGTCTGGCTTATCAAAAAAAAGAAAAGCTTCTGTCCGGGTCCACCAAAAAATTAACAAGTTTTCGTCTGGGTCCGCCAAAAAATTGGTGAGCTTTTGTCCGGCGAGCTTCTTTCCAATGAGCTTCTGTCTGGTCACCTATACAAGTGGTAACAGGGTGGTAATTAAAATTTCCCCAACAATTCCCGCTTTTCCCGGTCGCTAGACACCTTGCAGAAGTTTATAATTTTACAGATCTAACTAAAACTTGACTAAAGTGAATCTAGTGAGTTATAAGTAGGGTTTTTGTGTTTCTGGATCAATCCGAAAAACACTCGCCGGTAAAATTTGTGAGTTCAGATTCATCCGAAAAACCCTGAATTTTGATTTCGTGATTGCAAAATAAAAAGCGATATAAAGGTAGAAAGAACACTATTTTACTAATAAATTGAGCGAGAGTACAAGGTTGGTGATTCCGAGGAAAGGCTATTTCAGTTACCTTTTAAACATTGGACTATTCACAAAAAATGAGTTCAATGTTTATCTCGTCAGTGTTTTTTTCAGAACAACGGGTCATTGCACTTCTGGTTCATGACAAAAGCCACTGTTCCAGTTTCCAGTTTGAAGCATATTATTGATGCATCGTAGATAAAGGAGGGGTTGGGTTTTCACAACAGTGAAAGCTATGACTTTGTAGATTTCTTGCCTCTCAGCAACTATGTCCAGGTGTTTAGTTATTTTAAAGTATTGACCTTAATGGAAGCAACACTTTTTACAAGATTTCTCGTGGGACAGTTAGTATTGCCAGTGGCAAGGGCGCCAATGCCAAACGCAGCGGCAGACTTATCACTTGACACTGGTAAGTTCTTACGAAATTTAGTAATGTAGATTTCTATCTGGATATTATTTATTCTTTGTTTTGAATACTGAACATTTAGGAACAAAACAACTATAATCTCCGAATTTCAAAGAATCTGGAGTCTAAAAAAAACTCCAATGTAATGCACTTTTTCTATGTACCTTTGAGGGAAAATGAAATGAAATTTAATAAACCGTGAATTTTCAGCTGAATATTAGTGCAGAAAAACATCTTCCAAATTTAAACAAAAAATAAACTGAAAATGCTGAATTTTAGTTATCAGTGAACTATATTGCATCATGCCATGAACTGCAGCAGCGGCTAAAACCATCAGCTGCTAGCTTTGGTAGATGCATCCACTGCACACTTGTTTGTGCAACCGAGGCTGTTTCTAAAGCAAGGAGCTGAAGCTTGTAGCATTACTTGCAGTTCACATTAAGGCAAGACTGAGTATCTCTGCCTAATTGAGAGGAGCACTTCAGTTGTCTGGTTTCAAGATAGACATGACTGTGGTACGAAAGTGCTCTACAACCATAAAAAACATATTTCAGTCCAAATGCAATGAGGCCACACACAAAACATTGTCTGTTTAAGAATCAAAGGGACGGCAAGTTTTGCAGTATCCACGGCAGCCATATACTGTGAAACCCTTGTGGGAACCTGTAACTCGTCAGCTCCTCTGCATTGTTACCTGCTCAATCTAGGTACTGTAACTGACCGCATCATTGAGGGCCTGATATTTCAATAATTTTGCAATGTGTGCAGGCACAAAATATTGCAATTGGAAGTCGTATGTTGTGCTTTCTTTATCGTACGGCAAAATATACGTGCAATCAATTCTTCACTATGCTTTCTCCAGACTCCAGAGGGTAAAGGCTTGTTCACACACTTGCGTCCGACTGCGACCGAGAGCATTGTGTTCTATGAACTGCTTAGCGGAATGGTACCATTTATCAGGTAGCACCGAAACTTCTGATCTGCATACCGTAAGCTACCATGGTAGCACCCACTTCATTCAAGCGCCCACTATTAACATTTCCTAAACTTGGGAATTCCAAAAACTATATGTCAAGCGCCCGATTTGACTGGACAAGCGCCCGCGTCTAGATCAACCCAGTTTTCAGTGAAAGTGAAGTGGGCGCTGCCTCGATATCTTATGCATTTGCCTATTTTTCATGTGCCCTTCTTTCACCATCGCCTCTGAATAATTCTGACAATGTTGTAATTGTCGTAATTATGGTGTTGAGCAACTATTTCTCATAGGTAGTGCATAAGTTTGATCTTGCAAGTACTTAAAAACCTTCAATCTTGTTACGGTACACAGAGCTGGATGTGTTTCTGTTTAAGCGGTCACAAAGGATCACGAGGCACTCAGTTCCAGTCAAACACAAATGCGTGAACCGGCCCGAGGCGAGCCGACACCAAAAAAGGGCGCGCACCTTGGGTGGTGCTCTCCTCGTCGGTGCCGAGCAGGGGCACGACACCCTTGTCCACCTTGATGCCCGGGATGATGCCCCGGTTCTCGAGCATCTTGACGAAGGGGGTGCCGTTGTCTGCCTGCTGGTAAAGTGTCTCGTGGAACAGGATCACCCCGCTGATTGCGCTGTTCATCGCTTCTCCGCTCGTGAACAGCAGCTGCCGGTACTGGCGCCGGTTCTCCTCAGTGTTCTCCACACCGATGCCCTGCAGGCGCTTGCCCATCGTGGCTGTGCAATGAGACAACGGTGGGACAACGAAGGGGTTGGCAAAGGGCATAACACGTTACCTACAAGTGAACACGCACGCATGTAAAAAAAATTAGGGCTACGAATAATGCGGGTTTATTTAGCCAAAGAACAAATTCAATATTGTCACGTGAAGTCGTGGAGTCTCGAGACATCACTTCATTGCGTAATGTAGAAACTTCGTATAGCCTTTCATTAACCCAGAACAGATCGAGAATTTACCAGAAAATAAAGAAAAGTTCAGCAAAAAAGGTTTTTTAATTATTTTGTAGCCCCACAATTTAAATATCGATCTACTAAACCTAAATAAAAATTGTCTACATGTTGCACATAGGTCGCACGGTACCCACGCAACAGGCTCAGACTTGTCCAAGCTGAAACTTTCCGTCCCACCTTGACTAGGCGCAAGGAGTTGCGTGACAATGAACTGGGGTGGTTCAACATTTTACCGTATGATTGACCGCAGCGAAAGCTATGAGTATCCCAACCAATCCAGCACTTTTGAACTTGGCATGAGATTCGCAAGAAATTCATATTTCTTGCCAATCTCAGATACAAATCTAGGATGCAGCGAACATACTTTAAATTCACAAATATTTCTGTTATAACCAGCTTCAACCCTATACAAAACGCACATTACATGTCAGAAAATATGGCACATGCGCTTTATTTCATATTGAAGCATGTCACACGTATACATTTGAAGGGAGAACTAAATCTTTGCCTTAGAGGCAGCAGAAACCTAAGCGCCCCAAATATGCCACTTTTGGCAGTGACTCTGGGACGAAACAAGGTCAGAAGGAACAGCTACCTACCGTCATCCTTTGGGTGGGAGCCAACTTTGTGGTCTGCCAATTCCTTGTTCCAGAAAGGCACTACCATACTATTTAGGTGCATCAATTTTTACACCCCATCATTGCATCTCACAGTTCGCTGCACCAAAACCAAGGTGACCCTTCTGAAGCCCTCCAGACACAGTCAACCATGTTGTGTAATCTTCAGAACTTTTCTGTGATAAGAGTGTGCAAGCGAGGCTTTGAATTAGGACTAATCCCCATAGTCACTCTGCGGCTAGCTAGAAATTAGGACCGACACTTCGATTTTGGAACTGTTAGTGGACTATGGCGAGTGTATGAGCAGTGCTTAGTTATCAAACTTGAGCTGCGACCATGACCTCTCTTCGGAAGATATATGCCTCAGTCACGACTTGCTCCCATTTGCAGTGCAGCATATCAGTGCCAAGGTTGCTAGCCCCATATAGGTCCAGAGCCCCTTAAGTTCTGAGCACCTCCCCAGATCCCTTGGCGAACAAGATCAGGTATTCCTAAGGTTGAATTTTGGTTGTGCATCACTGTGCTTGCCCACATCGATATAAATTTATGAAACTAAAACTACTACTAGAACAAAAATAGAATTTGAAGGTGCGTGTTGCACTGTTCTTTTATTAATTTCAAATGTATAATTTTTTTTTTTTTTAAAGCTGCATTTGTTTGTAAGGACAGAAGCTGACAGACATGCACGATGGGAAGGTAGGATGCCACTTTAAGTTAGTATTTAAGAAATGGTGAACCGAAATTTAGATTTCAAAAAAACAATGCAGGAGATGTAGGCGGGACGCTACAAGTCCTACAACACTACTCGTAAGGAGATATCTCGAATGGACGGCCGTATTTTTGGAAAGAGGTAGAGATCGAACCAGGCCGACGAGGCGAGTGACGTAGAGATATCTCGTTTTCTCCTCTCTTCGCTTCGCTCCCTCAAGGTGGCGATGCGGAGAAGAGGCGAGGTTGTTCTCTCTCAATCTCGGAGAAACATGACATGAACATTTCTGTCAAATGCGCCTTTTTCTTTTTGAAAAATATGGTCATCCTATTGAGTAGCATCCCGTTGCACGCTTTTGCCGCATGTTTTGTGGAATCCAGATTTCGGTTCAGCATCCTTTTTAAATGATTGCGTCAAGTGGACGCTACTGGAGGCTACAGCCTCCCCTTTGTGATCACATCTTGCACTCTATCGTCCGCTTGCCGAGAGAAACGGGCCTTCGGATTACTCACAAGTGCTCTCATCAGCAGCCAGGATGCCCTTCCCAGGAGCAACGATGGCCTCGGCTGTGGCCTTCAGCTCCTTCTGCAGCTCAGGGCTCAGGTAGGTAAAGTGGCCAGCCATCCTTGATCACCTGCATCAAAACATTTTGACAGATGACATTTCCATCACAAATTAATAATATATTGATTCATCATAATCTAAACCCCGAAACAAGGAGAAATAAAATAATGGACATTGGATGTTTTCTAACCAGGTCACCTCCATACTTTTGCTCCTTACAATCGATTAAATTGTGATAAGGATAAAGCAATTGCAGTGTCTGATCATGCACACCTACTCGGCTGAATATTTTAGCTTGCACTTTTGCCAGAAATAATTTGGAACAAATGCTAAGGCATCAACATAACACAAGATGCAAAAAGTATTGTCTGCACAACAGCAGGAAATGAGTACTACATGTTTAGAGAGCATGGATTAGCTTTTAATGGCAACAAATTCCTTGGCACATACTTTCAGGAAGCCAACTGCTACCAAACTTATTTTAGTCCAGGTTCCAAATCTTTCAGCCCGGATATTTATTTCACTGCATAAGCCTCTGAGGCTCAGCATGATAGTCTGAAATTTCCTGCATGTATAAGAAATATAACAACAAAACCCACTTTTAATAAATAGCAAAAATGGGCTCCACAGTGAACAATAATTTGATACAAAGGTGCAGATTGATTATATGAGAATACTAAAATAAGAGCTTGCCTCCGTCAAAAGTACAAACAAAATTATATAAAACGTTGGGGCTTGCATGCTAAACCAATATAAGGTGTCTGGTATCTTAATTGTGGAAAGCTGAGAATTATAGCCTGCGCCCTAGGGCCAGTCAATGCAATCGGATATATACTTATAGCAGCACAATGCCTTTGTCATTCATTATAAGCCTCAGTCAAATTACAAGAATTTTAGCGGATCGAACTTGCCACCTGGAGATACAAATGCTGGCCCTTTTACCTGGATCCACCGAGGCAGCTAAGCTACAAGCTAAAAGGAAGATAGCTTGTCTATGGATTAGGTCCATTACTAAGTTGAAGAACAGAGGAAGTGTTACGGCCATTGAGGCATTTGATTTGACGATACCGAGAACTGGAGCTAGCTAGCCATGGAGCCCCACTTTTCTGATAAATGTGCCGAGAATTTCTGGCCCTTTTCTACTCGTGCCTACATGCAAGCTTTCCCGAGTTGTCGGCCTCTCAAAGATGTCCTCAAAAGCTGACTCTTTTTAATATAAATATCTTTCCATATACCTACTAATGTTATTTAAATTATTCTTGCACAAAATAGCACAAATGGCAACTCGCCTGCATTCAACAAATAACCATTACATGCTCCATGTTCCTTCAAATATGCAAAGGCTGAAAGAAGAAGCTGGAAGAAATCTTCCAACAGGCCGAGAGTACAGGCCGTGACACCCACAAGTTAGTGTAATTAATCTCGACCTTTCAGAGCGTACTTCCTAGGTCACGCCACACCAGCTTAACAGACATCGAGATATGCTGTTGTCCAGACGTGGACAAAGTTCAGGACTTGTACTATCTTCACATCCTCAATGGAATCCCCTAGGCCACTTCAACCAAAGCTTAGATAAGAAGTGGGGACTGCACAAAGAATTATTCATGGCTGCATGCACTATAAAGGTGTACTCCAAATAAATTGTTTCAAGTTGTTCATTCACAAATCTTTTTTTCTTAAAACTGAGCGCAATAAGGATTTTGCACTATCTATCCAAAGTATAGTTCAACGATCGAGCTATTCAACGCTTTTATGAGAAATAAGGCTCCTTTTTTTACTTTTATTTTTAATCAACAAAGCATGGCGACTCATTTATAGGGTGGTTTCATTCTGCAATAAAACATTTAATCTTTTAAACAAGGGAATGCTTTCTTAGTTTTGATTGGTGTGGAAAGTTATAATGTACACTCAATAAATTTTTGTACTCGTTTCAGTGTAACTGCATGCGGTTAGCAATAACGTGTTCAATAATGGAAAATGACTCTGGTTAAATTGAACATATTCACCATATACTAGTTGGTGATGTGGCGAGATCTCATTTTTATTATGAGGCTGGCTAACTAAAATTAAAAAGAATAAGGGATGCATCCCAAAAAGAAAAAAAAAATTAACTGGTAATTTGTTAGATGACAAGTAAAAGGATTGTATTACAATAGTTTACTTAGATCTGGCCTGGAATAATACCAAATGCTACAGTTTATAATTTTATGTTTGTGTCTGTTAGGCTAGTCTGAAAGCTGGATTCGAGAATATGTCTACATACAACCCAAGGGCCACTGGCAGCAAATACAGGGTAAAATAGGTTTTGTCGAGAAAATGAACCCTATGTAAAAATTGCACAAAGCCAACAGATAGAGCTGCATATTAACTATCTCATCCTTGTAACTATATTTCCTGAACTCCAGCACTGAAACAATTATTATACAGCAACCGGTATCATAGCCAGCCGAAAAAAAAACATACACGTAGAAATTGCAAAACAAGAAAGCCATGGCCAGACAAAAGAAACTTAAGCGAGGGGAGAGCAATAGCCTCCAAGGTTCTTTGCAGCCCGAGGCATCAGTTGATAGGCCATTTCTTAAAATAGGGCCCTAGAGAGGCCTCCAAAGAGACTCCAGGGGCCCCACTGTCGCAGCTATTCCTCGATGCAACTCCTGGACTTGGACCCAGGACTCAAGTACCTTTCTCCCAACAGACAACCTCAAGAGACGACAAACTGGCGCTTCCAAGAGGACAAACAGCGCACCACACTTTGGCTGGGATACTCTTTGTCAACCGCTTTTGCCTAACAATTATTGCAAGTTAGCTCAGGACGCCCAGATTTTATTTCTGCAGTTTCCCCCCTAACGCACAAACAAACCAAACTTCAACTGTTGCACAAGTTCAGGCTAAACCATATACTAGAAGGAAAATTGTGAAAACCTCCCCACGAGCTTCTTTAACCGACATCTTGTAGACCCTAACATGAAAAACAATAAAAAAAAAAAAAACGGACGAAGACCTACAAGATGTCGATTCATTACCAGCTCGCCTGCATTCTATCGCTGCTTACATGATTCATTGTTAAAACTCGAGAAAAAAAATTGTAATATGCACATATATTTAAAAAAAAAAAAAAAAAAAAGAAACGAGAAAAAGGGCTTTCGTTAGCCGATTCCAAGGCGGGATCGGGAGGCCTCGGGGATTGTAAACAAGATACGGCAAGGTCTTTCGCGCAGACGACGAAAAAAAGAAAAAAACGAGTGAACCAAGGTCACCTTCAGCGCCTAGCTGGCTTGGCCTTTGGCCCCAAAGGCAAGCCTGCCCGCTTTGTAATTTAGCGCTCGAGGACATGACCACCCAACTTTTTGCTCAAGCAATGCTAGGAACAACAACGCCATTTGGAAATATACCGAATGCTGGTGGTGCGGAGGATGCATTCTGACTTCTATAGTATGATATCTCTGTTTGTACTTGCTCGATCATGCCCGAACAGCGCTAACTTTCAGTATCTGATAGCAGAAATGCTGACGAGAAACGCTGAAGAGAAAATCTTAGTGAAATGAATATCGCCTTACACCTGAATCACGGAGATAGACCCCTGAAAAAAACACTACGCGTAACTTGCATCAGTCACAATCGTATGGTATGCACATTCCAGTTATTCAGGACCAATTGACGAGGCCCTGATTTAAGAAAAAAATTGAGTGTGAATGAATTAGTCGAGTTGAGTACAAAAACAAGATCCCCGGAAAGTGAAAAAAGATTAAAAGAATGCGAACGCGGACGGAGTAGAGACATTAAAAAAAAACAAAAAAAAAAAACAAACAAGCAATGGTCTTCACAGTTCGCGACTAAAGGAAACACCATTTCCGCGTTAGAAAAAAAAGAAGGCGGAGCGGCGAATTCTAGCTAGCCTCACAACGTTATTACATAACAGTTAAGTAGCCAAGGTATTATCAATCACCGAAGAGCTCTGAATCTGACGAGACTGAGGGTAGCGATGCGGACGTTAGTCGGTTATGTTTGAATCCAAATGTCATCTGCTCAAGGCAAGCTCGAGACAGTGCGACCCGGTCGAATGCGGTGAAAAATGCGATACGTGGTCAGTAAATCTTGATCCAGGAGCCCTGAATGCCTAATGAAAGGCGAGATAATGTGGAAGTTAGGACTCACTTGACAGGCGTTGCTCTCCAACGAACCTCAAACAGAAGTCTGCGCGAGTCAACTGATCTCACTGATCTGCCGTCCAAGGTGACCTGTGCCTGCAGTCCTCGCAAAACACTCGGGATAGGGGGCGTGCGTCCGTGCGTCGGCTGGGGCCAGTGACTGGGGCGCTAGGGCTCTTCGTTTTCCTTTCCAATTGTTTTTTTGTTGTTGCTTGGTTTAATGATCGCGAGCACTAGTTTCTCCCTGAAGCCTGTAAATTTCACTTTCCTTGTTAAAAAAACTAAACAAAACCTTATTTATGGTTTTACGCTGCGCGGAACTGTAGCCCGTCCAGTTTCGGTTTCCAAAAAAATATGACAAAAACATATTTTGTTTTAGTTTATTTTATATTTATTCATTTATCTTAAATGTTATATGTAAATTAAAACTTTCTTAGTGCAAAATTACGCTAAACACGTTTTTTCTTTTTTTTTTTAGCGCGTGGGTTTTTTGTTGTTTTTTACTTGGTTTAGTTATTAAAGCAAATAGCCAACAGAATCCATTCAACCAGTTGTAAACACAAGCACATGCGTCGCGCGTTAGGACTTTGGAAACCATCTCGATGGCTTGTTTTAGAAAATTGGGTCCTGTTCTTTCAAACCGCCTTGAAGTTCCATTCAAAACAGCAGTACGGTTCAGAAACAGGGGTCTGGTACGGAAGCCGGTGCGGGTAATCACACCGACAAAGGAACCGTCTAAAATCTCCGCAAGCGACTTCGGAGTACCGGTCTTCACGAAGCTGGGCAAAGATGACGAAGAATTCACGTAATACCAACATAAAAGTCGGCTACTTGCGCGATTGACCGCACGAAACCCTGTTTTTTGGTGACGACGTTTCAATTTCAGAACCACCATGGCATCTTTGAAGAACAGACGCCGGCGAGACAAGGCCAACAAAATTGTCCTGGAGGGACGGAGGTTGATAGCTGACGCTCTTCAGGCCGGCATCGAAGTGGACACTATCTACTTCAGCCTGCCGGAGAACATAGAGGGGTTGCCACTGGACGCGCTCAAGGAGGGACAGCTGAAAAAAGTCTTCTTTAAGAAAATGAAGATTTGGTCGGACCTTACAACGTGCCCTGGAGTCATGGGTGAGGCATGATCACGGAAACATTTAGGTGATGACTCTCTGTCCGACGCGGCGACCACATTATGTTCGGCGCACCGAGCGCTTCACTGGCACGGGGATAGATGGCGCCCAAGTATCGGGTTCCTTCCAAACCGACCGCTCCGCTTGTTTCTCCCAGCGATGGTCCTGCATTCCCTCGCTCACCGCTTCTTGTTGTACCCACGGTGGAAGAAACACATTTAGGTGATGACTCTCTGTGCGACGCGGCGGTCACATCATGTTCGGCGCACCGAGCGCGCTTCACGCGCACGGGGATAGATGGCGCCCAAGTATGGGATCCCTCCCAAACCAACTGCTGCGGTTGTTTCTCCCAGCGGTGGTCCCACATTTCCTTGCTCACCGCTTCTTGTTGTATCTCACCGCCGCCACCAAATCACCAGAGTCCGTAAATTTGTGTTCAGCGGCGTAGCACGCTACACCGCTGACGCCGTGGCGGCCGAGGAGGGACCTCATACCTCAGTGCCCTCCGCGGCGGCGTGAAACTAACTACTCCTAGTTTGAGGCTAGCTCCGAACAGGATCTGGTCGCTCGCTTCCTGCGGGACGAGCTAGAGTTATCACCTAAATGTGTTTCTTTCATTGTGGGCACGATACACGTGGCCACTGCAATCACAACCGGCAAACACCCAAGAATGTGGAGTGCAAGTTTGTCTGCTTCTTTTGTAGGAGTTGTGGTGACGTCAGAACGCTGAGCTCTGATCAGCTCAGATTGAAGGATGGGTACACTTCAAAGCAAGCTGCCTTGAGGTCTCCCACTATCTTTCAATCAGAGCTTGGCATTCAGACACCACCACAACCCCTGCAAGAAAAGCAAACTTCCTTTCCTAGCAGGGGTTGCAAAAATTTCTCACATAAAAAAAAACAAAAAAACCTTAGGCACAATTTTATTGGGCTACCAATGTATTCAGCTTGTTCCAGAATATACATGCCTTGCATGTGACGTCATACGGCACCATACCAGCCGCCACTGCTCCGTACCACACTCTTGTGCCCGTACCTTCTGCAGCATACATTTCACGAAATCAAATTCAATCTTATTCTTGGCAAGCCTTGCGGAAAAGCACAGATTCGATGGTGCCAAATGCATGCCGCAGAAGGCATGGGCACAGGAACATGGGAGGGAGCAATGGCGGCTGATGTGATGTCAATGCAAAGTGTTTATGCTACATTATTTTGCAGGAGTGTTCACGAAGCCATCACTGGGTGACCTGCAGGTGAAAAGAATTGGCCCCATGATCCCTGTGACGGTGATTTGTGACAATGTCAGAGACCCCGGCAACATGGGAGCGCTGATTCGTAGTGTGGCAGCCGCAGGCTGTCAACAGATGTTCCTTATGAAAGGTGAGTTTTCCTTGGCAAGGGTAAAGCTAAATTTTTCAATAATACTTTTGTTTCCACATGGTTGCACTTTTGTTGCTCCACGAGCCAAATAATCTCAGAATACATTTAAAGCCTCCTACTTCCACCATTGGGAATACCAATTTTGAGTGGCGTGCATATACATAGAGAGCCATTAATCTCAGAAAATATTTAAAGCCTCCCGCTTCCACCATTGGTAGTGTCAATTTTAAGTGTTGTGTATATACATATAGAGCCATTAGGAGCCGGTCATCCATTGAAGGACAGGCCACTGACGATGAAGCCATTGACAGCTGGCGGAGCACAGCAGCATATATCAGGCATATATTTGTCATATAGCTCATCACATATACATCAGCTCAACTCTGTTACGTCGCGCCGTGGTGGTGGCAGTTCGAGTGCACTTCGTCAGAACGCTGTGACTCGGGCTGTACCAAAAGAGCCAAAAAAGACCTGAAGATCTGTTTTCAGGTGCTTTCGGCCTGTTCGGTTTGTCCGAGAACGTGGATAGTTGCCGTAAGAAGGAAAAACCAGACGCTGTCAGATCCCGGTTGCTTGCTTCGCAGATACTTGTCATCAGATCTATTTGTTTTGTTACAACATGAACGCAGGAAAACCGTCAAGTTCTCCGAACCACCCACGGACCACATTCAGTGCATCTTCACGTTCAAACGGCCGTCTGCTCTTTCAGACTTGTTTAAACTATCGTCTGCTTGTTCAAACGACAGTGGCCAGTAGACCAAATGTTGCGATAAGAAGTAAATGCAGGCCTCAAAAGAGTTTTAGGTTTTTCTTTACTCAGAGAACTCCTGCAGTGCCTAGAAAGCATTATTGCAGGGGGCGAATAATAACGAAATGAATGTCTCAGCATTTGCAGCACAAACTATACATTCCTGTGGAGCGTTCCAGTCCTCGACCGTCCTCACAAAAAAGGAACTTTTGCAGAGCTCCGTCCTAGTACAGTATTTGCGTATCTTGTGCACATGATCATTCATTTGGAAAATAATTTAATTTTAAGAGGTATGCTGAGCTATTAATACCAGTAGCCTCATGATAAATGTTGTATAAAAATTTCTACCATGCATCTTTTCGCCGAAGACCCAATGACGACCATCCTAGTGATTGTTTCATGTTAGTTACACGAGAAAAACGGTTGTACTGGCCCAGGACGAAGCGTGCAGCACGATTTTGTATTTTTTCCAAGCCATCAATGCAATTTTTTTTGGAAGCGTCCCACAAGGTGCATCCATAATCTAGAAGTGGCCTTACATAGGCAAGATATGCTAGTTCTTTTATTTTTTGTGTAGCGTTTTTTTTAGGTTTCTTTGAACAAAGCGGAGTGCGTGACCCGCCCTCATAATGACATCATCAATCTGCGAATCCCACGTGCAGTCGGATGACAAAATGACTCCGAGGTATTTTACTTTATTCTCATTCGTTATTAGCTCATTGCTTAAAAAATACTGTGTCTTACTATTTTTTTTTGTGTGGAGCTAACATGAACACATTTCTTTACATTAAGTTGCATATCCTATTCACCGCACCAATGTTCTATTCGATCTAGGTCAGCCTCCAGTTGTCCGGAACCCTCCCCGTTCTTTATACACGTGTACATAGCGCAGTCATCTGCAAATAATCTCAGCCGGGAAGTTACATTGACATGAATATTGTTGATAAATATTAAGAATAGCAATGGCCCCGAAACCGACCCCTGTGGTACACCAGACGTAACTTCAACTAAATGAGACGCCTCGCCGTTTAAAATTACGCATTGCTGACGCGAACTCAAGTATGACTGAATCCATTTTAGTGTGGTAATATCTATTTTCAAGCAATTCAATTTGTGAAGTAAGACCGAGTGTGACACTGTGTCAAACGCTTTCCTGTAGTCAAGAAGAACACAATCAGTCTGTTCACCTTTATCTACGGACATGACAAGATCATGATAGAGCTCGGTTACCGTAGTTGCGTGATACAAGAATAACCTCTCCTAAACCCATGTTGAGAATCCATGAAAAAATTATGGTAACTAAGATGCTGCATTATCTGGCTATACAATATGTGCTCAAGTAGTTTTCAACAAATTGATGTTAAAGAAATTGGCCTGTAATTTGTAACATCTTTTTGGGTCCCTTCTTGTGCATTGGTATTACATGAGCTACTTTCCAATCATTTGGTAATGACCCCTCAAGCAAAGACTGGTTGAAGATTATGAAAAGATATGGGGCAATGGCGTCAGCACAGCGCTTCAGAACCCTAGGCAAAATTTGATCAGGGCCAATCGCTTTGTTTTAGTAGCTTTAGGATTCCCTCAACACCAACCTCAACTGGAGGCATATCATTGTATCTGTTTGTAAGTGTTACTGGCGTTATATTGTTTGCAGGCAAAAAAAAAACGATTGAAAATATTCAGTAAAGATGCAAGCTTTTTGACAAGCATCTGTAATTAGTTCGCTATTTACTAAGTCGGGTACCATCTGGTCATTTCCGCAACTTTTCATAAACTTCCAGTACTATTTATTGTTTTCATTCCGGCTTTGAGCCGCTGTAGTGACACAGTGACTTTGTACTTCGTCGTCAGTTCTTTCAGTTTCTCATAGTTTACTGCTGGCTTTTTCTTTTTGTACCGTGCATAAGCACGCTTTCGTTTTTTTTGTTAATCTTAGAACACTTCCGTTAATCCATGGTTTTGCTCTGTTAGCTTTATCACTCTCTGCCTAAACAGTAACCACGTGTTCTGCAAATCTGTTTCTTCAGCAACGCATTCAAACGAAAGAAAGCCTCTGGAAAGCTCGGAGCTAATGCTCTCATAATTTCCCTTTTCATACAAAAACATCCTTCTATCTGTTTTTTTGGTGTAAATAGGCTCGGTGTAAGCAGTAGATACAAGGAGATGTTGATCATTGTTATCAGTGGCCATCACCGACTTGTTATACCCAATTCGCTTGGTCCGATTCTGCTTGCGATTTTCAGTATCGATGTCGAGCATCGCAGCTACCGTCCTTGCTTTTGCAGCCCAGGCAATGTCGCAACTGAAAGTAGCAAGCAGAATCTCATCATGTGAATCAGGCTTTAGTGTCCATTATGCAGCGTTCACGTGGAATGAATCGCCGCACGTCACATTATTTACACAAAGTTTTGCGGCATAACGAGCCTTGTTAATTTCATTCAGGCCACAAAAGAAGTAAGCCATTGCTAGGAAGACGTAAAATCAACATTTCCAGTACAAAATAGGGTACGGGGACTCACACCGACGCCGACAACGTCACATTAATCCGATGGTTTGCTGATGCAGGACGCGGCACCTCTTGCCCACATCCCATCGCACATGCACGGCACCGGTGGCGTGCCGTTCGGGTCGCTCCGGTTTGTTTGTAAACATGAGTTGGGGTATATACCACGAGGCATCACGTCTGCAGTTAGTTGCTTTTGAATTCATGCAAGCATAACCATTCGAGGGTTGCTCTTACAGTGAAATACGGAGAACTCACCCATTACTTCCGAAATGTCTAAAAGCTAAGCAAAGGACATGCTGAGCAGCCTCCCCAGACATCTGAGCCCACCTAGCTAGCCAAGGCACGTGTTCCCCCCCGTATACTGCTCTTCCTTGCACCCCAGCACAAAGTGGTGAAGCCTACCGTATCACCTGCCCCTTCTAGGGGTGGACTATCGGCAGCTCCCTAGGGTGGCAGAACTTTGGAACGGCCAATTTGTGGTTGCCCCCAAATTAATTGGCTCTTTTTTTTAATCTAGCTTCGAATTTAGCTAATTTGGGAATTCTAGCTTCAAATCTAGCTATTTTTGAAAATATTAACTCCCAACATAACTGCTTCCCCCCCCAAACCCCTGCTCCCCATGGTCACTGATCATGGGGAGCGGGGGTTGGGGGCGGCATTGTTAAAGGCAGCCTAGGGCAGCAAAATGCAAAGTCCGCCTCTGGTCCCTTCTGCATTTTTGCGTTTGGACCTAACAAGCATCTATCCCTCAGCTCTTTCTTCAAGATTACCTTAAAATTTCTGGTGGGCGCTTGCTTGGCATATTACGGTAGTCATTTGGCGAGCATCGAAATCATCTATCTTTGTGATCACATGAGATCCACATGAATGCTGGAACACTAACGGCCAATTAGAAGCTTCATTGCATATTCATTGCAAGTAAATGAGTGTGATAGTTTGGGAGATAGTGGTCTTCTAGGAAATAAGGCCTGGCAACTGCAACTTTTAGTGTCCTCCGCACTAGCCTGTGCTCTGTATGCAGGATGTTGTTTGGAGAGCGCAAAAAAATATGGGCGGAGGGGTAGAAACAAGCGAAAAACTGAATAAGCGCTTTCCTGTATTGCTCATTTCTTCACCTCTGTTCATGGTTATTTATTTTTTTTTTTTAGAGCGCAGCTTTTAGGCGTTTGTTTCCGGCTTGAGCGGCGGCGCGCCGTCAGCATAATTTCACGGTATATTATGGTTAAATTTCCTCGTTAAATTTAGCGGAAAATTTCCCCACTAAATTTAGCTGAAAAAATTTCCCGCTGAACTTAAGGAAAAAATTTCCCTGCTAAGTTAGAGGAGGAGGAGGGGCATAGCCTCCTCTCCGTACCTTCCCCTCCTCCTCCTCAAGAGCTGCGCTCTAATTCGGCGTTAGAGGGAATTGCAAGTTTTTTTTTGCTGCTTAAACTACATTATGTAGAACAATTACCGACTAGCTCATGTCTCTAGACCTTCTTACTCTGCTCTGTATTGCATAGCCCCCAGCAAAATGTATCTTCTGGTTGTGTCCCTGCTGTCGGTCAACAAAACTCTTTCAGGCTGCTCTCTCCTCTCGCTCTTTGCTCCCTCTCTCTTTTTTTTCTGTGATGAGGATTGAAAGCGTACGCAGAAGGATTTTGGCAAATACTTTACTAGGGGGAATTCAGGCCACTCCTCGTGAACACAATAGGCTCAGAGCAGACAGGATCCGGTACGTTTGAATGGCCGAGCGTGTCACATCGTCGTAGCTTTTCCCTCAGGGCAGTAACCAATGTCATCTCTTGTGTTGGCGTCTTCGGCCATGCAGGGCAGAAACCGTGCAGGTGGCAACCTAGCGAAGTTGCCACCTGCACGGTTTCTGCCCTGCATGGCCGGTTTTTTGTATAAAAGGCCGGTTGCCGGTCTGTATCTAAAACCAATCGTCATTTGCCTTCATTTTTTTTTTTTTTTCCCCAACTACCTAAACACAATTTTCTTTTTTTTTTCTTTTTTTGAGGGAGGTGCGTTTAAAATTATATTTAAGTTAACTTTGGAGATAATGTCCTGGTACATGAAATTGTTTATTTAGCCGCAATAAAGACATCATTTTTTTAAAAGTCTGGCGCATTTACACGTTTGCTATTCAGTGTGGCACGGAGAGAGTCTTTACAATTTACAGAACGAGATCAAAGAATGGCGAGCAAGACATCACTTTGAATCCGAGGACAGTCCTTTTGTAATTATGTAATTCGAGAGGTATGAAAACATGCTTGCGTTACACAAATGACCATGAGCTTTCAAGCTTGTGCCAATGCTCGTCTATACCTGCATCCACTGTCAAAACCTCCAGAACCAGCGATCCTGGCATATAATAGATTTACGCTTGAAATCTGCGTGCTGAGCATCATGCTCAGTGATTTAAAGCCATTCTTACTTAAGGCGTTATTTAATTCGCAACCATTTTTATGCAAACTGCAATAATCGGTTCTCTACCTGCTGCACAGGATGGGTACAGGTGCGAGATTTGTTCTTGGCGCTTTAATTTGGACTAAATGGCATGCATTTATCTAATTGAGCTCAGTGTTGTGTATTTGCATATTTACATGTGCTAGGATGTATCAATTGATCTGGGTATGTTAATTGATTTCACTTTGGGATGCTCGTATCAAAATAAATTAAATCTGGGTATCATTTAAGACTGTCAACACTGCACCTTTTTACCAGTTCAATCCCACATAATTACCCCCCCTCCCCCCTCCCTTCCCCCCCCCCCCCCCCCCCCCCCCCCCCATTCTCCCTTTCCAGGGAATGGCCAGTTTTTTCTTCGAGGAAAAGTGGCAACCGGCCACATATTTCATGTGCGCGCCGTTTGGTCGCGGTGTCCTGGTCTTTTTTTGAATGTGAAAGACACTTTAAAATAACCTTCTATCGAATTGTCAAGTGCATATACGCAGCATGCGCTTGCCTCATTCGGTTCCACCAACTTTGGACTGGCCACAACATCCGTTACTAGCATGGGCAGCTTGTGATCAACCCGATAAGCGGGGTGCAACGGTAAAATACTCGAGCGGGTTTTTGAAATTTCATCAAACAGTTTTGAAGCCACCGGAGACATTAATTATTGCGTGAGTGTCGACGAGTTTGATTAGCTGTAATCACACTTTACACCGGTGCTTTAGCAGGCAGGTAAAGATTTAGGTGTTTGGCAATGCAACAGTTGCCACAGCACGCGACGGTTAGAAAAATGATCGAGTCATCACCTGGATAAACTTGTGCCGTGTGCTTTCCCTTTACGTTGACGTTGGTACATCCGCATTCCCGACTTTCTCAAATTCGGGTTGCTGGGTGCCCACGTGATCCGGAGAGAGGTATTGAGAGAAGAGGCTCGGAGGAGGTAGTCAGAAACAGCATAGAGAATTTGGCGGCCGAAGCGGCCAAGCGGCTTGGGCGCGGCCGTCGCTCTGTCTAATGCAAATCAGCGGAATGGCCTGTATTCCCCCTAAGTATTTGGGTGTGGGGTCAAACCGCCTCACCCACACTTCCTAAAATAATCCCACGCTGAAAAAACAATTCCTAGCTATGCCATCAATGAGGACAACTATGGTGATGACAGAAGTCATTGTCACCGCCTTGGCTAAGAGCCGCATTGTCACTTTTCCAGGCTGCGTAGACCCTTGGGAGTCCAAGGTGCTCCGTGCAGGGTGTGGTGCCCACTTCCGCGTCCCCATCTGCAACAACGTAATGTGGGAGACGATACCCAGCTATGTGGACACCAACTCCTCCGTCTACCTGGCCGACAGTAGGGGAGAGGGACGTCCTTCCAAGGTGGAAGCAGAGCAAACTGCTGATGACGAAGGTCGGTTTTGTTTTCCCTTCGTGCACACTATACTTTGTTTCACTTCATGTTCGACCGCAGCAGACCTAGGTTTCACTAGATAGCCCAGCCAATCCAGCTCTGCGATTGTAGTATGCGACTGTTTTGTACATGTCACGGCGCTTCCTCTTTAAGGTCATGGGGAAACTCGCACGCTTTTGGACTGGCTCTGATGGCTCGTAGCATCCACTGCAGCCAGACGCAAGGTGAAACGGAGCATAGAGGGTGGCAGAAACAGATATCCCACTGTAAAACAAGGCAGAAAAATTGGCGTCTGTACATAGAGGGCTCAAGCTTTCACCAAACTAGCACAGAGGAGGTTAGTTTTATCTTGTGAAATTTCAAAGCGCAGTTCTTCCTGTAGAAAATGAGACCAACAAACTTATCAAAGTTTACGTCGGGCGTGCTCGCAGACGACCGAGCTAGTGACGCTTTGCGAAGCGCAAGTTCGCAAATCAGAGCTCGGCGTCTTTCTGCAAAAGAAGCAGACAAACTTGCGCTCCGCATTACCTTGTGGCGTCATCTCACGACAGGTGCAACCAGCACGTAACAGGGTGCGTCGTCTGCTCACTGTCCTTATCAGGAGATAGGGTAGTGAGCAGCCTTCGATTGATTTTTGCAAAATGTGAAAAGTACATGTGTTTCTTTTATTTTGTAGCAGATGGATGTTTGAGGATTACACTACTATGAATGAGCAGATTGACCCTATGGAGATTTAACAATTGAGAAGGTAACACTACGGGTCCTTGTGTGCGTATTACGGGCAGTAGAACGAAGTAGAAGGGCAGTAGAACGAAGAATGCAATAGCAGACGCAGTAGTAGAACAATAACAGTAACTATAAACAAGAACATGAGAAATTATACTTAATGGGCTAGTAAATTATCGTAAAACACTGTTCCATCAGAGGTGCTGACGATGGAGGATGGCAACTGGTTCCACTGTGTGATGGCATATGGGAGGAATGATTCGTTGAATGAGTTAGTTTTACGAGAAATATGTTTTATTGCACAAGAGTTGTTTAAGCGGGAGGATATTCTATCGGGGTGTGAGAGCAGGGCGTTCTTTAGTTCTGGGCAATGATAATACATTTTATGAAGAAGGCATAAACGGGAGAGTTTCCTTCGAATGAGTATATGAGAAAATTAAGTAAAACATTATTTGATGTACCAAAGTGCAGGGCTGGAGACAAAAGCAGAGACCGACGCAGCGAACAACTTCAGACAATGCTTTTGCACCTTTTCTTCGACTCCTCCAGTCTCGGGTCCGGTCATGTACGAACTGCAAAAATCGACTACTGAACATATGAATCTAAAAATGCTAGAGTAGTGTCTACGGATACTTTTTATGGCACAGTAACAATCGATAACAGCAGGTATAATATAAATGAACAAAGCTAGGAAATTAAATGTCTTATATGCCACTAACTCATACTGAAGTCTTTTAATGCAACAACAGAGTCATCTTCGGACGAGGATTCCGAGGACGAGGGAGATGTCCGCTTTGTGGTGAAGACCAGTGATGGCCAGAAACTGAGGGTGGACAGGTCCTACAGGGATGCCTCGGAGCTCGAAGCCTGTAGGCAGGTGGTTTTGCCGTGCCACGACTACACCGCAGTGACATACCCGGCGAGACGGCCCAGCGTTCTGGTCGTAGGTGGCGAAGCACAGGGTCTGAGCACTCAGGCGCACAAACTGGCTGTCGACTGCGGGGGAAGCAGGGTTCACGTGCCTTCCGACAACGAGGTGGAGAGCCTCAACACTGCCGTCGCGGCATCCATCATCCTCTTCGAGATGAGGAGACAGATCATGCTTGCTGCTTCTGCCTCCCAATCGAGCCACAAGCAAGCAGATGCCAGTGCATGATGCAAGTGGTACCATCGTTACTCCCCGTCCAGATTAGTGGTATCTTTGTCCATTTAGTATGGTAAAATTGTTGCTTGAATACATATCTCTGCGGCCAGACTTTCGCTGCATTTGGCATTTTGAACTATTTCTCTGTTCCTTGTCCTAATTAAATTAATCAAGTGTCAGTCAATTTAGTATGGCAACATCGTTTCCCGAACACATTTCATAACTCGGCCAAATGCAGGCGATCCTTGGATAAATAAATGTCTTCACTCACTTTTGGATATTTTTTATGCCTTCTACACTCTCGTCCTTCCAGCAGTCCCTCACGCAATTTTTTAGTTCTTACCCTCATCACGAAACCGTCTTACTCAAAGTGCAACATTACACACAGACATTTCTGTGCACTTTATAGTTTGACAGGATCAGTGTCTACATGTGTTGCGAAGTACTAGAGATTGCAGGTCTAGCGAATCTAAAATTGAGAGCTCGGGCCCTACTCTTAGAAACGCTTGCAAGTCTGAAAACCCCAGGTTGCCAGATTTTCTTGGAGAATAGTAATTTGTATTAATTGCTCGTTGTTTTGATTTGCTCGACCAACCATTCAGGTTTATCGACGGAAAGAAAGGAACCGGGACCAGTGTGGATTATATACCTGTTGTGAGAGGTCAATCCTAGTCTCTACTGTTCAGATAGGGTGACAATTAGTTTTTACTTTGGACCAACAACACACTGAGGGAAAAAAGAAGTACAGACACTCATCTTTTTTCAAGCAATGTGGAGTGCAAGTTTGTCTGCTTGTTGCACAGGGCTTGTGATGGTGTCAGAACGCCGAGCACTTATTGGCTGCTTGAAAAAAAGTGGGTACACCTCAAGGGGCACGTCTACTGAGATTTCGGCTCGCTTGAGTCTCATTCTACGAGCGGCGCGCCCCTTTCTGCTTCGAATATGGCTACAGCCGAAGATATTGTGAACCGCTTTGCAGCTCACAATATCACTGCATCCATCCCGAGCCAGGACATGGAAATCCCCATAGAGAGAGACGACCTAGGCGGGAAATGGATCACTCCTGGAAAGCCCCGCAAATCTCTTTTTCCGACTCACCCCAACCCCAAACTTCACGCAGTTATAGTGCATCTCCCAATCCTTCCTGCTGGCGCAGCTGCGCAGCCCCTTGACATTTTTTTGGCTTTCTTGCAAGCCGTACAGCTCCCTGCTCATACATGTGCCGACATGTCGCTTCAGCTCCATCAAAATAACCGTCTCGCCGTCCTCCGCACCCATCAAGAAGCGATCGTCAGCTGGCTACTTCGCATCACCAACATCACCTTACAAAACACTTCCCTCCCCGTCCACTCCTACCTAGCCACTCCAAACAACTCCTGCCGAGGAGCTATACGTGGAATAGCCCCAGGAGCCACCCCTGATGAGATCATCAATGATCTGGAGTCTTATCATGCAGAAAACCTTCACGCAAGGCAAATGAGCACAACAGATTCAGCCATCATCACCTTCATCGGAACCCATGTCCCTTACACAGTGCACTACTGCCTCAAATTTCGTTGCCATCCCCACAAACCTCGAGCCCATCATTGCAACAACTGTCTTGCGTACGGGCACCGTACGCTGGCCTGCCCGGGCAACCAGCGACGCTGCCTCACGTGTTCTACCACCCTGACCTGCCTGGACGAACCTCATCCCTGCACACCCTGGTGTCTACACAGCCAGGGTCACCACTCCCCATTTCCCGAAATTTGCCATATCCAGAAACAATGCCACGCCGCCTCTGCTAGAGCAGCTCTACGTCGGTGCTTCCGACACCGACGGCAGATGGCTCGCTCCACGGTATCTCCACCGCTTCTAACCTGTCTGGTACCCCCTATCGGGCCGACACCCCGCTTGATCTCAACCTCCTTCACACTGCCTGCCACAGCCACTTTGGGCAATCAGTGAACTCCGGCTCACCAACAACCTGCGGAATTGCAGGCTACCACCAAAACATTAACCACAACATCATCAGCCTCCACTGTCCCAGCTTCTCTGCAGTCAGCTATCGACATGACACAGGTGAGCCAGCCACGGCCCACAGCGCCTGTTCCATCCCCTCCCGCCCTCTCCCAACATTTTGATCGACTTGACACTGCTGTGGCAGGGCTGGTCAAGCGCATTGACACCCTTGCCACAGTTGTTGAAGCCCAACAAGCAATACAAAGAATTGACTTTCAGGACAAACACATGGCCCATCTTGAGGAACTAATAACCATGCTCACAGGATCACTCAACACCCTTACACATACATTCACCAAGAATCTCACCGACATCCCTACACCCATGGATGAGCAAATCCAGTTCATCAACCGCAGTCACGAAGCCCCCGCAGCCTTGGACGCCAAATCTCCAAAACTTTGGCCAGGTGCCCTCCTCATCTCTCCTGACCCCGATTCCTAATTAGGACCATGGAAATCACACTAATAGAATGGAACTGTCGTAGCCCCTCCACAAATCATACCTTCTTACAGCAATGGCTCCTAACACAACACAGACTCCCACACTTTCTTCTTCTCCGAGAAACGTAGCATGCCCAAAAAAGTACCGGGATACCGCGGTCTACATGCCGACGCTGTCATGCTGCTCTCCTCCATTTACATTCGCAGATTGCATTTGTCACTGAAGAGGTTCCAGACACTCTCCTCCCTTACTTAACTGCCTTATCCTACTATCCAGACCCCCCCGTCCTTACCCCTCACTTTAGTTAAAGGACACATGCAAAGGAAAAAAACATTTTTTTTAGACAGCTTAGATGGAAAAAGGATGTCATAAAACGATTTTACAACGAAGAAACAAAATTTTTAGAGCTATATTTACGGCGCTATACGAATTTGTAGTTGGCGCTCGCGGGAGCCGCTGCTGGTCACGTGGTAGGCCCGCGCGCCGCCGCGCTGCGTCGCCGCCGCACGCTGAGCGTTGTGCGAACGCCGCTTCAACGCGTTTCTCCAAGCCGCCGTCGCCGCCGCCGCACAAGTTCGTCTGCTTCGGGGCGCCGCCGCCGTCGTCTGACCGGCGCACAGGTCTATCACGTCTGCTTGCGCTTTTTCAGGAGTTTCCTTTGGGCTCTAAAAGTTACTTATTCGTCTTGGTTTTTTGTTATACTTCAAACAAAGATGAATAAGTTACTTTCAGAGGCCATAGGAAGCTTCCGAAAGAGCGCAAGCACCACGTGATAAATAAAGACCAGTCACGTGATAAATACAGACCACTTTTCCGCGGTGCCCGCGGGCGCCAACTACAAATGCGTTTTGCGCCGTAAATATAGCTCTAAAAATTTTTTTTCTTCGTTGTAAAATCGTTTTATGGCGTCCTTTTTCCATCTAAGTCGTTTAAAAAATTTTTTTTTTCCTTTGCATGTGTCCTTTAAGTCTATAATCCTCCTAAATCATCATCTCTTCTTTCTTCCCTCTTTACATATCTCCGCACATTCCCATCCCAACGTAATATCATTCTCGGCAGGGACTTTAATGCGCCGCATACTGTGTGGGGATATCCCGCTACGCTCCATGCTAGATCGCAAACTCAACGATGAAGTTAACTCAATCGGTCGCTGATTGGCTGCCCTTTTGGTCACGTGATGTGACGTTGCGATTGAGTTTTTCCCTACGGATTCCGATGGAGTTCGAGCTATGCTGGTGAAATAATGAAGTTCGCGGTGACGTCAAAATGTCGTCACGATTGAGTTTGGCGATGGAGACAACTTTGTAGTAGTCGGGCAGCAAAAGTTGCCAAAGTCAATGAAGATGGCGACGTTCAAGCTCGCGGACGGGGCGGACCAAAGCGGACTATCGCTACGTTTTTATGTGTTCGCCGTTCAAGGTTCGTCAGGGACGTAATCGGGGAATACTGCCCGACACTCGCTGGTGCTGACATTTGCCGTGGAAGCTTTGGCAGCGTCGCGGGGCCCCATATGGTGACCGCCGAGCAGCAAGTGCTCTCTTTGAGCGTTGCTGGCGGCACATTTTGCTGCGACGAAGACGTCACCGTGTGTCGCTGTGCTGCGAGTCGCATTCTTTGGATGCTACAGAGGCAATAATCGATAACCCGGGGCTGAAGGTGGGTGGGCTTCGCGCGCCAAGTGAGGACGGAAAGACGACGACCAAGAAGTTCAGCGATGCGAATTCAGTGGTGTTGTGCTCAATACACATTTTCTCATTGCGCTTGCACGAGAGCTCTCGGTAGAAAACGGGTGCCTCGTTCACCGTGATGAGTGTCGCGTGAGATAGTCGCACGGATTCAAGCTTACTCGTGATTGCATGTGTATCATCCAAATATCTCGGGCCTCAACATCTGGAAATTGTTCTGCTGCAGCACGTTGTGTACGTTTTCATTTTACGATTGCAGGTTCAAACTGGTACAGTATCTTGTTCTTTTGCTTGTGTTGTCTGAAACGTTTCTGCTGCTTTTCTGCCGCACCGGGTAGGGCGCCTTGTCAAGCTGCAAGCCATGCAGCTTGACGTTTGTCATTATATGTCCCATCTCCCACCTTTGTATATAAAGGAAAATAAAGAGATTATTAACTCAATTGACACCTTTTTGCTCCGAAGGCAGAATTTTGGGTATTGTGCAAGACAAGTGGGATATCTCCACTTTTTTTTTAACTTTTTTATTATTACATTTTCAGCCTTTTGGGGACGCTATGCAACTACTATCTCCAAGTAGAGGCTGCATTAGCATATAGAATTTCTATCTAGTCTTGATGTGCTTTTGGACAACTAAAAAGGTTATGAAACATTCATGTCAGATACCGCCTCATTGTTGTGTGCAGGTGACAGCGACAAAACCCTGAAGCCATGCTTGCACACCAATTCCTCACAACCCCAATGGATGCTTTGCTGTTCTGAGTCCAAGCTTAACAAAAAGCATTGCTTAGGATTCTGTAGTAGAGCAGTGAATTGGATGCTGAAAAGCAGGTTCCGGTGGTTGCAAAGGTGCTAGGCGCAGCAACATCATTTGACTTTTTGCACAATGCGGGCTTGTATAGCTCTATTTTGGGGCCTCTCCCTTGAGCCCCAAGAGTCCGTCCCCGAGGACGGTGTAAGCTTTGACAGCAGAGGACACGCTGTGCAGTGCTGAAAATCTGAGAGGTGGCCACCTCTGCAAGTATGTGCTGCCTACCAGGGTCTCCCTGCTCAAACTTGAAGCCTGGCAGCTGTTGAGGCTACTACGAGCTTTGTCTCTCGTCACATCTGCGAAATATACTTGTGTGTATCCGCTTGCAATGTTTT